ATTAAGTGTATTCAAACACTATAAAAATCTAATCATCCGTGTAACAAGTGTTTTTTACTCAAATTTACTCAAAGGCGTCGCAACCTTTTGTACTGAAATATATCGAGTTTCGAGATTTCAATTTTGCCACAAAACGCAAAACTAAATGCGGACAATAAATATACTAGTTGGATATTTTCCCAAGCAAAGTCAAAACACGTTTGTCAAATTTTGCTGTAATTGACACGTGTGTCATATAGAGAGTTGAGCGTTATTGCATATTCAATATTTTAAAGGGTTGTCTCAGATAAAATCGGAACTCGGAAGAATCGCGACATTTATGTCGTGCTGTACAAGCCTTCATGATTGGTGATATTACTGAAAATCAGCACCTCGGAATAGGATATCAATACACAAAAAAAATTGTACAATGTTTCAAAACGGTGTTGTTTGCGTTCCTTCAGCGAATGCGATTTTTGTGTAGCCTTGAAAGCATATTTCGCAATTTCCTTTTTGTATGAAACTCAAGAAACGCAAATATATTTGTTGCTATTTACATACTACAATGAAGTAAACATTGAAATGTTAGGTTGATATTAATGAGCAAAATAAAAAAAAAACACCACGGTTAAGCCTTTTATCCCACGCGGGAGGTCCATGCTTTCCAATTTTCACAAAAACAACCTTTTGTTATTAGCTTGTTGCGTTACGTGCGCCTGATTTGATTGAAATAAACTTTAATCACCAGTAATCGCGTTTTATAATATGTTAGCTGAATTGACACAGCCGAGCGATAAAAAATTGCCAAGCAATTGTTTGGATCTGTTAATGGGTCACAAATCAAACGCAAATTTATTTGAGGCGTATAGTCAACGGCAGTAAGAATTAAAAAAAACATTCATTATTGAATAACTACAGAAATATTTTTTGCATAGTATTTTTATTTTTCAGGTTTTTCTTTGTATCCAAATCCTGTAGGAAAATGATTTGATGGAATTTATTTACGCGTCAGTATTTAGTTACCTTTAGTAATATTCCGGCTTGCTCAGTCCTATATTTGTGAGAGAATTTGTAGTGTCGATGCAGATACGGACTTTTAATATAGTATTATGTTAAATTTGATTCAGAACTGTTATAATATTTAAATTAGAATGTTCATTTTAGGCAAAGGTGCGATAATTTATGTAGATATTTCGGTTGTTGTAAAACGCTGATGTGTATGATATGATGATTTGATATATACGTATGCTAAACATTCTAATATTTAGATGAAAATACCATTCATGAAACCTTATATATACCTAACCTGAATAGAATAAACAGTGAATACTCTTTGAATTTTGCCTTACGCTAGTATAAAATATGATATATACATTACTCGCCACTGTAAAAGTAAAATGTTACTGTATGACATGCCGCAAAACATATAAAAATATCTTTATTCCTGTGCCTTCCGTTTATCTTGCGTTGAAAAGTTGAGCTGACTTGATTTGTTTGAGCCAAGTGTATGTGTCGCACAAAAATGCACAATTTTATTTTTTGTCTGTATTTGACCAAGTTTTATTTACCGGATATGAAATATAATCCTTATCTGAGTGTAAACTTAGGATTGGATACGAGTGAGATATACTTCAATATTGTACAGAGCAAACAAACATACGGAATATTAGCAAAAATGACTGTGGAACGATATTATATGTAAATATTTTCGAGAGCAATATCTGTTTAGTGATTTTCAAAATGTAACAAAATATGACGGTAATTTATTTCTTCACATTCAAAGATACGAATGACAGAACACTAATTGTGACTCACTAGCCTAATAAAAATGTATTTGTCGCTAGACGTCTCTTTTTGGGGTTTTATTCATTTCAAAAATTTATCTGGGCTCTATGGGATTCATTTATTTGTGTGCACCATCGCCATCAAAATTAAAATTGCGCACCTTGTAGCGGGTTTCCAAGCATTTATAGCGCAATGTTGATGAGATTATCTAGAAATGCAATTGTATCGAGATATCCCATAGTAGGCAGTAGACCAGGGGTCGGGAACCCATGGCTCGCGAGCCATATATGGCTCTTTTGGTGACGGCATATGGCTCCCAAAAAAATCTAATATCCCAAGACTAAGCTTACTATTGATACGAGATTTCAAACTCTTTTATAGCCAAATTTGGCAGGAAATTCCCAATACGTTTGAGAAGGCGCGTCCAGCACATGTCTATGTTATGTAAGATAATTACCAGACAGGCATTGTGACAAACAAGGGGATTCTGGAACATATATTGTGACATCACAAAGCGATAGAGTTTTAAAAACACTACGGAGATACCTAAACGAAAAAGGGCGATGAGTATCGTAGATTTCAACTTGGGCTGCATGTGAGCAACCGTTCAAGGCCCGCAGCGACTACATGCAGCATCAGATAATCACATTAAGTGTATACTGACTTTGTATGTGTTGACTTTTGAGTAAACATTTCAGGCCTGATTAAGTGAAGAAATGTTATATGGCTCGCACGGAAATGCAATTGAAAATATTTATATTTTATGGCTCTCTTGACCAAAAAGGTTCCCGACCCCTGCAGTAGACACAGGTTGCACTTGCAAATAGCACTGGCGAACGAATACCCGTCCTAAACCACGAATGGTTTATTATGATGTAACAATGAAGCAAAATAGTAATGGTAAATAAACTTTGTTAGAAATAGCGTGTTACTAGCCCACTAACGAGACATGTACTTAGATTCTTCGACCCAGTTCCCAGTCGATTTAGGATGCTACACGCTAGCTAGATGTTTTGGAATCAGGCCTACACATGTTTATAAAAATCAATTCACTTTTATAGTGATCCATCACACACCGTCAAATTTGACAATCGCTAATCAATTGATTAGTTGTATTTCAATGATGATAATATGTCGCTTGATACAGCGTCGCTCGATTACTGATCCTGTTCCTTATGACTCCCTCTGGAAATAAAATTATGTAGAAACAAGCGGATAATTTTAACAATGTTCAATTTTATTCACCTATTCTGCTGTATTTATTTATCATTCTGAACTTGCTATTACATAAATTGATGAACGTTCCGGGGTGTAATTCGAAACCGGTTAGCGCTCGCATTGTCGGCTCGGAGATCGGACCAGAGAACGTTTCGGTACGCCTGAAGTATGCGCATCAAGTTGTCGCATAACCTGAACCCTAACCTGGTACACAACCTAAGTTCAGGTTGTGCGCCATCTTGGTACGCATACTTCAGGAGTTTCAATGTTTTGTTGTGATTTCAAGTTCAAATAATTGGAGCCACCGAAATTCGTAATAAACACAAAATAAAACGTTGTGAGAGATGCAATTAAATTTTATCAAGTACAATATACGTATTATTTATTTAGTTAATTATTGGTTGAGTTTTCCAGCAAATGTGTTAAACAAAATTGAATTTAGGAGTCTATCAAAATTTGCGTTGGTGTAAATTGCTGCGTAAGACTATACGAAACAAGTATGAGTTCCACTTTACATGCATTGCTGTATAACTCAGAGTATGCTACCGAATATAAATTGGTTTTCCTCAAACCCAGTATACCAAATTAGTCAGTTCCGAAAGGGTTGAAACCGTGTTTCTCCGAAAAAAAAGACCTAGCCTGAATTCTAAGAATGATTTTAATATAAGCACTCCTCTTAATAAGACCTAGTCAATAACGCGAAATTTTTTTTGACCTAGGCGATAGAAAGAAATTTCTCCTACACGTTTTAAATAATTGATAATCTATGTTTTGCAGTTATTTTGAATAAAAAAGTGTTATTTGAAAGTAAATGGATATCGGTTTGCATATTTTGTATATTTTAAAATCTCATAATTCTCTACTTTGTAATTTTGTTTTTGATGAACAAAAATATAAGACATTCCCGAAAAGAAGCCCTAGTGGTATTTTTCAAGACCAAGTTTTATTTTCGGGGAAACAAGGTAATACAAAAGAGAGTATCAAGTTCATCCCCAAGCTCCTTTAAAATTCCTAGATAATCAGAATCATCCAGGTGTTGTCCAAGCCAAAAGGCGCATAACCGGTGGGAGTGATAGGTGTTCAATTCAAGGGGAATATCTCGGTGTATAGTAGAGCAATATGGCGACGCTTCAGTTGAAAGAGCAAGTGATATAATATAAAATTTGTTCTTTCAATCGACACTCAGTCCAAAAACAATGCGGACTTGTTCGTTGTTGCAAAGACCAGGGTTGCCATACTGCAGATACATAATTTGGGGGACAAGGGGATACAAAAAAACAAGTGGAATAAAGGTAGTAACGTTCTAAAGAGACAACAATCTACTTATAGATATATGCAGTTGGGGATATTTTCGTCCCAACAACTTATCAGATATTGTTGATAATATTGGACGACTGTTATTATTTAAATAAGCAGTTTATTTTTTGTCGATTCGATATAGTCAACCTTCCAAAATGTGATAGTTGACATTAAACTGATCGAATTTGTTTAGCTTTTACTGCCATTATTATGTCTTTTCAGTAACGTTCAATTTAAATAAATTATATATTTCGACTTTATTCCATATTCCAAGACCCCAAGTCCGAAGTTGTTTTTCAAATCCTATTAGTGTCGTTTTTGCAACGTTTATACGTGCTCGGGCAGAATGCTAGTGCTTTAACAATATTATATTTTTAAAGATACTCTAGTCAATAAGTTTTCTTTTATTGTTCTAACAAGGTTTAAGCATTTCATGTTCCCGCGGCGTAAAATAATTCGGCCCGCGAAGCTTCACTGAATTATAGTAAAAAAACAGCTGATTTGACGATAGACGGCAGAATCTATTGTGAGACACGTGTAGACTAAATTATATTATAACCAAACAAGTATATAATCCACAATTACTTGTTTAATGAGCCTATAATTTAATTATAATTAGGTAAATGGCAACAAAACGCAGAAAAGTTGATGGCGCAGAAAAATATTCAAATGGGATTTTTTGAGATGCAATGCAATTAGGAAATAAACCCATATTTTATTTGAGAGATGAATCACTGCTTGATTTTTTATTATAAGAAGGATCATCTGTTCAGTTTCCAACTTACTAAAAATATGTGCGGCCCGCCAATGACTTGCAACCCTTAATTTTGGCCCACAAGCGACAAAAGGTTGCCGACCCCTGCTCTAGACTAGAGTTACATATTTGCTAAAAATTAATTTGATAACCGACTTTGAACTTTCTTATAGCAATCTGCGTAAAAATTTGATACTCAGACTAGTCAATTAACTTGAAGCAAATAAAAAATGAGGACAATTGAACACCCGACTCTTGTGATGCTGATCCTACTTTCGTCCACAGAAGTAAGTACTTTTCTATGGTCTAAAAAATTTATGTACGTTACAATTTACTCGATAATTCACTGATATTACAAATGATACATTTTAATCATATCCTCTCAAATAAAGTCATCTCTGCTACAAAACTCCGACTTTATCACTTATTTTTTCAGTACATTTTGATAAGTTCATTGATGTTGTGTATTCGAGATTACCTTGATGACCAATCTAATCACATTAAGTAGCTCTTATTTGCTTCCAATGAAGCACATTCCAAATCTAGGCTAGACTGTGTTTGCGTTTTTTTTCTTCAGATATATATTCAGAATTTCCTCCACAGAATACGCTAGTAACAGCGCGGTAAAAATAAATAGGCGACTAGATTTGCATCTAAATATGAAGCGTAATAAAATATACCATTTAGGCCTGGTAAGTTTCAGATTTACAAAAATTCAACATAACCTTTTCCATTTCTTCTATTCCTGCATTGAGATTTTTTAATTTCAGGCACGATATTTGGGACCAAGAGATCCAATGGAAAGCGACAGTTTCCGAAATCAAGGTGAAGGTAGGTCATGTTTGAATTGAATGGCTACAGGAAACAAGGCTCATGAATCATGATACAGTAATATCTTTTGAAAAATTCTTATTTTGATCGAATAATTGCGCAAAAAGTAATACCCCATAGGCGCAGGTAAGTGAAATTACCAGGGGTAAATTTGTAAGGTAGTGCAAAGTGATACTATGTAGGTCTACAGTACAACGATCAGACGACAGTATCGTTTGTTTGTAAATTCGCCAAAAAATTCTTGCACCAGCGCAAACTTGACTGATTTTCAAATTACTTTTCTTTGCAGATTCCATTTCGATATGGATATTATTCGTAGCTGCATTCGTGTTTGTCGTTATTTTATCAGTGTTTCTAATTTTATTGACCTTGTACCTGACTCGCAAGAACTGTTGTTGTGAACCAGATTTATCAAAACTAGAGTTTCCAGAACGAGGATTAACACAAGATCATAGCACAGAAAGCTTTGCGTTTCGGAGTTCCATACGCACATCACGAGCGGAAAGAATATTTCATGAAGATTACTGCGACGACTCTGAGATAGTTAATCTGCACACTGTTACATAAAATATATTAATAGCAAAAACTTGATGATTATCAACCATGGATGTAAGCAACTCCAATTTCGACCAGGGCAATAAATCTTCCAATAATAAAGATTACAATGTTCATTATACGACGAACTTCCACTGGAGCAGTGACGAAAAGAAACAAATTAAATTTTTAAAGTAAACGATGCTGCTGAAGCGTCAAGAGAGTAAGGAAAATGTGCACCAAAATGGATGTCTATATATTCAAGAACGATTTCCTCAATAAGCAGAAACACGTGGCTTGTAACGCATAACTAATTGCTTTTATGACTAATAGTAGCTCACGAGATAGATCCAAGTATAATTTGTACAATGAACGGTTCAACCATTTTACCAACACGTGGACTGTGAATCTGCCATGATGCAAGTCCATGGATTCTTTTTGAATATATTTCAAGTTGATAATTTCAGTATTACACAACCAATCGTTTTATGTATTTTTATTCAGAATTTTTTTGATTGGTATACTGAATATATATATATATTATTTTCATTCATATATATATATATATATAAATGCTTTTTCATTTGCGTTATCTGTTGCATACGTCAGCACCTGAAACTACAGCAGGCAAGATTAGTACTATTGTCTCGTAAAAGTATACCCAACGAATATTGAGACCGGAAATATTGTTGATTTGGTGCCTTCATTACTATATTTACTTAGCATTTTTTCTAGACTTTTTCAAAATCTATAAATATATTTTTCGGGCTCGACAAACTCGTTAACGTGGATTAAATTATGACAATCCTGTTGTGCCATGTAAAAATCAACTAGCTAATACTCATTTTTAAAATACGCTGCACTAAGTAAATTCAGACATAGTACAGGTATTGTTTATCGTACTGGGAACGACGGAAGAGAAACGGTAAACAGCCGAACAAGTTTAAACTCGAAACTGCTATGAATACGTTAGATACTGTACAAAACAGCGACAAATTACCACAAAAGTTGCTCAGTAAACATTTGTTCTACATCGATTTTTAAATTTCACTGTTTCGACGTCTTGCACTGTTATTGTAAAGTTAATGTATTTGTCGCGCTAGTGCTTTTTGCATATCACTGCTCGGAAACTATTCGGGCTTTTATAAGCGATTGTTAGGTGCTTCCTCATTTTGAACCAAGTTAAAAGTATTGCCCGATTTTGAATTAAAACACTGTTTTGTGTGCTTGTGTTATTTTTTTGTGAGTGGGCGCTTACTTTCATGTACCTTTTTTCAACTTTGCATCTCTACAATTTATTGTCTGTCCACTTTTTTAATGTTTAAATATATGTCAGAGTACAGTTGCCGAAATGATTGACATATAACCATTAAATGAAAATGTCAGAGCTGCAAGCGGAAAATTTCTTGTTCCAAAATAGCACACGCAGACTAGAGCATGAAGTCTATCAATTATTTGGAAACAAGCCTGTATATGCCCTCTGCCAATCGACTTTTTCGTTGGAAATTTACGTAATCGTGATGTGTAAATTTCAGTAATGATTGATGCCCACTTTCAGACCAGCCCAGCTAAACTACTGGCATCGTTACAGTCCGGGCGGTTGTGCGATTGATTGTTGATTGTAATTGATTAAAAAAAAAATTAAAACTGCAAAAATTTGCATTCAACATACTTTTCAATCATTTAGCCCCTCAGTAAGATTTTGACATATTGGACAATATCATTAAAAACATCTTCTTCTAACGCAGCTTCTTTCAGGCAATTTGAAACTTTAGTATTCGTTAAATCTTCGAACGATGCCTTAGCCTTCACAGGAAAATGTCCACCAACTTCTATACATGCTACATCAAACGGTTCAGCAGGTTGAAGCTTTTTGCTTGATTTTCGGGGAAATACCAAGGCTCTGGTTGTCCATTTATCACTTTGAGTACCATCTTTCCGAAGCAATTTTCCTCGATTCAAAAGTATATTGTATGGTGTGGATGTTTGATGAAGATAATCAGTAACTTTCACAACATATTCTGCAATCTGTGCAAAAAGAATTTAGCATTACTTATGATTTTGCATGATATTATTCACCCCTCCACAAAATACACCTCCATCAGTCGATTATAAATAAAATATGATACTGTTCATGATCTTCCGTCGAGTTAAAACTTAATAATAATTTTCGTCAATTTTTAAAGTTAAAAAAATTGTAACATCTCATGGTCCTAACGTAACTGGATATTTGCTGGTATCGCAAGGCTGAACTAAATTTAGTTTAGTTTATTTTGCTAATAGAAATAAACAGATTCTCCACTCATCTTAGACAGCGAACGACAGACTAAACAGATTGAAGCAAAATATAAACCAGAAATACCTTTTCCAGAACGATATGAAATAAGCAAAAATTATCATTCATATATTTTTGGTCATGATCAGATTGTGGTTCGAGACAAGAGTATTGCGCAAAGTTTAAATATAATAAATTGCTTGCACGCAATAGCAAATATATGAAATGATTGATCCACCTTTCGCCTGCCTTTGTTACCATCAGGAACAACAAAGACAAATGCAGGCAGAGGACTTGCTATATTGATTAGTGCACATGAACTTGATAAATGATATTCTGCAGGCAATATATCACCAAAAATTTCGTGATCGCAGTACATTCCATGGAAATGCAAATGATTGATTGAAGCCCATGCATGCAGACTGTTGAACCCAAGCCGAAAACCTGCGAAGTGCAAGAATTTTCATTAAATAATTTAATCTACCTATCTCAATACCAATTTGGTCAGTAAACACGTAAACACTAACCCCACAAAAAGGAGCTTCGATAAAGATTCATGTACAAATATTTGGGAAAAAGCAATATCTGATTAGTGGAAAAATCAATTTTATTCAAATTCTCTAAACATTTGTCCATTATTCTCATAATTATTCATGAACTCGATATCTTCCATATAAGTAATAAACTGACAGTTCTCACCTGGCTGGGAGCTTAGCTGTAGAATATCAAAGGCAATTTGTAGTGATTTCACTGTTAGTTTTTGTGGGAGACAATCGCTCAAATTAGTCGCAATTAGAATATGACCATATTCAATTGGACTGATATTCAACAAAATCTCAGTTTTTTCTTTTGTTATGACCTTGTCATCAGATTTTAAGCAAACTTCCATTAAAATTTCTTGTCTTGCTATTTTTGTGAAGTTGAATTGTTTTTCATCAAAATCATCATTCATAGATTCAAAACATTCTCTTTTCCTTCTGTTCACTGCTCGCTGTGGGTTCAGCTGAGCGACACAAGGGACAGGAAAGTCTTCATTTTGCTGTAAATTCAACTTCTTGTAAACAAGATCATCCAATGAGTAGCGAAACAAACCTACCCAAAAGTAGCTGAAATGAATTGACTCACATAATCCACAGTAATTTGAGTTGTATCTCATCTTTAGTAGTAAATTTAATTTTTCTAGAAAGGGCAATACCGGTATTACCTAATTTCAAAGAAATATCCACAATGAAACATACTTTTAATATATTTATTCAAACACTGTTTTATCTTAGAAATGGTATAATTCTACCTTCTCATATCAGATAAAATATATGTTGCCGAGAGACAAAATTTGAAAAGAAAGATGAAATTGATAATGTAAAAGTAGCAATGGATAAAAAATAACTGGGTAGAAATAAATGCAAGGTCTTAATGCTCCAGTTTAGTTGATCAAGGGCACAAGCCTGATTGTTTCCACAGGCATCCCATATACTTATGACAACTAGATCAAGATTTGGTAAATTTCTTTCCAGATTTTCTTGACTGGGACTTTCTCCTATTAAACCAGAAAATTCAGAACTACTTTTAATCACTTACCATCCTTTACTGCCTTATCCCATGCATTTCGGAGTTGCTTGTCAAATGCAGACAAACATTTCCCACATTCTTCCCATTCAACTGGTTTTTCAATCAAATCATCAACAGAATATGTAAAAAGTTTTCCCTTTTCCATTTGTGATGAACATTAGAAAAATATGGTAATATCTGTGATACATGAAAATAATGACATTGATATAAAATATGTACCAGTATGCTTTATTTAAATGTAAATATAAATGCTCATACTATGTATGATCAATTTCTGTACTGAATTACAACAAAAATGATTGTCTAAAAATATAAATGCTTGAAAATAAGCAATTTTTAAAAACTGTGCTTAGCTTATTTGTGACAAAGTTAAAGTACGTAAATAGGCAACATTGAATACAAATATTTGCATAGGTGCATCACACCCTCACTCTTAAGAAGACTACAAAGAGGCAGCTAACTTAAAAGAATAAACAAACTTGAAGTAATTGAGGCTTTAAATATAATAACCAATTAAATTCAAATGTACAAAATGTTATTCTATAAATATATATATCACAACAATAAAACATGCTGAATTCAACAACTGTTAGTTTAATATGGCATGTAGGTCTGTAGGTCATAATATTATCAATGGTACAGGGTCACCAAGATTGTAATACAAACAAAACCCCATAATATATTTCAAATTAGGTTATTATTGCCAGTTCACAAAAAGACAAATGTGATAAAAAATAGATCACAGACATTCTGTAGAAGTGAATTGTGTCATAGTCATGCTTGATGCACAGTGTAACATTCACAAAGTCCAATATTTTCCTAAAGGTAATTTTGCACATTATTGGCATGGAAAAAAAAATGAATTAAAAAAAATATGACTCATGAATTTTTTTTTAATATAGGTATTTACTATTTAACTTTCAAGAATTTTTTTCAGAGAAGGAAGAATCTCAACGCCACTTTCCCATGTTTTGACTTCACACTTCAAAACATCATTCTCGAGTTTCATCAATTTTTTATGTAGGGAGAATCCTTTTCTTGCAAATAACATATCCTTATCACTCAAAGTAGTTGCAGGACAATAATCATTAGTTCCATCCCCAACATAAACTATGTTGCTGTAGGATACTCCAGCAAGTTGACGTTCAGCAATGAATTCCTGCATCACTCTTCCTTTGCATAAATTGTAAGGGCATATATCATGGTCATGAATATGATAAGGTGTCATTTGAAGCATTCCATCATCTCTGAATAAGGCTTCATTAGTAAAAACTTTGATTGGGAGATCTTTAGCATTGTGTTGCGACAATACTATATCGATGAACCATGTATTCGAATCTGATATAATGATAAAATCAATATTGGCCTGGTGCTGTCTAATAAACTGAAAAATCTCAACCATGTAGGCAGTAAGTGGAAGCATTCTTAGTACTTCCTCATACCTGTCTTTTGTTGCATCGCATTCTGCATGAAGATATTGGAAAACTGCATTCATATATGCTGTCCACTGCCCTTTTTTATATGGTAACTTGACTTCAGATGGTATATCCCCATTTGGACTGAGCTTATAAATTGCAGTATCAGTGTTGGCATCAACAATGGTATGATCAAAATCGAAAGCTAAAAGTAATGTCATGTTGCTTAAACTTTGTTAAAAAAGGTTTAACATTAGTTGAAAATTCTTCCCCGTTTCGGTAATTGAAGGAGCCAGAAATACTGTATACTTAATACAGCTAGGTTTATCAATTCGACAGTTTTTTTTTTTTTTTTTTTTAATTGGTTCACTCATTGAGTGATTTCAATAAATATGTAAAAAATAAATAAACAAATAAAATAAATTATAGTCCACATTCCATTCATGATCCATTTGTTAAATTGAGTTTCACAGTATTTCCAGTTTGTTTCATCAGTAATAAGTATCCAACGATAATAATGTTATTTTAATAATTACAATGATATAATACAATAAAAAAGGAAAAACACAAAATTAGTAAATACAAAAAACTTATTATAAACCTGATTTAATATCTAAATTAATGCTTTACATAAATTTTGTAATTCTTTTTCAAAGGGTTTGTCTACTCTGGAATTTTCTATATTTTTTCTATACATTAGGGCCATTTTTATCTGTTTTTTAAGGAGAGCAATGTCAGGTGTTTTATTTTCAAATATTATAGAATTTCTCATTATCCAAATTTTATATCGCACTATTGATAATAAAAGAATAATTGCATTCAAATCTAATGCTGTTATATGACTAAATAAAGGATCATTAAAAATGTAGGCTATTCAATTGCCAAATATAGGTTGAATGTTTGGTGCATTCCATATTCCACCAGAATATTCTGTACTTTCCATGGGCTGCCCCACTTTTAGGTAAGATAATCCAAAAGAACGTATTGTGACATCTCGAACTAAGTTTTTTGAAATTTGTATGTCGGGAACATTTCATGAATTCCTGTCAAACATGAATTTATCGATATTCCACTCAAAAAATTCTGCACTTTCCAGTTGCCGGCTCCTCTCTTAAGTACGATACACTGAGAAATATATATTGTGACGTCATAATGAGTGTATGTCGGGAAAATGTTTTAATATCTTTCCAAACATGGCCCAAACAAGAGATTTACATCAATATTTACGAATATCGATATACCACTCGGTTATTCTGTATTTTCCGATGGGCGGTCCCACATTGAAGTGAGATATCCTAAAAACATATTGTGAAGTCATTTCGATCCAAGTTTTATATCATTTGTATATCGCGAACATGTCATAAATTTCAATTTAAAAAGGACCCAAACAAAGAAATTTTCATCCAAATGCATAAATATCGGTATTCCATCCAAAAATCCTTTACTTTTCGATTGCCGTCCCCACTTTTACCCAAGATATTCTAAATGAACATATTGTGTTCCCGAAATATCTTTTTGGAAAAGTCTGATAGTAGGTGATCCGGCAGATATGAAAATTCAATTGGATATGCGAGATATTCGACCTTCTGTTTAAAGTCTCAGCTTCTGAGAAACAAAATATATCACGAGATAATTGCACTAAAGGAATCATAGTAAAAAGTCAGTAAGAACAGAAGCGAACTTAACTAAACAACAGGCGATTTAAACGTCTTGGAGAGATTGATACAGTGTATGGTGAACTCCATAATTCTCTGAATAGGGAATACAAAGATAATTTGATTGTTTGTCCCAAAAAGGAAAGTTGAAAACAAGAAACAAATTGATCAGGAAATTGAGAAATAGAGAAATAAACGATTCCGAATTAAAAACAAGAGAGCTATGCTCAAATATATGGACACGTAGAGTCACATATTTTGATGACGTCATAGCGAAAAAAAAAGTAATAGCCTTTTGGAGAAAATTTTTAATTTTACCCACTGAAAATTTCAAAGCAATTGGTCCAGTATTCGAAGAGAAAAGCGATTTCTTCAAAACGTGTTGACGGAGACAAATAATAACAATAAAATTTTGAAACGATCGTTATGTCCACTACGTGCCCAATAAAGATAAATTGACAAGAATATATCTCCAGCCACTATTGGACCCCTAAAGATGTTTTACCCCGTAAATAATGAATTACGAAACTCAAAATTATTTTCAGAGGAGACTGATTTACTACACATAGTATATATACGTTTATAATATACGTTGCTTCTGATAAATTTGCCAAATTCGATTTGTGCATGTGAATCAGTGGTAACGGTGTCAAATATATCTGATCAAAATATTATACAAATTTATGAGAGCTCTTAAATGAAATCCAATTCAAATGACAAATATGTGTTTTCCCTTCTCATATGACCAAAGCTAGAAACAAATATCAAAATGAATATCCGTTTGGAATACCGATATTCGTGAATTTTTGTGTGAAATTCATGTTCGGGCCATACGTTCCCGGCATACAATTTTTATAAAACTTTGTCCCAGATGACTTTACAATATGTTCTATTAGGATATTTCACTTGGTCGTAGGACCGTCTAACAGAAAATACAGATTTTTTTAGGTAGAATACCGATAGTTATGAATTCTGGTGTACAATCCTAGTTTGGACCATGTTTGACAAGATATTATCATATGTTCCCGACATACAATTTCATTAAAACTTGGTTTTAGAATACTTGCCGTTATTTCAGGTACATCATTTTTTGGTGGAATACCAATATTTAGAATTTTGATATTAATTTCTTTGTTTGGGCGATGTTTAGCAGAAACTTATGACATGTTCTCGACATACAATTTTTGAATCTTGTTCAAGGTAACCTCACAACATGTTCTTTAGCTTATTATACTTAAAATTGAGGCAAGCTATTGTAAAGTACAGAATTTTTCGGTGGAATACGGAATGCACCAAACTTTTGACGTAATTCTTTAACTCAGTCGCGCTTTCTTTGCGCCATGTTATATCGTTTAATGGTAACCTCATTTTTACCTTCTCGAAAATGTCATCACATCGCCATCGTCCATGCTTAGTTTCGTCCAGTAGTGGGCGACATATATCACTAATCAGCTGATGTTGTTGTCGTGACAACGACGCCTGTTAATCAGCTGCTTGACCTATGACCTAGCATAGCATGTTTCGGCATCAATCAAGGGAGATCAAGTTTTGGTTTCTTTATGCTGTAATGCGACTTTGCGATGATATGCTTGTACATTTTTACTATAATCTAGCTTTTATTTTTGTGTTTACATATTTAGTTACTTCTAATACATATTGCAGTATCAGTATAGACCAGTGGTCGGCAACCTTTTTTAATTAAGTGACGGACCGGTAAAGCCTGACCAAAATTTTGTCCGACCACTTTCAGACTTTTATACAAACGAACTAAGCTTATGTGATAAATTATACGAGTTAGGATATTCATGTTGACAGTATACTCAAAAACGAAGGTGATGCTATTTAATGCGATATCTGTATTTGTTTACTGACCATTAACTGTTCCCAATTTGGAGATATGGCGGAAAGTGATACACCTTATCTTACATCCAGACTACTTTGATATTTTGTTTTTGTAGTTGTCAATATTAAAAACTTGGCCTCACATAAATACGATGTCGGAAAAGGTAATTATGCCTGTAAAGCTCCTGTAGCTATGTCTGGGTATTGATTAATGTTTGACGTTATTTATGTTTGTTTAGCCATAACTAATTTTACTACAAAATGTGCTACCCTTAGGATTATCATAAAGTATAGAATTAACACTGTCTAGGTATGACCGGTTAGCTACTAGTCAGTAGTCACACTGTCAGCGAGAATCATTTTGTGGGTCTTACTACTTACTGAATACAGCGCGAAACACCGCAAAGAGCGCAAAACAGCGCAAAAGAGTGCGAAACAGCGCAAAATAGCGCGAAACAGCGCAAAAGAGAGGAAAACAGCGCGAAACAGAAGGAAACCAGCGCAAAACAGAGGGAAACAGCGCAAAACAGGAGACGCAGTCATTACCACCTCCTGCCACGAAAGAACCACGGCGCCTCTCGCCATGGTTTTATGGCGCTATTTCCGGCATATTTACAAGGTTATGTACCGGATTATAGGTCATCATGCGAAATTTTATCTACCTTTTTGGTGCTCCAGAAGTATGTGCAGAAATATGTCGCACAACCTGAATCCGCTACACACACACACATACTATTTTCAGGTTGTGCGCCATCTTGGTGCACATACTTCTGGAGGTCCCTTTTTACCTAACCCTAACCCTAAAGCCAACCATATCCATATGGAAAATGTTCTAAATTATGGTACCCAAAATGTGTCACCAGCAGGGGCAGACCTGTCATTACAGCATTACTGGCTACATACGTTGGTTTGTGTTTTTAATTTGCTGCCGTGGTACTCCAACTCAAAACAAGGTGCCCCGAACTCATTGCAAAATTTTTTTTCTGCTTCACACTGTTTCCCTCTGTTTTGCGCTCCTTCGCGCTGTTTTGCGCTGTTTCCACACTGTTTTGCGCTGTTTCCCTCTGTTTTGCGCTGTTTCGCGCTGTTTTGCGCTCTTTGCGGTGTTTCGCGCTGTATTCAGTAAGTAGTAAGACCGTCATTTTGTTTGAGAGATCTTATTCGGATTGGAATAAGACTTCTTTACGTAGACGCAAAGGACGCAGCATTATTGCGACATACTTGAGTACTTACGTTTGAAGTCAGACATGCTGCTAAAATGCGTTGTGTTTGCCTGGTTTGCTGTTTTTAGTCGCAGTGTTTGGGGTTAGATTGCACAATTGTTATTAGGGCCTTTCCCGTTTTCTGTCACCCTTCTGCGGACCGGCGATGGGCCGCAGCCCGGTGGTTGCCAACCACTAGTATAGACCATTCTGCAGTTCTGTTACTGCAATATTGATTACAGACTTAATTAGCCACAATAACATAAGAACTTATAGACCTGTAAACAAAAGAACAGAACAGGGACCTGGTTTATTCTCAGTGGAGAGATGTCACTGCATCTATTATACCAAACTATCAAATCTAGCCAACAAAGAGGAAAGCATCTCATATTAATGTAAATCATAAGCTTGTTTCCTTATTTTATTTCTATGGCGATAAGTTGAATGAAATTAAATCAAAAATGTCAATGCCTTCTGGAAAATAATGTGATATTCTCATTTTCGAGTAAGACGCAATCTGAGAAACTTTCGTAGCCATATCGTTATAACTAATCGCGCTTGCTTTGCCCCAAAATGGCTTGCTACCTACAGACCTACAAGTTCTAATGTGGATCTTCATTTCCAGAAAAGTACCGTACTGTTTGACAGCAGTTTCTATTACAATTAAGTGAGTGGAATTATCATGCACGAACTCACATTCCACATTGGTTTCCACATTTGTAGTATTTTCATGTGTCATCATAGCAATGTAGCCTTTTGTGTTGCCTCTCTGTGCCGTTCTCTCATCATTTTGAGCGTTCTTTACGTCAAAGCATTGTTGTAGGTTCTTTACGCTTCACGTCCAGCCTTCTCATAGACCAGCGATCACAAATGAAATTGTTAAGTCAGTGAACATCTGACTACCCCATAAAAATTGTCAAATTACCCCTTTAGGAGTAATTACCCCCACTGATATATACTTATCAGTATATTGGCAGCGCCTATCAATCAATATACAGATATATATTACAGCAGTAGCAGGACTTGTCAAGTTGCAATAGCCTCAGTACAGTCATACAGTAGTACTGTGGTAGACCAATTTTTCAAAGTTGAGATAGGTTGCTGCTGCTGTACTGTACTGTCAGACTATACTACTAATTCAAGAACTTTGCAATTCCAGAAGTCCCAAATTTTAATCATATTTTAGGAAGACAGGTATGGTATTCAGAAATGATCACTTACCTGAGTGCCAAGTGCCTCGTATTGTAGTAGGTGCCATATCAACAAATGGAGTGTGACTCAATACCATAATCAGGCAATAGTGATTCAAATTATCTACTCCAGTATTCTCTGCTATTCAGGCTATTTGAGTTTATTTGCTGATTTACAAGTTCATCAATCACTATGCATATCATTGTTTTTTGCTGTTCAACCATTATTGGGTCATTAACTGGTGCTTTGTGCAACTTGCACTCGTTTTTTTGAATAGTTTGTAATGTGCGTAGGAATATATTCATGATCCTACTAAATGAGTCAATATTAAGTATAATAATGCACACAAATGAAAAATAAAATTTTCTCTCCCAAAACAGTAACATTCATTGTGTTATAAAGTTACATTATTACATACACAACTAACTCACCATTGTATTGAGATCCACGCCACCATCAAGATTTTTATTTAGAAAATGCCAATCCTACAAATTTCACATAGCTTAGCAGTTTTTTGGGTGGATTATTCGTTGATTTTTTCGACTGTGTGCAACTGTGCATGTATGTTTATTTTATTTTTTTCAATTTTGAACATAAAGAATAGATTGAACTCTTTTTGGCCACCTTTTTGTATCTTCCATGTTTTGTTCAGAAGACATCACCTACAATCAATTGTACATGGGCATCACTCATAATTCACTCGAAAATAATTAATTAGGGATTAATTACTACAATCTTATTTTCTCTTTTGCATTCCCATTTTTAATTGAGTCATTTTCCGGGTTTAACTTGTATCATACACAGCGAAAGCCGAAAGTGGATCTGTAATTTTAATTAACTTGAACATCAACTTTCTTCATAGTGTCTGATTAAGTATGCAGATAGATAAATTTCTGAAAAATGGTTCATTACCAGAGAATTAGTAGAGATGTATATTTCTTTCCTATTTTTTTATTCTCTTATCTTATCACAAGATGACTTTTGACTATTCATTGGACTACAAATGTTATCAAAATTTTGTAGGAAAGCAGATAAAATAGGCATCAGGCCGTGGAATGACCTTCATTACTTTAAAAATTACTAGTTGAAATTAACTTGTACCACATTCTGTTTTAAGAATGGTGTTGTATTGCATTGTCGGTAAAAGTGGTATCATAATCGACATCGTGTATTGACTTATTCTTTTATTATTGAAACGTGACTCTTAAGTGTCCTTTGTTTCAGATTACTTGTATAAATACAAAGGAGGTATTCAAGACTGCCTTCACATAATACTAAAATATCCCCTTGATACAATGGTGAAGATAAATCTGCCATAGTGTACATCCACAATAGAAGTGATAAAACAGGAAACAGAAAAAGCGTAATTGCAAATACTGTGTGAACAGATTAAGTTATTTTTTTTTATTTGAGTATTAATATTTGAGCATTATATATCAATATGTGCATAATCTATATTTAGTTGAATGTGAGACTCTTTGATAGGGGATGACATAGACTACCGGTATATCTTTTATTTTAGTTCTGTATTTGTGAAACAGACACTCACAAACAGATGAAGGTCAAGTGCATTTGCTGGCACTAAATTTAATAATTGAAGACAACACTCTTGAGAGGTTTTGTTTATCATGATCAATAATGAGCCAGGATTTTGATTGGGGAGTTTTTACTGACATACAGTTTCTAAAGATTTAAAGTCAGATCAAGTCAGACTCAAATTCAAAACCATTTGGCAATAGTCTAATGCAGGGGTCTCCAACTCAGAACATGTCGCGAGCCACTTTTTGAAATTTATCCACTACGCGGGCCTCAAGCCAATAAATTAGGTACGAAAGAAGGTATCTGAATGTAATGTATTGAAATTACACTTGAATCTTACATCAAATGAGACATGAAACAGATTCATTTACGTGGTCTCGATGTTTGGCCTTATTTTGCGTTGGTTTGCTAGTCCTAAGACAACATGAAAATGCTCGTCCGTTTGTCGTGTGCGGAGGAATGACTAACATTCATAGTTGAAAAAAAAACTGCTTGCAAATATAAGAACTGCCAAACATATGCGACATGAATGTGCAATTAGCTTTGCGAACCTTTCTTCGGCACAATGGACTGAACGAAATCGTTTATTTCGTCACAATGAACACGCGTAATGAAATTATTGCATTTATAATTGAATTATACCAATGGAATAAAACATGAACATGGATAACAGGGGGAAATTTTTGCTTCACTTTATACAGTTTGTCAGACCAGACTCTTGATGATAAATGACACGATAAAACTTACTAATAGTGACATTAGTTTTTTGTGGAAAAATCCCAACCATGATGCGGGCCGCAAAAAAAATGCCTGGTGGGCCGCGTGTTGGAGGCCCCTGGTCTAATGCATAGAAGTATTTTTATTTGCTTGTGGTAGGCTACTTGTTTTGAAGCAATAATTGGCAAACTGACCTGCAAAATTTTTTTTGTGGCGTTCAACAACCTCATTTTCAGGGCATATTACAAAAAAGGCTAATAAAATCATTATTATCTGTGCATGAATGTATGTCACAATAATGGCTGTTTTAAGGTGTTTATTTTGTAGTTCAGTGGTGTGAGCGTCATCATTAGAAGTTAAATGTCGCAATTGTTGACAGCCGGAAATAAATATGGCTAGCACACTACCCGAAAAATTTTTATTTGGCCCAGTAGTACATAAAGTTTACCACCGTTTTCAAACTTTGATAAGATATGTGTAGTTCCAAGTATGTCCTGTTGGTAAATTCAAGTCGAGCACATTAATGCACTGAACACTTTTTATTATAATATATTACTTTGAACAACTCATTAGGTTCATTTATATTAAATTCTGTATATTCAATTACAAAATGCCTTCTCATCTTGGCCATGGAATGCATGTTCCATATTTGGACAGAGGCCCGAAAGCTCAATCAACCTATCACACTCTCACCAATTTACCATTCGAAATGAGACCTAAATTACAGAATAGATATGAGTATGTCACTCGGCCGTCCAGTGTTCATCAACCTCTGGAACCAAGGACAAAGGTACTCATATACACTTATTTGTGCATGGTTATGAGTAAATATTAATATACACGTTTGTGTATCGAAAGAACTGGCTTTCTGATGGTGTTGTCTTTTTCATAATTCCATAAAATGAGTCTGAAATTATTATTGAAAATTTCATTGACATTTATGACAGCAGCGTGGAAATTCTTCTAGATTACGAAGCAATATATATTGTTTACTCTGTTTATACATGACAACCTGCATTAGATAAGCTAAAATTAAAATTGGAATGTCATTTTCAAAAACAGAATATTATATTCATCTAAAGCCTTGTATTCAGACTCCCACAAGTCCTCGGCGGACAAGCCTTGGGTTTGTACGAGACGTGAAGAAAGACGAACAAAAAGAAATGTCTGGAGTAGAATATGCAAAATTTTTAAAGTATGTATTTCTATTTATTTATTCAATGAATTACTCAAATTTTTTGACACTCTGTACCATGCAGTAAACAAAGCGTTAACGAACATGTGAGATGTGCCAATCTCTCAGGGTAATGTGCCAATTTGTTAGGATTGTATAGCCTATACTGAACTTTGTAAAAATGTGGTTAATGATTTCATAGCTAAATCATTGCAATTCACTTGAAATTTGCAGAGAAAATGAGAGGACTCTGGGACCTAGTGGATTTTTAGACTCCAGGAGATACAACCATACTTTCAATGTGAGAGGTTTAACTGTTCCCCCTCCTCGCGCCGGGGTAGCTGCTCTCAAGAAACCAGATTCAGAACCAACTAATGTTATTAACCTTGCTCATAAAACAGCAGCTTATGAAAAAGAATTTGAAAGAAGAATGAAAATAATTGAGGTAATACTTGGAATTTTGGATATATATTTCATTGAAATGGTCTCTAGATATATGTTAACATTGTTTATTTTTTATATTTCATATTCTTGGAATTGATATGTGTGTGTGTATGAATGCGATGTACATTGTTGATGCAAAAGGCTAGTGCTTAGGGACACATGTCAGGATGAAAGGTTCCTTTGCAGTATTTTTTGGCCATTCTAATCATCATATTTGATATTTGATGATCGGGTTCCTTATGATGTCACAGATGAGAAGTGATCGCAACTTCACTTCAAGGACCTATTTTTTATCAAATTGACATTATTCGAACGTCAAATTTCAAAATACCAACTGCTCAGATGAAATCTGTACCAGGAGACCAAATGACATTGCACAATTGTGGCTCCGGCGATGTTTCTACCGTTATAAACTCTTTACACCCATTAGTTTATTTAACATTAAACAAGTGAACTTGCATTTCACACATAATGTTGAAAATTTGATAGTCTGTGCCTAACTATGTCATTAGAACATTAGTTGTCAATAAACGTTTGCTCCGAAACTTGTTTACAAATGAAAGTACGGAGAAACGTCCCATACAAATTGATCTGTATTGCATAATATTGTTAACATCTTTCAGCATTAAAGAAATGTCAGAGGAATGGAATGCCAGATTAAAATTTCTATCTTGTTTCATTACTTGCGTTTCATTCTCAGGATCACATGTGGCAACACAAGCAAGAAGAAAGAGAAATAAAAAGAGTGGAAGGAGACGTCATTAAAAAGAAAAGATTATTGCAAAGAAATATGAGAGAATATGAAAATGGTACTCACATATTCAATAGCTACTTAGTGGAGTATTTTAGAGGATTTAATTCAAATAAGTAGTGCATTCAATCAAATTTGTTTTTTCTATGGGGTGAAAAAAAATTTCTAGTGAGTTTTCTGTAGATCATAAATTAAATATTTCTATTTCTGACACAGATTTATTCATCAATAAAAATAAAACGATAATAACATTTTTGTAAATATCACACAAATACTGTTTGTACCAATTTAAATCTGGCAGATTCAAAACTTAGATCGATGTGATAAAATTCAATCTTAATTTCTCAGTTTCAAGCAACTATTGAAAACCAAAAAAATGTGAAGTAATAGATTTTTTTGTCTTTTTCTCAGCAATGGCTAAAAAGATGTTGGACGAAGAAAAAAGATTAAACACTACGATTGAACAGACAGAAAAGGTAATGAGTTGTTTCATAAATTCATATGAAAAAATTCCATCTTAATTTAATTTTTCTTATCAAATAAAATGATTGCTCGATTTAATGTTGCATATGACAATAGATGAAAATTTAATCGCTACAATTGTACAGAAGCACAGCTGAATGATATGGTGATTTATTTTACAATTACTGTATATTAATTGAATTTCCCCGACTTTTATTTTTACTCTCTCTCTCAAATCATATATGAAGATTCATATCAACCTTATTGGTAAATTATTGAAGGACTAAGTTTCTCGTTGTGTTTATTGCTTTCTTTTATTTCAAATTTTAATGTTAACTTGTTTTAATCTTGGTGTCGCAGACTTATGATGACCATTTCTGGTCCTTCGCGACTTCCACTCAATTGCAATGAAATCTGTTACTGTGATGCATATTTTTTTTTCTTATTTCGAATTTGAGTCATGATTTCTAGCACGACGAAATAAACGTATTGTCTATTGGGGGCATGCACATAGTATATATATCGATTTGATTTGTTTGAAGGTCAAAGTTGAAGCCACTCATGCAAAGGAGGAGAGGACGAAACAAAGAATTGCAAAAGCCCATGATGATCTTCAACAGGCAAAAGCAAAGCTGAGGAAGAATGCACTGATTGTGTAGGAAATAAATAAACTTCTATGTTTTTCTACTGTTTGATTTTTTTTTTACTAGATGTAATATTGGAAAACACAAGGTCTTACGTTTAATATTTCACCACAAAAACCTACAGAACATATAGCGCATGATTACCACCAGGTATATTCATGTCGAGGGTAAATAAAGCACAACCGGTGTTAGCAAAACAATGTAATTTGCGGATGTTTCGAATTTCTTCACAGGCAGGAGGAGTCTTTTCCATATCATGCCCTGATGAAGTTTTCTGTATATAAATTCAAAACGCCAGCATTTTATATTGTCCAGCTAGCACTGGTTGTGCTTTATTTACCCTTACTGAACAGATATTTTGTAATTTTGTTGATACTTCAATGAGGTTTAAAACATTTGATCCAAAGGGAATGGTATTGTCAAGCCTACCAATGACAGAGGATAATAGTCAAAACAGTAATGGGGTAAGCTTTCTTTGGGATCATATGGTTGTTAATATTGTGATATCATCTTTTCATGAAAGGAAGAGCTTTCATAATTTAGTTATCTTTTCATCCAGGGATGGGGAGCCGTAGCCTTGCGCCACAGAGCTGTGACATTGCTTGAGCTGGAGCCAGGATTACTGTGTTAAATGGAGCTGGTGGAATTTCAGTGACTCCAAATTCTAACCACCGAATTTTTTTTTAACGTTTAAGATTTTTCAAATATACAAATACTATAATCTATCTTTTTCAGCTGATAAATTTCAATGTATAATATTAATTTAAAAGTTTAATTTTTATTTTCAAAATTTAATTTTAAAAATTTGAAACCTTCATATCATCGTTTTGAGTCCTGCTTCCACTAAACTGCATTTGTGCAGATATTCCATGGCAGTAGTTAGTTGGTCATACTTAAAAACCACAATTGGTCAAAAACCTCAACAGGAACTGAAGCCCAGCTTCTATGTAAAAATATGGAGCTCCGGAGCTGGATCCAGAGCTACTGTGATTTCGAACGAGTTCCCCAGCCCTGCTTCCATCATAAAACATTTCATTTGTGTTTCAGAACTGATGCAGAGCGTCAATATCGATTAAAATTGACTGAACTTGAAACTCGAAAAATTGAGATTGACAGAATAACAAGAGAATTTGAGGAAAAGTTGAAGAGAAAGGAGGAGGCAACCTTCAGACTAACAAAACAACTCGGTGAATTGTCCATTGCAATGAACATGGAATCTATGAAAGGAAGAGTTGCTGCAACTGAAAATAAAAAGTAAGGATGTGAAATATCTTGTACAGGCCCAGTCAGATGTTTATAGACGTTTTTTTTTTAAATTGGAATGAAAGACATATATTGTAGTGACAGCATAACTGCGAGCTTCATCCAAAATATATCATTTTGAGGATAAAGTACCAGGCCAACTTTTGTTCGCTTTGTATAGGATAAGATAGGATTTACACATTTATCCTGTGGGACAAGAAAGCCAATAATCATATGGAGTACCACAACCTCTCGTTCGGTTACCGGTCGATGTAGGATATGGGACAATGTAGGATTTGGATTAGTTAACCAATTTTTGTTTTTAAATGCATGAACTTGATGGGACAGGAGGCCGTATCTGATCAGCGATTACGTGAACGGCCCTATGACGGCGAGGAGTCCAACAAACATTTTGCACATAATTTTCATCCACAAGATTCGTACCTGCTAGCCCATGCAGGGTTATCAAAGTTGCGATGGAAAGGGTGTTTCTAGCGCTTAGCGCCATACGCTACATCGGCTAGTTCCTGGTGATATGTCGATTTTGGCCCATCCCTATTCATATTTTTTTAGTTTACATAAAACTTTTATTATTTGCCAACTTTGATAAAATTTTCTGCTCTCAATCATCGCTAGTGCAGTTATGCTTTTTCGCTAATTCTCAAGTCTGTCTGGAATGATATCTGTATTTTCAAAGGCAAGAAAGAGTCTCAGCTACAAAATACATCCATGAAAATCGTCATCATGATCTGGAACTGGAGAAGAAACTTGCAAAATCAGATGGACTAAACAGAGCCGCACAAAATAGAAGGAGGCAACACAGTGCAAACATGGTTCAGAAGAAAGACCATCTTTCAGAAAGAGGCAGAGAAGGTAAACTAATTTTAGGAAGTTCACATCATTACTTGAGAGAAAAATGAAAGATTTGTCAAATCTAGTAACAAATGAAATTTTAGTTTGGTATTGTTGTGATAATTAATAATTGTTGTGAGAGAGTTTTATTCCTCAATATTTCTTACTGTTCGCTCATAAGTCTGCTTTTCAAACATAGATCATTTCTGGTTTAGGTATCTATCCAGCATCACGAGTGGCCATGTGGTGACTACTTTTTTCCCTATTTGCATTCTTTTTATATAATTCTAACTGTCTATACTTTTTCAATCAGTATGGTTATTTTCACATATAATGCAGATCTTGTTTAGCGCAGTACACACAAAAACAAAACTCCACAATAATCATTTATTTATTTATTTTCTGCTGGTTTGTCTTTTTCCTCATTTGATGAAACTTGTAGATTGTTCCCTGCTGCTGTTACACTTGAATGACGTGGTAGAGGTATTAAACTAGGTTGTCTTGGTGTTTGTTCAATAGTCACATGACGCTGGCTAGAAACTTGAAGGGACCGTGTAGATTTCTGTGTTTTGCGAGCATTTTTACATAGACCTCTTGAAGTTTCAAGAAGCCTGGAAAAGTTAAAAATACAATAATGTTAACTAACTATATATTGTTGAACCCTGACAGAGTAATTTTGCCTTGTTCTCACAAATAAATGATTGAATCATGTTTTTTACAGAAAAAATCGAATTACAGTACATGGAAATTAATTGGTTTTCTATTATCACTGTTAATATAAGTGTGCATGTACTATCTTCATGAGATTATATTTGTTCTTGGTCTGAATGTCTTATTTTCAAATGACAATATTCTCTACTACTACTACTACTGAATGTAAAAGATGTTTGATATTTTCAAAGTAAACTAATTGGTTTTTATTCTCAACTTTGACTAGTTTTTGGTATGTCACCTTTCATATGCTTTCTCTGTCTCTTCTATTGTCTTATCAAGTTCTGCTCTGAATTGTGTTTTTACTGCTTGATCTTGTGATATCTAAAAGCAGTGGAAATCTGTCATGCCCAGGATTTTAGTGTATTTGACATTTCTCAACTGGCAATTATATATTTTGCTAGCTCGTTAAAGTTATTTTTTAAATGTCTGACCTTTGCTAATCTAGTGGTTAGGAATCTAATATCATTTGTTAATTTTTTTCTCTCTAACTCGAGTCTTCCAAGTTCATTGTAAATTCTTTCACGTTGTTGTCTCATTTCTCCGATGCATTTCTTCACCTGTGAATAGTGAAAAGTTAAAGTGTAGCTTTTCTGTGTCACATTTCAGTAATTCATCAATTGAAAACTATACACATCAAATTACAAGTACAACATAATCTTTGTATTAGAGCAGCCAAGTCTTACCTCAACAGGATAATCTTCTGGCTTTATATTCTTAATGCTATCACTGGACGACATCTTCCACGGGGTTGTGGTTGAGGTTTAGCTGACAAATATTCAGTATTACTACAAAATGATGATTTGTATTGACACATATTTTAAACTTTATGACATCATAATTATACTTATATCAATTAAAGGTACAGTATATATGTCCTGCATTTGACAATCTGAATGTATAAACTTATCAGACCTTTTATCAATTGAGACAATTATAATAAATGGTGCGAGTATTGGCATGTCTTCGTAATATTTGTACTTAAAATCTATCCAGTGGAAATCTTTTTAAATAACAGAAATTTCTGATAGCTTGACTAGGCAGAATTATATATTTGCAGAAAATTTACATTCAATTTTCATATGATCATCTGCTAGGGTCTTGTTGTCATTGCATAATTGTTAATAGCTTTCACCAACCACATTGCCTGATATTCATGTATCTCTCAATGAATTCATGATCAAATGAGAAGTCATGTGATTACCTTAGCTGCTTTATAGACTGAATTATCAAATGTATTCTTTTTTTAGAAGTTTACTCGCTTTTTGTTTATTAAATAAATGATAATATTGAATTTAGGTGACAGAAGAGTAACTGACACAAAGAACATGATGGAAAACAACATAGCTAATCAGAAAAAATTGAAAGAAGACAAAGATGCAGAAGGATTTTATAAACAGAAGAAACAATATGAAAGAAACGTGGAGGTAGAACTTGTTTGCAATATTCATGATATTTTGCACTAGATACTTAGCCACTTAGCTAGTCCCTGAACTCGTAATAGAACTAAAATGGAAAATTGGAATAAAATTATGGCCTAACCTGATACACATACTACATTCCAGTGTCTGCCTTCTTGGTTCACATACTTCGGGAGTACCCAAAAATAATCCTATTTGCTCAAACACAGCTAATTAGGATGATTTGTATGAGACAAAATACCTATCTATATTCATAGTCAGAACATGTCTCAAATTTAGCTAAGTTTATCGGTTTTCTGTACTGAAATTTTCATATTATTGCTCCCATTTCTAGGAACATGTTTTGAGGAAGAACATTGCACTACAACAAATTCAAAACATGAGAAGAGAAATGGCAATGAAGAAGCAGGAGAATTGGGAAAAAACATACGAAAACAATTATCGTGATTTCACTCGGCGGAGAAATGAGGATTTAATCAGAACATTTCATGTACAGTGCTTAATATACTATTTAGAAATAGAAAATTGAGTATTTTATAATACTCAGTTAAATGAGCAATTTTGGTACCTTTTTAGTAATTCATGCCCATACTATGCCACATTTTTGAACTCAAACTCTACTCAAAACTCAAAATCTTTGGTTGTTTTTGTCAAAGGATCTTTTTTTACTCTCGAACACTGAATATTTTACAACTAGAATTTGCCACACATTTTATTATTTCTGAATTGCTGGTACAGTGGTTGACCCACTGTCGTTCATGGTGTTTTATTGGACTGTAGTAGCTATCTTTCAGTGTCAGCCGAGCATTTATTTTTGTGAACTTGTCATTTTATTACAGAGGATTGTTAACCATGACAATGAGATGGATCATCAGCTTTATCAGAAGTGCAGACAATTCGATTTTGGAAGAAAGAGTCAGGAACAAACTCTTAAGAAAATGGAAGAACAACTAAACCGAGCAAGACTGAGGAACAACACAAAGGTCGAGTGTCATTTTTTGACTATTCTTTAATGAGAGTTGGAAGAACTTTTTGACACATGGCTAAATTTTGTTTGGGTGCTCTTGCCCCCTAAGTTGCCGGAGTAGTTTGTGTGTAACCTTTCTTTTAAATTACAGTTAAGGCAAGATATGACAGAATCAGACTTCAAGGAGCATGATATACAAAACAAAATTGCAAAGACTAAAGCAGAACTTTTCCGGGTATAGTATATTATTTCATTCCGACCTTTTACACTTATAGCTATATATATATTTATCAAGCATTCAACTAATCAAGTAATTTATACCAATTTTAATCCTTTCAGGCACAAAACCAAAGATCATCTGCTGAGTACATGTTGAGAAGATTCAGAGGAGCAGCAAAAGAAACTGAGTATATTTATAATGAGAGACTGAGGGTAAGTTTGAATTATTGTTTACACAATATTTGTTACCATTTCAGTGACAGCATTTATAACATCTCATGGGTAATTAGAAAGCCTCAATATAGACAATAACGTTCAGGCATAAATTTTTTTGCTCGTAATCAAACAGTAAATTAGAAGGATTATCTTTTGTAATGGCTCGACTTAGTGATGGGTACGTCATAAATTTTGCTAACTGAAATTATTTTCATCAATAAAAAACAGTTCAAGTAACCCACCATAGCACTGGACCCGCATCTTACTAATTACGCATTTGCCTCTTAATAATGAAAAATCGGAATAAAATTAGGGTCTAACCCTAACCTGCTACATATACTACGGGAGTACCAAGAATTATTTAAAGTTAATAGAACTTTAAATTGTATATTTAAATGTAATATTTTTCCAGGAACAAAAGAGATTGATGAGAATTGGTGCCCGCACCGATACCTATTTAGAACAGCAAACAATACCTGTCATGTAAATCAATATGTGTACATACAAGGATGAAGATTAGCTTTCGGGTGTATTATAAGAAAATATTTCTTTTGCCGACATTTTCATTTTTCTATTGTTAACAGTAGAAAATTTAATTTATTATGGTAGAACAGTCAATCAAATCACCATGGTCCTTAACAATCTGTTTTTAGTTTATTTGTAATTATGTTTCTTCCTTTTCTTTTATACAGTTATCTGTGAACTACATTTTTTTTGTTTCCAATAATATTTACATAAAGCATGGTCAGATTATGGTGAAAAAATTCTCGGTTCAGATCTGGAATTACCCACAAAAAATGTGATACAGTATTACATTGTTTGTAGTGTAATTGTGTTTCGTATAATAACGGTAATTAATAACTATGTCGTTACTTCAACCAAATTTTCAGAAATGTTTTATAAATTTATGTATTTATTTAACTTTTATTTGGCTTAATAATGGTCACATTTTATTCTTTAGAGTAAATTCTTTTTGTGTCTGCCAAAATAAGTTGTTTTTCATGTGCCAAAGCCAAAATGATGATTTGTGCCAAAATAGAAAGCGAATTTTTTGGAATAACATAATCCAATACAATGAAGATTATGCTTTCTCATCTATGCTAAAGTTGTATCAAATTATTTTACCTACAGTTATTATTTTTATATCTTTTAAAATTATAATGTGCCTATTGACTGTCTATCTATTTAAATGAATATATAAATGTATTCTCATGTGAATATTTTATCTAATGAAGACAATATTGGCCTTCGATAAAATTGCACTTATTACCATTTTTCCTTTTGGTTAAACTATTTTACATACACTTTATAGGGTTGCAACAACTAAATCTAGTATAAATAATACTGCCAAATTATTTCAGTCTTAAATATCTTTCAGGGTATAGAATGTCATGAGTATTTCATAACTTTGTAACCACATTGGGTTTGGAAAATTTAAAACAAAAAAATAATTTATGTACAGTATATAACGTCGTTGTTATGTTAACTCTCCGAATAGATTTTGACTGTGAACCACATTCACTAGTACCTGCTGGTCTTTTTGTTAATTAGTTATGTCCCTTTTTCATAGTAGTACTACTAAATATCTTATGAACTCAAAGCTATCTACATTATCTGCTAAATGACTTTGAGATTAATTTTTCAGGTCCATAGTGCCATCTATAAAAATATTTGTGTTTGTTTCTAATTGAAAATTTTACATTGCAACTAAATTCGTAATGTGTACAATAAATAGATATATATTTTTGACAACATGGAGCATAAAATTGTCTATTTGTATAAGATTAATTAAGTATTTTCCCCAGGTAGTTGATAACTTCCCTAAGGTTTCGAATGATGCACACGTGTGAATATTAACTATTTCTAGATGGACTCAACTCTTAATTTTAAAAACATGCCTGCAATAATCATTTGACGAAGTTGAATAACGGCATTCTACGATAGACTTTTAAAACACGGAAAATACTTGCATGTCTATAATAGAGCTCTTCTCATACAACGAAAGCGCAATTTACATAACGCTGTTGGGTCTATAAATGTGAACAAAATTTTCCGATCCTATGTGTGTCGGGCAATAATTTGTATATTGAATAATGTTGAATGTTGAGCCTCTTTGCAAACATGTCGATATTTTTCCTGGGAAGTGTGTCCTACATCCTTCAATTGAGAAAATTTGGGCGTTGGTGCTTTATGATGGCTCGGCGGTGTGGCGCATCGCGCTAAGCGTTAGGATTACGCTTGCCATCACACCACTGATTACCCTACGTGGATTCCCAAGTTCGAATCCCGTGTGGGATAATAATGTGCGGGAGGATTGCTGTCTCCTGTTCACGTGAGCGCTGGTCCACCATTAACCCCAAGCATCTGAAACAAATAACTTGCAAACTAATCCCATACCCAAAATGGACTGGTACCGGTAACCGTTCGAGAGGCCGTGGTTCGCCGTATGATTGAGCTGTCTTACCGGTATCGGCTTTTCTATCCCCCGGGATAAATGCAGTATGTGAATCAAATACTATCGTGAGGAACTGGATAACTGGCGTCTCACGCTGATACCAAATCACGGGTACATTCACATTCCATTACATTTGAACCCACGACAATTGCACCTATGGAAATTTTTTTCACGAATATTCGAAGCCATACTAACCCGTGGATTTTAGCACCCTCATATAACTTGAACCCCCGGGTATACGGGTGCAAATGTATGGGTTCAAATGCACGGTCACCCAAATCACGTATACCTTACAAATCAAAGTGTTTATATTATTTGGCGGATGGTTGTGTGAATATATATTCAGTTCTAATGATACCAAACACCACAGAGTTTGAAGCGTGGTTCGAACCGCGCGAACTATCGTAGTCACGGGTACGATGGCAGGGATGTTCCCAAGGCTTAGAACGATGCGCCGATCGTAGATTTAAATTGAGAACTTACGATAAATTAGCCGCGCTACCTTTCGTGTTAGTATTTGATAACTCAAAACTGCACGCGAAGAAAGCATTGAAAATAATGTTACAAATGCAATCAAACAGTTAAATAGTCAAGCAATTAAGACGCGGGGGCCAAGTGTGATTTTGAAGAATGGACGAAAATAGCGACAAATCAAAAAGCCCAGTGACTTGTCAGCTTTGCTAATTATGCAACGCAAAACAATAAAAGCTCAGTTTTATTAATGATAAAAACTTATATATATAGATATCTTCGTTTTCTGCTGAAAATAACTACCGTTTTCCTTTGAACTCTGCAGATCATTGATAGTTCTTATACAAATTACACCTAATTTTATGTCTATAATAGTTCGAACATTAACAATTTGTTTTTGAATTGTAATAAAGATTTTGTCACTCTTTTCACCTATATTTATTATATGACACTTTACAAAAATCATTTTTAATCGAAGTTGTTCACCAAATGTTAATCTAAATAATTTGTTTAGTTGGCAGGTCCAGGACAAAAAAAATCTTCAACCTGCGTTACGATATGACGTAATATTACATAGCGCACATGTGTTTAACCGGACCTCCTGAAGTATGCGCACCAAGATGGCGCACAATCTGAACTCAGGTTGTGTACCAGGTTAGGGTTCAGGTCATGCGACATCTTGGTGCGTATACTTCAGGAGCACCGTTTAACCTGTAGGTCATTTAGTTTGTGAAATTTATAACAAAAAATGTTAAATGAAATTCATATTTTCTCAAATCAGTATGTAACTGAATTGGAATTTGATTATTTAGTTATATCTCTTTCACCCTTTGTAGTACCGCTACCGTCGGAGCTACCTAAAAATGGCCTGCTTGAACGATATAACTTTCCAGGTTAACTTGTCGCTACATATTTTCATTGAAAAAATTGCTTATATTAAATTGAATAAATAATGTGTAAAATAAATGTATGTATATTTATATATATACAGTACTAAAATTTACAATATATATGGTGTATATATTCAAAAGATTTCTATTCTGTTCTCCTCGGATAGTTATGAAGTGATGGCAATCACGGTTAAGATTTTCTAAAAATGGAAAATTGCCCAGGTGGAAACAGAATTTGTTTTCGGATTGAATGGCTCCGCATGTAAATTTTCAAACCATGCTTGTGGCAACCGACTAACCGTTTAAATATGATATGTTCGTCAATCGGGCATACTATGAGAGACTCCACGACTGAGAAAAAAAAGGTGTCATACCTAAAATGAGTTCATTTGAACAATTATTCATTTTTTTGAAATGAATATAAATATTTTCTAAATAGCGGGTCTACGAAAAGTCATCAATTGAGATCGGACTTTTGGGTGTACAAAAAAACGGCAAAATTTTAATGGTAATTGCTATCAATGTGTATTCTTTCCTGTGAATAATATAACTTTTTGTTATCATTCTAAAATAGTCACAACACAAGGCCGTTATTTTCCCTGTAATTATAAAAATTGTGTATTACGTTCTTCAATTGGACGTTGTGGCTTCTAGGGGAACTAGAGGCGGAGTTGCTGTTCCATCTGTCCTGTTGTCACTGATGGGCCCTCTGACGGATCCCATTCCAGTACTTCTCATTTCGGTGCGACTTCCTTGGTCTGGGTCCTGAATGCTTTTCTTCGTTTCATTCACGGTTTTATATAAACCCTTGGATGTCTCAATGAGCCTGAAAAACACGTAGAAAGTTTTATAGGGGATTTTGACGTCTCTGTCGAAGGCAGTTGTAGATGGCAACAAAGTCGAAACAGCTCCAATCAACGTATAAGTGCAATTTTCATTATTTAGCGTGAGTTTCAGAATAACCTGCGCCTACTTGGCATAGACTGATAGTTAATTCGCGGTTTGTTTTTATAATTAGCCGTCTAATCTACCATAATTGTTGTGCACGGCATTGATTTTTGGTCGCACAAATTCACTGCTGAATACCACCCTGCGTAGGTTCCATTTCTGCTGGTAATTATTGTGTGTGTTCACTTAACTAACCACAGTTCGGTTGTTGCACATTCTAATGTCAAAGCCATGCGCATTGAACGCTGAACTGATAAATAAACTATTTCCGTGCCACCTGCAACGAGGGTGAGTGATTCGCCGTATGATTAAGCCGTTCATTGGCTTTCTTTTTTATCCCCCGGAATGAATATGAAAATTCGGTGCCACTTCGGTATGCTATCTAACTTGTTTAACGTGATCTCAATTCTCAATTAGCCTACACACTAAAGTGTCGCCATTGTGGTGTCACTTTGGTATGCCTTCAATCTCATAATATCCAGTTTCTAACCTTAACTTAATTTACAAGATCACCCATCCGCTGAAATCGCATACCGAAGTAGCACCGAAAATTATCCTTCTTTTTGAACCTACTTTGAATATGCACTTTCTGTTTCGTCAATGGTCTTTTCAAGGTCTATTTTGAATTGCATTTTCTGAGCTTGTTCGAAAGATATCTAGTTAATAAAGCGATATCATCAGCAGATGTAAGAAAACATTTCTGCCGCCTCATAATTGCTAATTATTCACAAATTACAATAGGCTTGATGCAGTATAATGCATTCAAATGTAAAAAATATCATCATTGGAAAAAATATAGAGACGTGGATAATGTTTATACATTTTTTTATAGTTGAAAAACTAAGGATTTCGAGGCATAAATAAATAATCAAAGTTAAAGCTTGTATATAATTAAAAAAAATCTTACTTTAGCTAGCCTGTCAGTTAAAATACGAATGTCATTTTGAAGTTTTTTCCTTTCGTGATCGATTTTACCAAGTTCAACAAAAAGGCGTTGTCGCTGTTTTCGTAATTCTACTATGCATCTTTTTACCTGATAATATATTATATCCCTATTAGACCATTTCATTAAGTTTGAATGTGACAGAAAGTTGGTTATACAACATAAAACAAGTGCCATTTGTCGAAAACTGTGAGTTCTAGACAACAGCAAAATCAGTACTGTATTTTAAGGACCACAACACGCAATTTAAAAATTTTTTTCCGCACGTCTTATAACCCAGTGCGCCTAATACATGGATCCGGTTCAAGTAGTACTTTTAAGCTTTATTGCCTACTCTCAAAACCTGTACCACTACTATTGTTTTATAAACAAATCGCCATTTTATGTTTTCTTTTGAATAAAATACAATACCCATGAAAAATATTGAGTTTTTTTGTTAATGAGCTTTATACGGTAACTGATACTCCTTAAAACCGTTGCGTCTTATGTATGGACAAAACTCAAATCTAAGCGATTTATCCGGTTAGCCTTATATCCGGGCCTTATGGTCCGTGAAATGGGGTAACTTAGTTTAATTTTCTTCATCATGATGGAATCGCACTAACTTTACACATAACGTTACATAAATTATAATAGATGGGGTCGTGGTAGGGACGCCAGTAATCAGGGCAGCAGAAAGTGTCGATTTAACAGGAAGACGTGCGGAAAGCCGACAATACAAATGATGACATTAAATTCGAACCGGAACCGGGTTTCGGTTCTAACTTAGTCAAACGGCGACAATTTAAAAATACCTGAAATTCAGGCTAAATATCTCAATTAAACGGTTTATAATTTACCTCCACAGGATATTCTTCTGGACTGATTTCGGTTACAACAACTTCCTCTCTTGAAATAGATGCCATTATTGCCGTCTATTATCCCACTTCACTGGAAGTTTTTTTGATGACTTTGACTACCGATAACTTCGCGAGGCATCGGTGCTTTGAAGTCGACAAAGTTCGGCATAATCCAAGGCATCACCGTTGCCAGACATTTTCGTTCCTTTCTCCAGATTTATTCTCAGGAGCTTATATAAAATGATTGTATCATCATAATCATGAAATTGAAAATATGTTCACTTGTATACACTTGAAGGGCACACACCCTAATTATGCAAAAGTGTTAATTGCAATACGAAATTGAAACTTACCAAACTTTGGATTTGGTTCGGCATTCTGTTAATGTTTTGTTATGTCATAATGCATTTTTGGAAGAAGTTCTGTAATTACCGGTACTGTGGTCCGAGGACCAAACGACCAACGAGGGTCCGACCCTTGATTCAACGAAATCTTTCCATATTGGTACCTAAATTTATCAATGAAATCAAGCATTGTTGAAAGGTAACGACTTTCAATTTTAAAATATTAATCTAACCCGTTTTTGTTGCTGCGGCTAAACTAAAACACTCTGAATGCAAAATGGAACGGAATCATTTTCTTTTATGTTAGTCGTTGGTGTAAGTACGGTATGTAAGTAAGTAGACCTAGAGCTTTGGGATATAACTAAAAACTAACAATCACATTTAAAATTACGGAAATGGGTCGCTGTTGAAAAGCATGCCCTAAATCTAAAATTTGCCTTATTGAAAAGATTTCTGAGTGGGGAGCATCAATTTCCATCGGAGAGTAACCGTCGACTATCTTCTGAATCATGGTAAACTATGACTGAATGATTATTGTTACGGAAATAATGTTCAAGGAGTCGATACTCGGGGATCATATATTACTATATAGTTTGGTATCGATGGACCTTTCCCCGACCTTTGACCCCAGAAAAATTATTCCTATACTTTACCATTGCAAAATTTTCGGGGCTATTTTAAGAGTGCTTTTGCGAGTTGGCGCCTGTAAAATGGGGAATGTGTTTTAAACTATCATTATGATTCATCACATACAACAATCTGTTCTTTAAAAGTACCGGTAAAGAATTTTAGCCTAGTCTATCACAGCTATTTCTACACTCATTTTTTATTACTGCAATTAAATTGAAACTCCTAGGAAGACAGAGTGATCATTGAATTATCTGATTTATATTTAAGTTTCCGAAACACAACTGAAAACTAACGATTAGGGTTAAAAAACGCGAAAACGAGGTAATGTTTACAACCACGCTTGAAAATCTGTCTGAGTGAGAAAAGTGTCTGAGCGGATGCGAAAATGGAGCATTGTTACGTCACTTTTTGCATCTTGCTGATTGGCCAATTTCACGATGTAAACAAGGAAATCGAAGCTCGGGGAAAGGTCCATACTAATTTGCTTGAAGCATAAATTGATATTTTTACCGATGGTTCGAATTGTTATAAGATGTTTTTAATTGTAGTCAGCTTTTCCTGCTCATGGCGAATATAATAGCTGTAGTAAATCATCTCCCTCTGTTGCTCTCGCCTGCCGATATAATTGTCCCATCATCTGATTTGCTGGGGCGCCGATGTTTAAGATGGAGCTGTGGACATGAGTTTATGTACAGTAGCTGAATAGCTTTAACTCTTATTTGCATATTGTTCGTCATAAACTGCGTCTATAGTTTTGAAGGTGGGCTATTGAATATGATTTTGAAACAATGGTTTATGCTCTTCAAGGTACGGTAGGCCTACGTACTGACGTAGTTACAGATGAATGCGACAACTCGACTACACGACAACTTTCTGTCTTTTGTATGATAGGCTAGAGTAATAAATTTTCCAACGAAAGTCAACAAGTTTGGAACAGATTACCTTTGAGTTGGAAAGAGATCTTAGCAAATAACCATAATATAGAGGAAAATAGACCTGAAATTTATAGAATTAACTACAAAAAAAAATAAGTAACTTACTAAAAACTACCGTATGAAAATTAGAGAAATTGCTACACGACATGACATTCATGTAGCACAAAAATATAAATTGAATATACCAATTAATTGGATGAATATTTGGAAATGCAAAATACCTAACAAGAATAAAATCTTGAGCTGGAAAATTTCTCATAATGCAGTAATGCTGTAATGGGTTACCAACGGGTGATAAGTTGAAACATTGGTTTAACAATGAAAATGGATTATGTGTATTGTGTAATACTGTAATAGATATGAGGAAACATGTATGCACTTATTTTGTAATTGTGAGTGGATAATCGACTTTTGGGAATGGAGTAACATAGAATGGAATAGGGAGAAAATTATTTCTAATAATTTTCAAAGTGATGCTAAACTGTTAATAACCCATTGTGGAAAGTCAGCCATATGGGAATATAGGAATAAAGTAAAATATGACAGTATGACAATATATATCAGATGCAATGTGATATACGTGCTATTTTAAAATGTAAGATTTTGGGCGTTATTAAATTAATGTCTGATGTTGATAGACAAGATCTTCTCAATGAAGGAATAGTGGATAACCTACTCATAAAGTCTATAATGATTTGAGAATATTTGGTTTACATAGGTGGTAAACATAAGCATAAATTGTTGTATTTTCTATATGATATGTTTATTTGGGTGTCTGATGGATAATTTTTTATGTTACAGTGTTAGAGTTGAATAACAACTTGCATTTACTTGGACAGGAAATAGGAAAATCTTATTAGCATGATAGGTGTTCAAATTTGCTGTCTAATATTTATAAATTTTGCTTTTCCATGCTAATATAAAATAAATTTAATAACATTCACGATGATGACAATTGGGACAACAATCAACTAAATCAATTGGAACTACTAACAATGAATTGCTGATATTGAATATGTAAATGTATGGGTATTGTATATTTAAATTGTAAAATGACTTTTCTTCATTTAAACGGAATTCAAACCATACGATTGTATTCCGATATCAATTACTGTAATCAAAATTGGAAATACACATAAATAATATTAATTCACTTTCATCTGGACAAAAATTTTATGAATAATTAAATTTCATATTGGCACTGGAATTCTATTTGGCAAAAAAAAAAGTGGCGTTTACTCAGATATATGAATGTATCCAGGTCACTTGCTGCAGATTTGCAGATTTTATCGCATTGCTATACTTGTATATAGTATTCATGTATTTCACTATTCCAGCAGTGGTCGGCAAAGTTTTTTTTACCAAATCTGTAAATACTAAAAAAGTTAAATGGAAATGTTTCAAGGCCCAACAATTAGGCTAAAAATTTACCCGCAAGAAACTTGCTAAGGCAGTAAGGGACATCTAGACTAATTTGTTTAGTTGAAATGAAAATAATGTACCGGGTACTAATGTATGAGTATAACAGTATGATGGTTTGATATCGGTACAGTATCGTACCTACAGACCTATATGAACAAAAAACATTTATATCTAATGTTGGATTTATAGAATTTCTGAACTTTTATGTGTATTACTGCAACAATTGAAATTTATTGGAGGCCCACTACAGCACTAGAAAATGCTCGGCGGCCCACGATTCGGCCGTGGTTCATAGCTTGCCGACCACTTAATTACAGTATTATTGTTAGACTTCTGACATTGGTCATTTCAAGCTTTCTGTCATTTGCAAAGAGTACAGTACAGGTTACCGGCACCTTCAGACCTTACTTAGGCATTTACCGGTATGTATCTGCCTTAATACAGATCTCTGTGTTAGTGTTACAGTACTGCAGTACAGCAGTATGTTGGACTATGGCTGTATGGGGCATACCGATATAGCAGTATAGTCTGATAGTCAGATAGTAGCCTACTGTAGTGTATACATGTTTCTGTGTGTTACCTGTATCAGTTTATTTCATATTTCAGTATTTGTTTAAAATATTGGTTCTATATTGTGTATTTATCTATTTTAGTCCTTGGCTGCTTCGCGAAGTATTTATTTTTGGGTCCACTAAGTTTATTGTAGCTCCACAATTGTTGACTACAATAGCTTGCAAGATTCGGCCTGATCGAAAAATGCGTAGCAAAAAAAGACGGCGGTGTGGCGCATCATGTTGAATGATAGAAATCCTGTGAGAATATAAATGCGTCATGTTGAAAGATTGCTAGACTCCTCGCTGACGCAGGTCAGTCACAGCTTCCCCCGCCATAAAGTCCGTGCATCTGAAACATGTAACTGACTAATCGATCAAAAATGATGGTTATTATTAACATTTAAATCGGTGTTAAACCACCAAATCGTAAAAACACTCTCAAAATAAATGACAAAGTATAAAATAATGTTTGGGAGTCAAAGGTCAAACGTCCATTTTTCTCTGATTCATTGTATTTTTATCCAATAAATTTTCGCGGATGTACTGAACTGTATCTGAAGTCGCAAAAACACTCTCAAAATTAATGACAAAGTAGGCCATAAAAATAATGCTAGGGGTCAAATTGCTCTGATTCAACCTATTTTTTATCCAATAATTTTGCGCGGATGTACAGTCTCTGAAGTGAAAGTCAGTTGCACTGAGACACAGTTGTTTTGCACACAGTGATCTCTGATTGCACGCCGGGAATTTTGATTTGCATGGCGGAATTTCTGATTGCACGCTCTATTTCTCGTGCAAAAAGGCCATGGAATCCTGACTGGCACATGACCAAAATTGTGTTTTTTTGCTGAATATTTTCAAATGCTACGGTAAATTATTTTTTCTGTGGTAAATCTGGGGATTATTTTTCTCTGAGGCATCCAAGATCCAATGATGCTGTTTTTAGATTGTGCTTCGTTTTAGTTTATTGCGCATTGTTGGTTTACCTATTTGTTTCGATATGGAGGCCCAGACTGTCTCATTAGGAGGGGTTTGCACTCAATGTTATAACCGTCTTTTAATGTGGAGGCTATTCTTGGAATTCGGGAACTGTGCCATACTGGACCTAATTCAGTCACAATATATGTAAGTTCCAAATTCTAGTACACTTCTATGTCAGTCAATGCAATAGCAAAAATGAGTGATTAACTACTTTGATTAAAATTGCATGATCATCACTTGCTTTGTGGAAACAAAAGATTAATACACAAATATCAATATGCAGGTATACAAAAGTAAAATGACTATGTCAGTATCTCAAAAAGATTAACTTTGGATGAAACTATCCTATTTTCAATAATAACTCGATCATTTATTGTCCATGGGACTACATTTTTTCAATTCCATAATCATGTCTCCCTATATGCATTTTATTGCATTGACTTGCTTAGATTAAAAAGGGTTCCTCATGACAAAGTAGGCCTATATGACACAATGTTTGTTCTTGTTGAATGTTTGGTGTTTGCAAATTTTATGAGCTTAATAAGCTTGATATAAATTCAATTATTTATGTATCACTAATCTTTAATATACTTTAGTTCAGTATATGTAGATCATTTGTAATCAAATAAAAACATTTCCATTAAAAAAGTCATGGATATTGATTATATGGTTCACCTTGAGGATTTGACATTATCTGAGTTGGAAGAAATCATGAATGATGAAGAAAAAATCAATCAGTTTGTTTTGGATGACGACAGATTAAAAAAGATGAATCTTGATAGAGAATTGATCCTGGCTGAAAACCGAAGCCTTGCAGATGCTAATTTGGGTAAAGAGCCAAGACTGCTTCAACTGAAAGCAGATATTGGAGCAAAGTACACTAGATTGAAAGAAACTCATGATAATTTTCAAACTAATCAGGGTAAAATTGCCTCATTATCAAAAGAAGAGAACTTAGATGCACTGCTCGCTATTCTACAAACGAGATCTGCTGAAAGTGAAGAAAAGACAGAGATGATTGCTGAAAAATTTAATTCTAAGGATATTGATATTACAGACTTTATAGCAGAATTCACTAAATTACGCAAAACTGCTCATCTAAGACGAGCAAAAGTAGACAAAATGAGAGAACTTATTTTAGAAAAACGCAGAAACGAAGTTCATAATCCCACCCTATATCCATCTGTACCTAAACCAACACCGAGGGCAAGAAACCAATCAGCTCCAGTGCAAGCTCAGCCAAATAACCCTACTTCATATCCACCTTATCCCAGCTATGGACAACATGGTGTCCCTAATTCAACCTTCCCATCACAGCCACCCCAACCATATCCTCCTGCTCCACAAAACTATCCGGCATATTCATGGTAAACCACTTTGGGCTGTCAACTTCGCACTTATTGTTATTTTCTTTCACTTTTTGCAATCAATATCGTACACAGTCAATTTATAATATGGCTTTTTTGATAGAGCATTTACTACAATTTACAACCAATTTTTCTTCCATTGCCATTAAATTGGATTTTTGAAAGGAAACGCATCCCAAAATAGTAACAAAAAAACCTAATTCTTCAAAGCAATCTTTAAATATGTTCTTATATAATGTAGGTGTGCCAGTGCCAGTTATATTGAAATAATTTTATGTACAGTATTTGAAATATTTTTTGGAAGTAGTTATTGTCGTCGCGTTTAAATAATTTGACATTGGCTTATCATATTAAATTTGTGTGGTCGTTTTGACTTGGTTCTCTTTTCTAAGATGTTGGCAAATATTCTGTAAAGTAAAAAGATTTTGTTAGTTTCGTGAACGGAAAACTCAATACTAAGCATTGTAACACATCACAGCACACAGTCAAAAGTTATCATTTGGCCCCATTACTATGGTGGTACTGGAATATATGGGCCTATGCCTATCTAATTTTTGCCAGACAATGAGTATGATAATATTATGCCAAGGGTAATATACGGTACTAACTTAACAAGCAGTCGGTATTTTACGTTACAATAATATACCATCTGATGTAATCCATGCTATGAATCATTTGTGAAAAAATAAGTAAATCAAGTTCGTCATTGCAAGTTTATATAGTTATTTATGATGAACAATGGAATATTATGGTCTGTCTTTTGAATTATTTGCCTTTTGTTTAGCAATTGAGTATTTTCCTGACATGGGTTCATAATTTATATCTGCATGGTGTCACCATTAATATCAGTTCAAATACCATTTTTAGTCAGGAGAGTAATTTTTGAATATTTGGGATTTTGAGTATTACTCATGGTTTGATTAGCAGTGGAAGTGGCCATGTAGCCTATTTTGCAATAAACCTGGGAAACCCATGGTGATTCCTATGTTAAAACATACTTAGTTAGACGGAAATAATTTGTTACAAATTGGAGTTTTTTTGGGAATTACCGTAGTCATTGATTGCCGTGTTTAATGTTATCTTTGGCCACTTATAATAAATTTGTGTGATTGTTTTGACTTGGTTTTCTTTCCAAGTTGTTGGCAAATATTTTGTGAAACAAATATTTTTTTTTTGTTAGTTCCTGGGGCAAAAAAGATGACAACTGAACACAAAACATTGGAACACATTCGGTCATTTAGCCTCATTAGCTGGAAGTTCATTTCAGCTAAATTGTAAATGGTTATGAAGCGTGTCTGTTCGTGGAGCGTGTACAGCTTTGGAATATACCATAATCAAATGACTCAAAAATTTTCAATAGGGACCAAGAGTTGATTTATATCTTGCTTTATTGACTAAGGTTATTTCCAACTTGAGTAATGGCTTCAAATATTACCATATGCCACAAAAAGATATAATTTCTTTTTTTTGTGTTTAGTGCTGATTGGTTTTTTGATTTTTACAAGCCCGTATGAGTATGAAAAACTTGATGCTACTATCAATGGATTATGATTAGCTGCAAATGATAATTTCAAACATAATTATTAAGAATAATACTGTATTTGCATGTCCTGTTTTTCATTTAATTCGCTCCTCTATTATATTAAAAAGTGAGTTTGAATAACATTAAGTTCATTATATGTACTATATTATCATTTTGCTTATATTTTTGTGCTTATATTTCAGTCGCCTTATCTAATGTAGGTATGTATTTCCTAATAACTCTATTGTAGCAGTTTGTATATTGATTGATTTGAAGAAACTGTGAAGATCATCATGGCCAAAAAGGGTGAGTTATTTTGGTAATCGTCTTTATTGTGACTTTGTTGAGTACCTTTGCGGAAGAGATTCTGTAAAACCTTGCAAAGTGGATGACCTTTTCACCAATTTTTGTTTCAATTTCATTGGTTCATCACACACACTCTCAGGTAGGTTGAGAGTTCGGTTACATGGGCAATGAAACGATTTCTCCAAAGGATGATTTTACTTACTCATAACTTAATGGTGCTCTCTCCATATCCATTTCATGACTTGGAAAACTTTGTTTTATATTACTCCAAAATTGAAGAGTTTCAGGTACTCCCGTAGTATGCGTACCAAGGTGGCGGACACCGGATTGTAGTATGTGTACCAGGTTAGGCTGAGGCCATAATTTCAGGTACAAATACTACAGGAGTCACTTGGCTAGTCTCAGAACTAAAATAAGGAAACTCGAAATAAAATGATTGCCTAACCCTAACCTGGTACACATACTACGTTCCGGTGTCCACCATCTTGGTTCACATACTACGGGAGTACAGATTTCATGGAGACAAGGCTACTCTTTTTCCTGTTCTATTTCAATTTGTTGGTAAATTATCATTCTCTTCCCATGGCGAGGCATATTCTAATCTTTGCGTGACTGGTATGCGAATACTATATCCATGGTTGTTAATATAAGATCTCATTGGAGATAGTAAAATTAAATCAGGCTTACTGTTAATGCCAGTGTGTGTTTTACAATTAAGATGTATGTCAATTGATAGCAATATTGATAGCAGTTTAAAGCAGTAAAATCAGAATAGAGAACAGTATATTCTGAAATATTTGTATTTCTGAATATATGGTTATTGAGGATTGACTTTGAGTTCGTTGGATGAGTGGCAATACTGGCAATGATATTTATTTAAAATTAACATGCCTCGGATATAAATACTTTTTGTTTCTGGTCTACTTGGATACAATTTAACCAGGGACTAATAAAGAAAAGCATTGTCACTTTTTCAATAGGTCGAGTATTTTTTTGTACTTCACTCCTTCTTAAATTTTGCAATTTTATTTCATTTATCATCATCATTATTATTCAGCTTGTCTTTTTCACTTGCTAGAATTCAAATCCAAATTTGTGTATAAAATATGAAGAAATGAAAATCAACATCTTGTTGAAATCAATATTTATTGCTTTTTTTCTGGAAATGTCTATCTATTTTCCTATTTTTTCTTCTTTTATCAACCTGGTTATACATTAACATACCATCAAGATTAAAATAAATAGAAATCAAATTTTATACTTATTTGTCTACCCTATATTATATATCTACACCTTGAAGTGTTTTTATTCTTTCTCCACTGCCAATGTAACACGAAATACCTGACATAGACTTTCTATTGGATTTATTATTGAAATATAGCTATCACAAAACAAGCATTAGTAAGATAGTTTTAAAGAATGGTAAATTGTTTGGTACAGGAATCTCATTAAACTGAAATATGTTTTTTGTCAGGTTAGTAAGTTAATTAATTGCAGATGATTCTAGTAGTTGGATCTGTTATGTGCTTCACGTATTATTGAGATTTTAGTATTGGAGCAATGTACTCAAGTGTTAGAAACTGGGTTAGATTGTGTTGTGTGAAATATCACCAGACTTTTCATAGTTTTACATGATTGCACTGGGTCATGTATTCACAAATACATGTTATTAAGTACAAGTTCTCTGCCAAACGAATAAACCTCATTAATACCAGCTCTTCCGTCTTTTTGGTATGATCATTTAAAATTTTTCTATTACTAATAATTAACTGTGTCATAACTCATAATTGACCGCAGTTAACTGTGTCCGACTAGACAACAGCAACCTCTTACACATTGCAAAATCGCTATGGGGATTTTTCAGCAACTGGAATAGACATCTTGGGGGCTGAAATCATATATCTTTTTCAGAATCGAACCTCAACAACTTTGTCAGATGCCATTCGTTTCATAATAACACATTACTTGACAATTGATGATATTTTTTTCAACCTTTTCACTGACCCATAGACCAGGTCCAATCAACAAACAAAGCTTGGTTTGATTCCAAACTTGTGACGTATAAAAGATGCCTAAATTCTGTATAATAATGTTTATTGAAAACCCATCTGTTTTCACTTAGGTTTATGAAAGACTTACGTTGTTTTAATTTTGTTGTATTTCGAAATAATTATTAACCAATGGTGGACAAAATGCCTTGGACGTGCTCTCACTTCTTGCAACCAACGTTTAATAAAAAATTGGCAAGTAAGAGGTGTGATTGTGAGATTGATGCTTTATTGGCCATCCCAGAGATTAACAGATGATCCATGTGATGGATGTTTCCCTGGGCACCGATTTATCCTTGTTTATTTCCGCAGCAAGTAAAAATCAGCAATAAGTTAACAATGACATAACAATTATAATTTATGCCACCGCTCAAACACTTTATTCGCTCAGACAGATATACAAGCGTGATTGTGAACATTGCCTCTTTTTGATAGTTTTGCGTTGCGTGTTATTCGTCAGTTTTAGTTGGGTTTCCAAAAATAGTTGTAAATCAAATAACCTACGATAATCGTCATTATGTCTTCCTATGACCTTTAGTTTAGTTACGATAATCAAAAATCGATGCCGCAAACGCTGTGATTAGCTATCAGTACCTATAAGCGGCACATGGTTTATTGTTTTGGATAAAAACTTTAGTTTTAAACATGTGAGCCAGCTTGGAAGCACCAACTCTCTGAAACACTATCAAAATCAGTGTTGACAATTTTGCAATGATCAAGTATAAGGAGAAACTTTCAGAGGTCAAGGGTCGGGGGAAACGACCGTAAGTTGTAGCCAATACATTTTGATTCAATATTTTTGAAAATCAAATATAAATGAGACGTAACGGAAAACATGTAGAAGTAGGAGTAAAGTTTATTATGTTCAATAAAGTTTGATGTTGGTCAAGCAGGAAAAATTTGCAGACTTTTGTATTATTGTCTATTTTTCTCAATTCTTTGAAAATAGGTTACCTTGTATAGCAATAGGTTTGCACACTATTGCACAATTTTACATGTATTTTGAATTATTCCTTATAAGAAGTTGCAATATACAATAACAAAGGGACGGACCGTAAATAATTTTGATCCATTAGGACAGGGGTCCGCAACTTACGGAGAACTATAATACGGCCCGCGACGCTTCACTAAATTATAGTAACAAAACATCCGTTTTGACGAATATATTCTTTAGACTAAATTATATTATAACCTAACAACTATATATTTCACAATTACTCGTTTAATGAGCATATAATGTAATTATAATTAAGCAAATGGCAACAAAACGCAGGAAAGTTGATGCTAAGTGCAAAGGGTTTAATGGCGCTGAAAATATTCAAATGAAATTTTATGAGATGCAATGAGGAAATAAATCTATATTCTATTCGAGAGATGTATCACTGCTTGATTTGATTATAAAAAGTATCATCCGTTCGGTTTTTCAACTTTCTAAAAATATGCGCGGCCCGCCAATGACTTGCAACCTTAATTTGGGCCCGCGAGCGACAAAAGGTTGCCGACCCTTGCATTAGGATATTCATTTAGTTTTGAACAATCCCAATTTTTGAGTCAAATCTGTGTATTTCTTAAAAACTGATTGAAATTGCTAGTCTTGTTTGGAGTTTAGAGATTGAACATTTGACACATTTTCACTTGGCCTAAAACCTAAAAGACCAGTGATTTCTGATTCCCAATCTTTTCTCATACTTTTCCCCTTTTGCCTATTTTGGATAACTTTATTCCTCCTCCACTATGCGTAAAAACTTTATTTTCGTTTTTGGTTCAATCTTTAGAGAATCCTTATCTAGTGTTGCACACAAGACACAACTCACACATTGAGTGTCTGTAGATCACAACTCACACATTGAGTGTCTGTAGATATGTGCGTTATTACAACAATATTTTAAACTAAACTACGCTATTAATGAAACTGCACCCAATACAATGTAATGTTTATGTATTTCCCCCAAAAACAGCAGGTGGGAAACACTGTTCTACATGATAATTAACATTTTTCTGAAGAAACAAATAATAGATTGCAGAAAAATGATACACATTGAATCATGATTTGACCCTAAAACCACCCGGGCTGCGCCACTGATATAAGTTATATATATATATATAATATGATGCAATTTACACATCTTCTAAGGTTACCAAAACAAGTTATTAGAGTCATTTTTATCTATCAAACGTTTGATGGCATCTGTTGTCAGTTGCCAATAATGTATAATAGAATAAATATAAAATGGGTGACGTATGCTTTACATTGTTCTAGTTCCTTGTATATGATTATTATTAAGCGCAGGCTTTACATTGCTCTAGTTTCTTTCATATGATTAATATTAATTTAACTCAGGGTATTTACATATTATCTATGGCCGATTTGACCTTGTGCATATCCTTTTTCAACCAAGTTTATGACTGCTTGGCACTAGTAGAAGAGTAGAACAATGAAATAAACTATCTGGCTTATGCGTCACATCCATAACTCATTGTGTGGGCTGTGTTCCAAGATGTTGATATCTTGTCAGTAATACTCTGAATCAGTCCATAGAGGCCTTTATATATTGAGCCGTGACTTTGTTGGGTATAGTAATATTATAGTTTGCTATGCTGTCTGTAGAATTCAACATATTTTTTCCAGACTTTGTCTTGTTGTTGTATGTTGCATAAATCCTAATAATCATGCTTGATAATGAGCTTTAGATTTATGATATGAATTAAAAAAATTATTGCTTTTAATGTTATTAATAACATTTGTAGGAAAGAAAACGTTTTGAAATAGATGGCTTAAGATGTAGCAGTACATGATGTCAGTAAATGTGGATATCATTTTAAATATCGTTGAAGCTAGTGAAATAGTAAAGTTTCAGTGCTTTTGAATTACTATCATTCAAGAAAATATATGATAATATATAATTGAGGAAAACTAATAGGCTATTAAACATTTTATCTTATCTCATCTACGTTATGTAAATTAATCAATAATTAAACTTTATTGATTTGGGATACTGAAATTTATATTTTGTGTACCAGAATATTTTATCGATTTAATCTTGGTATTTTTAACTTATTTCTTTTGTATAATTTTTGTGATTCGTGAAACTGGAAATGAGGAATTCTGGTATGTCGAGTATGAAAGGTATGATTTTTTAAGATTTTTTTTAAGGGGCGTAAGAATCAGCTTTTTAAAACTTTTGTATTGTCATTTTTTAATTCCTGGCACAGCTCGCCTGAGAAGTCAGATAGTGACTGTCCAAGAAAGAATGAAAAGGACTGCTAGGCTTATAAGGAGAAGAAACTGTGAGTGGAGTTTGTTTTGTCAGAACACTTTAGGAACTACTTTAGTGCACTGTTACTATTGACAATTTGCATACCATAGTTGTAAATTTGTAATCATCCATCCGGAAGCCAGTCTTGATGACTTTTGACTTTTTCTTCTTTTTCATTCTATCTTTATCTTTTTCTTGTCTGGTTTTGTAGTGAATAGATGAATTAAATTCTCCTCATCTTGATTTGTTACTAATTTGAATTTACATTTAAATCACTTCATTTTATTTATGAATCGAGGTTGTATTCTAATATCCTGTAAATACAATACACAAGTACCATAAGAAACAATCTGGGAACTTTGTTTCTGAATAGTATATATTGTATGCTTTTTTTATAAAATAAGCCTCAATTTTCAACTGCGCTCTAGTAGGATAACCCATGCGTAAATGTAAAAGGGTCATCTGTATGGATAGTGAAATAAAAATATATTCATTATAAAAAATAGAAATAACATTCAACTACTTGATTTCAAAAATTTGATACTGGAAGATTTATGACGAAATGTGATGTTTATTTGCTAACATTTAAATATAGTTGGACTGTTGGACGGAACGTTATTAAATAAAGTATAGTTAAAAAGTTTACTATGTGTCGTGATTATGAATATGCTAATTCAATGTTCCTCCAGGGTGAAAGTGCCTTCTACATAAAGACTGCTTTAAATTAACACGTCTAGCACTGCACTGTTCGTCCCATTGGCTTTGTCCACACATTCTTTTCCATGTGTAGAGATATGAGTAACTGCTCTGTGTCTTTGTTTCTGAAAGTTATAAAGTGTTCAATTGCATTGTTGGACACAGTATTTTATAATTTTAGCATCGCTGAATTCTCATTTTTTGAAAATCGTAACCCAACTACATTTTACTTAGCAGGCACAAATCTGGCAATTCTTTATGGACCAGGAGATATTGGCGAACAATGGTGTAATTTCATCAATCATATGTTCACAGAAGATTTACCTGAAGAATACAGGTAGAAATTTTTTAATACGATATTGAATTAAAACTTTGGCCATTTGAGCAGGATTGTCCCTCGGCCAATGTAGGGCTGTTTTGGAATTTTGGGAAAGAACATTATAACAGGAGCATTTATAGAGATTATTTTTTATTACCGTATTTTTAAAGCATTTGACATTGTTCATCTTAAATCAGATATATTTTTCTAGTAAAAAACTATAAATATTTAAAGAATATTTTCTTTTTCATCACTGTTTTATGCTTCTGTGTAAAAGCAATTTTGTTGCTGTAAAACTACTACAATTTTGTTACATATTTTACTTTTAATATTTTAATGCAAGCTGATTGAATCTTTCCTTGTTACCAATTCCCATTACCTGGTATCGTTATGTAAATCATAGCTGAATGACTAACTAATGTCAAGTTACCACTCATAACATTGAGAATATATATTTGTTTTGTCTAAGTGGTTCTGTTTTATAATCTTTAATAGTCCTCAAGCGGAAAATTCTCATATATAAATATGATTATGACTAGTGGAAAATTGGACAATAATTATAACCAATATTTTCATGTCAACGGGTATATTTTGCATCTTCTTGGCTTGTACTTGTAATTGAATATTTACAATAATAAAGGAATTAGATTGTATTTATCTGAACCATGGGTATAGCAAATGAAATAAATATTTAAATCTGATCAAAACTAATTATATTTGGCACTTTAATTCTGTGATCTTAAGAATTATTAACAATAGATTCATTGAAAATTTTTGAGCTATGTTTAACCGCTTAACAACCTAAGGTAAATTCTCTTTGACTTCTATGTATGCTTTGTTGAACATGACACAATTTAGAAAATATATTGCTTATTTCATATATGAAACTATTATTTCAGAACTATCTTGGAATAGAAATTAAAAAATCAGAATAAGTTATTTTTTCCATGAGATAAGGTTGTTATCATTTAATCAAACATATTATAATACCAGATATTATACTTTCAATTGCTTTATGATGGTAAATACCGGTATATCAGATATCTATTCTTTCTTTTTTCAGGGATATGAACCTGGATTTTGTCGAAGAAAGCATAACAAATTTGGGAGAGGATGATGTATGCAACATAAATAACTGTGAATATAAAATGCTTTTACTTGACGCAGAAGCTCTCAAAGTATTAAAAGATGAACAGGTAAATTACCAAACTTCATTTTGAGGAATTATCTCTATCCCAATAGTATTGAAAACAATGAATTTTGAAAGAATCTCACGTAGGAAATGGTTTTTATTTTGGTGAATAATAATTATTTTAATTTGATTTTGTTCAGTAGGGCATGATTTAAAATATTTTGTTAGATATTGTTACCTATCTATGAAATATTTTCATCTTCCTGTTTTCAATGTATTTGATTTGGTCATGTTTTTTTTTATGACAAAATCTCAAAAACATAGTTTCGTAGAATAATTTTATTATAGATGCCAATCAAAACTATTTCAAATTTACTCATTTGCTACTGTTGACCTCTTCGTTTGTGTTATGACTCAAAATTAATCTTATTTTTATCCCTATTGCATTTATATAATCTCTTGCCATTTCCTTGTATATGACGTAAGGAATGTGCTCATTGTACACTGTGATACATTCTTTTAAAGTTTATGACACTTCCTTTATCACTTGTGAAATAAATATGAACTCATGTTTGATCTATGATTGAGGCTACCTGTAGGCCAGTTAAAAATCTTACAAATATTTATTTTCGATATTTCTTGATTTTAAATATAATTAATAAGAATATTTTGATTATTATTAAATTACGGTATGATTTTGATTAATTGGAATATCTCCTTTTGGACTATTGCTTTTCTTACATGTTTAAGCCTGTTTATCAGAGTATATACACTTTATATTGTTAATCTATAAATAACATTTCTGAGAACATTTCTGAAAGACAGTGAATAATGTACTAGCATTGTGTTGTGACCATAATAGCTATCAAACAATATTCTTATCATATTCATGGGTTGGGAAATTTGGAGTATTTTTAGTTACTACAACTCACTATAGTTGATTAACTTCCTATGAACAAAATACAATTAGTTTGCATACTTGAATCATGTGTTAGGGTATCACTTTCATACTGCTGACATGCTTTGAATTTGTTCATGGTCGGTTTTATTGTTATTTTTCAGTCAACCTTCAGAAAATGTGAATTGATGGAAACACAGCAAGAACAAGTCATTGTTCTTCTACTTGGAAGTGAAGATGATCTCACATTTATTCATAATGCCAGAGCTACTTTAGCATGTCAGTAGATTTCATATAAAGAAATGTTCTTGATATAAAATTATAGAGAATATTTTTGATCGAAGTGTGGCATCCAGTCAAAATTTTTTTTTTATACTCCATTTTTTGCATTTACTAGAGCAGAGATGGCGAACCTTTTTCAATGAATGGGTCAAAAACTATATTTTTATCGCGGAACAGAAGAGAGTGGGTCACAGATATTTAATCCACGTTTGTATCTATAAGAAAGTTCTGAAACAAATCTTATAAGCTGGTGTTGGTCTAGTTTTGGGCTTTACTTATGCAGCACTTCTATCAGGGACTTTTTATGGCACTCGGTTTTATGATATTATGTTATTTATCATAAAATGCAAAGTAGCATCTAGTTCTCGTATAACCCCTAAAACAGGCTGCAGATGCACTTCCAAAAAAGACAGGCGTTGCGAGAAATGAACAGATCAATTTCATTGTTATGTCATAAATGATGTCAGGCCCAATAGCTGAATAACGGTACACAGCGGTGCATACATGCGTACAAGATTAGAGTTTTTGAAAATTACCATACCGGCCCAAAAATTAACATTTTGAATATGAGCGATCGCAGCCCTCCCTGACTGTCCAACTGACGGTACATTATAATAGTTTAGTTATTGTTAGATTAATTTAAGGCCAGTTTTATCAATTTTTATCACTGATATGTTAGCATTTTTATTTTATTCGTGCCTTCGCTTGGCGGGTCACAAAGAAAACGCGGTGGGTCAGTGGTTCGCCATCCCTGTACTAGAGTGATTATCTCAAAATCGTAGCCAGTAGCTACATGAAGTTTTGTTCGATACTTTTGAATTCATAAGTGCCTACCTACCTATCGAAGATATCTATCAGGAACATACCTATGATTTGGCTTAGTTGCCATTCATAACTTGGTACCAGTACTCCTTAATATTTTTAAAAAATTAATCAATGTGTGGCATCCAGTCTGAAATTTTTTTTATACCCCATTTTTTGCATTTACTAGAGTGATTATCTCAAAATGGTAACCATGTGAAGTTTTTTTCAATAGTTTTGAATTCATAAGTACCTACCTACATATCGAATATATCTATCAGGAACATACCTATGATTTGGCCTAGTTGCCATTCATAACTTGGTACTAGTACACATTAATATTGTCAAAAGATTCCAAAGTCAAATTTCTGATGCGGCATTACATGTCATTAGGTTGAGCTCCAACGAGCTATTATTTATCAGTAACATGTTAGCAAATTCTCCCATGATTACCAATACAATGAACAATAATACATGCAGGTTGAAGACTGAAGTACTTTATAGTATCCCTTGCACAAAAAGAACTTCAGCTCATTTCATTGGATTATCATTCTAAAATGTCGATACCATAGATGTACCGTTGGCCCCACAGGTGTAATAATTATCATTAAATGAAGTATAATAAAACCAACCTGGTTGAGATATTATATTGATTTTTGGCTTCATAACAAAATTGGTATTGTAACAGGACTCTATAAACATATTGTGTTGTAACTCAGATGCTTTTAAAATTGAATTATCATTCATAGAATGTTGTTTGAAGTAGCCTGCTGTCTTTTAATTTAACTTTGGGAAAAAAATATCTATTTTTTCACAGTGCTGAAAGAGAACGAAGCATATAATATCATTCAAGCAAAGAATTCAGAGCAAATCTTCACAGAAATCATGACAATTTTATCACCACTGTATGTTGTTCCACATCCGAATATTTTGAGTTCAGAAGTAAGAATCGTTGTTCATGAAAAATGCTTGATTTATTCAAATTATGTGTTCATTAATTTAATTCAGACGTATAGGCCTACCATTGATATGATAGGATTTTTCATATGTTTTCGAGGGAGAGGAGGGATGATGGCTCATTAATGATCATATTGCGAATCACAGCCTCTCGTCCAGTTGCCAGTCCATGTCGGGTATAAAAATAGTTAACCAGTTGTTTCAGATGCATTGGCTTGATTTTTGAGAAGGCGTAATCGGCCCACAGTGTGTGAACCGCCCTTCGACTGCAGTCCGCTAACACATTCTTATCTTTCACAGTATGTGAACCTACAAATCCACGCAGAGGTGCGATAACATTCGTATTCTTAACGCTGATCATGGTATGCCAACAACTTACAATATATAACTCCAGCATGTTCCATCGATGTATAATAGAAAACTAAAATTGGACCTTGCTGTAGCTTTTGGTTAATGTATCATTACCTATTCGGATTGATTATGGAAGTCATTTGTTTTATATGCTTGCTCTGAGCAAGGCTTTGGGCAAGCAAACACTTGATTCAGGAAATACAATTTGCTTGGGAGGACTGGAATATTTCCGGCTTGAAATAAGATATTCTTTGTTGAACAGGGGTTAAATGTGAAGAACTATTCCTACATACAATGACAATACAGTTTGTGGATAATAACCACCATGCCATTAATTGTTTTCTCTTTAATGCGGCAGTTGTTCTTAAATTGTGCACCGCAAGATAATTTTGAGCATTATGTCGTGAAATATCACTCTTATTTCCTCAAGAGTTATTCTAATCTGCCCACATTTGAATACAGCATTATTAATATTAATGATGAGAGTGAAATATGACTGCCGGTACCTGCCACATTAAGGTCAATTATTTAATCACAAAAAAAAAACTTACTTATAGTGTTAATTAATGGTGCCGACATGTGCGACAAAATCTTGTCATAATTTAATGTTTATAAAGTCAAATTTTCTTTTCACAACATCAGCTGGTATTACAGAAAGTAAATGTGCTCCGATTCTGTGACTTTGAAAAGTTGGGGAACCTTGGCGTCTTGGTGTATCGTGTTAAGCGTTAGGTATACGCTCCCAACCACACCTCTGATTACCATGCGTGGGTTCGTAGATTCGCATTCTGCGGGAGATAATATGCGCAAGATTATAGCTGGACTCCTCGCCACTGTAGGGTGGTTCACGTAACCGCTGGTCGGTTAAGCCTTCCTCCACCATTAAGTCCATGCATCTGAAACAAATAACTGGCTGACCATTCCATACCCATAATCCCATATTCAACATACTATACACTGCCACTTTACTTTTCTGCACTATATGACAGTGGTGTTCTTTTAAACCTTGATGTTGCTTGATTCCCACTCGAAAGTGCAAAATTTGAAAAAACTGTTTTAAGAAAAAGAGAAAAACAAATATTCTTGATTTTTAAACCCCTCCAATTTAATTGAAATACTTCAGAGAATATTACTTCGAAATTTGATTAAAAAACTCGCTTAATTTAGAGGCATTTGTTACTTTTTAAAAATTTCAACATTTGTCTTTTTGTTTTGAAACTCTTATATCGTACTGCAATTCTCATGAGTTCTTAAATCCAGTTTTCAAGCTCTTATTTATCCCCTTTACAAGAAAAACAGGACAATTTTACAGTAATAATAGTTCATTATGAAAATTGAATAAGTTTATACAGTAGCAAGATAGGCAGCAATATTTACACAATATTGCTTAATCAAGTATATCTTTCAACATGAAAGTGATTTATTGGTTCAGTTCAACAGTAAACAATCTCATACTTTTATATTTGCTAGGATAGAGAACAACATTTGACGCTGCTCAGTAACAAACCTTTTCCTACTCATCATTTTGTTCAATACATCATTGAATTTTCATTGGGAAAAAATACGAAGGAGATGGAAGCATCATTATTCAACCCTTATACCTTGCTGGTTCAAAATATAAGTATGTGCATTCAACAGTATATCAAACATAAACAGTTTGCTAATTAGGTCCTAAGATGCTTGTTACTAGCACTTTAATATTGGAAGATTTAAAAAAAAAAACGGGGCTGTTGTTTTGGAAAAAATTGTGCCACACTGACATGACTTGACTCCTGGTTGATAAATATGTTGTGTCTCAGTTGAAGTATCTTTCCACATCTAAACTCAGAGAAAATTTGGCATATGCCAGCCTGCTTTAATTGTCTGCAAAGAATGATTACCCAACTCAAATTGTTTTTGACATTCATCCTGAAATGTGGCCTTTGGTTAACACCATTATAGTAAGTCAGAAAATTTGACTGAAGAAGAAAAATTCCGATTCTGAAGAATTCAAATCCTCATTCTCGAGAGTTCGAAAACGCATCTTCAGCTCTAAATTCAATGTCGCTATAATGAAGCCTGAAACCACAGTCTAAGAAATGCCATATATTTTTCTCACTTTTTTGGGGAGGTTTCCATTCATCGGTTATCTCATAATGTTTTTTAAAACCTGAAACATATTGGGTGAAGACATTCTAAGTTCTGGGTACCAGAATTGTGTTATGGGTGTATTGTATTCAATTATGCGGATTGCATTAAAAAATTTGCTTATTCCACTAATGAAATTGATCATTTATTATCGTATATTATATGAATGCCAGATTGTTACACATAAAACTCAATTTGGAATAAAATAGATATTCCATATTCAAAAATTTTGTTTGAGAATTTATTGGGAAAAGTATGGTAGATTATTCTATTAGTATTTTGGAATAGTATTATTTAGATTTGATATATAGTTGCAGAACCGCATTTATACTTTCTTTTTGTTTGGTATTTTGCACAATCTCTATCCCTGGATATACCAGTCGTACCTTAGAGCTACCAATGACGAGAATCTTTCCTATAGGTCATAAATATGTAACAAACATCCTAATGGAGATGCTCAAACAAGATTTGAATTTGCCCTGCTGACCTTCTATATCAAGACTTCTAATCGAGCTGTTTATTAATTACTGTACATTCTTGTCTATATTAAAGCTCATCCACCAGGACTTGTCACCGTGAAGATTTTCTGCGTCGTTCATAATCCTCACACACCTAACGATATTACTGATGTATCGAGGACACAGGTATATTGTAACTGATTGTACTGCTGATTCAAAGAGAATAAGAGCAATACACTTCAGCTTTTTTAACATCTGAGTGAAGCATTCGAAAACAGCCCACGTTTCGGAACAATATGCTTATTTAGTATAATTATTCTCTTGTACGATGGGTACTTACGGGAAAACACTGAGAATTTTGATTTTATGTAAAGATCTACTTAATTTAAAATAAATAGTTTTGATGTGTTTATACACAAGAATTATACATGAGTCCTGAATTTAATTTTTGTATTAAATAATGAATCTGAATTTTATTCAAACATATGTTATATTTTATGTCAGATGGGGGAAGATTTGCATGTCTGGTTTCAATCGGATTCTGATAAAGTTTATTCGATTCTTGATTCGCAAGCAAATCCGATAGCATTCCTCTGCCAAGCTATGCATGTCTCAGAACGTAGAGATCCAGGAAGAACACCAGAAGGCATGATTGACAAGTAAGTGATGTCAAAATTGTACTTAACTATGGCGCCAGAAAACAGGAGTGTGGAATAATTCATATCACACTCTAAACCAGGGTCGTCCAACTCGTGGCCCGCGCTGTATTTTCAAAATTGAGAAAAAAAATTGAGTAAAACTTCTATTTTTTGAGTGAAGTAGTATACAAAGATGTGATACAAACTATTTGTTCATTTTCTTGAAATGCGCTCTGCTATAGCCCTTTCAAACGAGCCACGAGTGCCATTTTAAATCAAAACCGACAGAGAGATATCAATACATCTCTTACTCACTTGGTCTCTCACTACTTCACAATTCACATACATGAAAATTCTTGATGTTTCGGCAATTCAACAAAATATTGATGATTTGACAACTGTGGATTTCTCTGGCGCCTGAAGAACGTACAGCTAACAATCTGATTTAAATGCGAGGTTTAAAGACTTGCCATTACTCGAATTTCACATAAAATACGTCTCTAAAGAAAACATTCAGAGGATTCACAGAATGGCAGTTTTCATGATCATGACCTCAAAGTTTTTCACAGATGGACCATGTCAAATCCCCCGTGAGATCACTAATTTCTGACAGTCATATGAAAAATTGTCTTTGCATTGCTACATCGTCCATCGCACCGAATATTGACAAACTTGTTAGCGAATATTGACAAATTTCATAAATGCAGAAAAAATTTGTTAACTTTACTGTATCTTCGTTTTTTTTTATTGTTCTTATAGTTGTGGGGAAAGTTCGGTGTGACGGTTTTGTTTGTTTTTTCATTAATAACCTGTAGTCAGTGTAGCAAAACTAGAATATAACTACCATTTTAAGTGGCCCGCGCAATTATTAGTGAATTTCATGTGGCCCTTCGGCCAAAAAGGTTGGACGACCCTACTCTAAACTCTGATCCATATAAAAGACAACTCTAATTCTTGGTTTATAGAAATTTTGACTTCTACTTCAGGTTGAGGAATTTAGAGCAGGGGTGGGCAAGGTTTTTGAACCAGGGATAAAAAAAATTTGCCCACCTAGTCAGGCGAGCCATGTGCGTGTGACGTAATTAGCTAAAACATCTAAATTTGTTTTAGTTTGGTTGAGGCAACATCAGGCGAACCAGAATAAATTACCCAACAGGCGAGATTCGGCCTCCTGGTCTAGTACAGGTTTCTTCTTTTTTTCAACGTTAAGTTGAATTAATGTTCTCTAGGATCATGAGTAAAATGAATTAAAACTTTAAACCAGCCACTTGAGTGTGGAAAAGAGCTGTTTGGAGTGATTCAAAAAAAAAAAAAATTGGCTCTCTACTGTAACCGAGTGGTTGCCAGTTTTAATATTTGATGCTGTCACTATAGCAGGCCGTAAATAATTCAGACTAAAAATGCTATTAAGCTTGTTTGAGGAATTATTGTATCAACAATTTTTTTCTGTATCAGTCATAGTAGTCTGTTCCAGGGCTACTCAACTATTTTTACAGAAGATCCGTAAACTAAACTTCAAAATTACTGGGGTTCGGTCTTTCCAGAAATGATATTTCGACATTCATAAACGCGCACTTCCTCAACCGGATAATAATTACTCGCTAATCAACATAGCGCTATTTGCTTTGTTTATTAGGGCATTTCAGTTCGTTCTATATCAGTCAGGTGCAAATATGAGCAAATAAGAAAATAATCTTTTAAAACTACAAAAGTCATGTAATAAAAGGAAACCTTCACATATCCAAAAGTGAGGCGAATGTTCAGAAATAAAGATTCGGGTGCGGTCCAAATCAAATACTCAAAACTATTTACTTATCGACCATTTCTGCTTTAATTTCACCTGCAACACCAATTGAGTTGAGTTGTCATATCTTATTTCATTTTAAATTTTCCACGAAAACACGAAACTTTTAGTTTAGTATACCCTCTTTTTCTTTATTCGTCTTTGTCAGATTGTCTTACTTTCATAATATTTCAACAATTGGCATGCCTGCTGAAAAATACACACCTGCTGTAGTAGTATTACAGCCAGGCGGTGAACTGAACATAAATTAGGTAGGGTAGGATACTCATGAATAATTGGTCGGTGTGGTGCCAAAGCAGGGATGTGTAAATAATGGCCCGTGGTCCGGATCCGGCCCACTGAAGTTTTCATTCGGCCCACTTGTATCTGCTGAAATTACGAATATAGTTTTTATGGATATGAAGTTCCGTTGAAAATATTGATGAAATTAACTTTATAATGACCCCGATTATTACTTTGTACTCCTTAGTCCTTACTATTATATAGGCCAGGGATGGCGAACCTTTTTCAATGAATGGGTCAAAAATTATATTTTCAACTCAGAACAGAAGAGTGTGGGTCACAGATATTGAACCAATGTTTGAATCTATAACAAAATTGCTACATCTTATCGTGCAAATCTTATAAGCTTCAGTTGGTGTTGTGTTGTTTTGGGCTTTATTCGTGCATCACTTCCATTAGGGACTATTAGACTCTTAATGGCACTCGATTATTTATGAAATTTGTGTAAGAAAACACGCATATGAATTCCCCAAAAACGTTTAGGATGGTGCGACAAATTACTTTACGCTGCCAAAGAGTTTAGAGGGAATTCTACTCTGATTGAGTTATATTTTTCGATCGGCTCTCAACCGTATTAAGGCACTTTCACACTAGGTTATTATTTTAAATCTAAAATATTTTGTTCTCTCAACGGCATTGTAGGCGAAAAACTAATAAATGCAGAGTAGCATATAGTTCTCGTACACCTCTCAATACAGTCTTCAGTGACTTTGGTTCATGCACTTCTGAAAGGGAACGCTGTAACAAGGCGTTGCGAGAAATAAACAGATCAATTGTATTGTTTTGTCATAAACGATGTCACAGCCAATATGTGCACAACTCTATACAGGGGTGACACGTGCGTCCAAGATTGGGAGTTTCGAAAATTATCATACCGAACCGGAAATTAAAAATTTAAATTCGAGCCTTCAGCTCAGTAACCAAGTCTATTATTACTTATCGATTGTAATTGGTAAATATGTTGATAGGTATTTGTCTGTTTGTCTGTTAGATGCACACGATATCTCATGAAAGCGAGATTGAATCTGCTCCAGATTTTGCATGTGCATTCATCATATTTTGGGCGAATTATTTCATATAATTAGCGAGTTATTAATTAATTAGTGATGGGACACAAGGTGTCACTATGGGGTTAGAGCGCTGTTTTGGGGGTTCCCCAAATATTCGATCGATGAGTCTTCGGTCTCTGACCGATATTCTCGTTTGTAATTTGTCCACTTAAAAAAGTAATTGCCCATTCCTGGGTTAAAGCATTAGACTTCATCGCAGGTTAAAATACCATGCCCACCAACTCAACCAGAGTGTAATAAATGGGGTAAGCAGTTCATAACCGGAAAGATTTCAGTCGATCCAGAATAAAGTAGCTTTTTACAAATCAGCTGGGGGTGGTACAAGGCCTTGTTCAGAACGCAAGTCGCATAAACACATCGAATTAAAAATTTGGTGAAAATGTTGTTTTTACCCGAACTTAAAATCCCACATTTTAATATAATCCGATGAAGTGTGAGAAATATTGATAATATCTAAACTAAAGATAGACTTGCTGTTCAGCTTCACAGGTATTGTGTATACACAAGTATTGTTCCTGTCTACAGTTCCTGTGAGTCAGAATATTATTATTTATCAAATGTGATCATGGAGATGATTACATGGCTTTTGTGTAGTATAGACAATTTGTCTAATGTCACTGCAGTTCTGTATGAATAATTAGTTTTATCGCACCACATCACCCAGGCAAGTTATTGTAGGAATCCTTTTATGCTTATGTGTTAGCTAAAATAATTCTGGTCTAATTGTCAACATGCCTGATTTGCATAAAAAGCCGATATCCAAAATAAATCCATATTCTTACTCAAATATGATAAAGTTCTCAATTTTGAGTAAAAATTGGTGTCAAGTTTATAAAAAGTTTATTTTCTGGCAAAAATGAATTTTTTGAAATTTGAAGATATATTAATGATTTTACTGTTAAAGTATGGCCCAGTAAATGCAATATTCTAGTCTTCAAAATTCTTTTACGGTATGTATTAGGAATAGTAAACGTTTTGGGTTTGGCCGGCCCTTGTTTAAACAAATGCATATCTTTGTAGCTAAAAGTCTCTGCTTTTTAAGAATTAGTTCTGGTTATGTATCCTAGTTTTTCTGGAAATATAAATTGCATTATTGCATTATTATAATGCCCAAGTGCAAGCTGGATACTTAATTTATTTCATGAATAAATTTTTATGAGGCAACTTTAGCTTGATATAAACTTGGCCAGGGCAAATAGGTTCTATAGCTTTTTGCATACAGCGGAAATTTCCTTTTATCGTCTAATCCATTGTGTGTATGTATGTGCGTTCCAGCCTACGAGGTTGAAATGCGATACCGGTTTCGGTGGGTTTTTTCAAGCTCGCATTAGGCATCTCATAACAGGAAGACGGCTGTTTTGCGAGGTGGCATAAAGAACAAAGGACGAAATTCAAATAACTATAATCGGATGGTGATTGCAAAATCCATCTCGCTTGAGTTGAAAATACTGCGATTCTTTTTTTTTTCATTTGTACCTTAAAATGTGCACTTTGCTTGAATTGACTTATGATATGCATAGAAAATTGTTGCTTTGATATTATGATTTGAAAAATACATAGAATACATATAATTTACATCTACAAAATAATGGACCTGAATTAGACATCATCCAAACTGAACTATCCTATTTTTATTCATTTTCATTCCATTCAAGTCTATGCATCTGAAACGAAAAACTAGTGAGTTAGTCCGATACCTGACATGGACTGGTATTCAAACGAGAGAGCGTAGTGTGCCATATGGTTGGGTCGTCTTATCGCCATTCCTCTCCTAAAATGCATTGATTTGTTCATTTTTATAAATGTTCCAAGATTTTTTTTAAATTTTTATATACGAATGTTGAATATCATGATTCAACTTGAAATTGTTTTAGCAATGATATTTCACAGCTTGAAGCAGGAAGTTGCATAATGAAATTTTGAATATTAAAACTTCTCATGAATCTGCATTTTAGTCGGCGATATTTGCCGACTTAACTAGTTGAAATCTGATCACTAGATAAAACTGATGTTTTGATGAAGGAAGTCAATGTGATGCCACATATGGGTTAACTTCCTGGTATTTCAATAGGAGAATATTCTGAGTGGGCTGGGTGGCAATATATTAATCGTATTGTTCAGTGGTGATATCATTTTGTATTCACCGTTCGTTGTTTGTCTGTTCGATCTTTCGAGTAAGTACACTTTGTGCTGAATAGTAAAGTTGTCGGGAGCTCTATGTTCAACTCTGTCTTCGAAGGTAAATGAGTTGTTATTTTCGATGGGTTTTATATTTATAAAAACGAAAGTTAAATTTTTTTTCGATGTGGCAAGGTAATTCATTGTTCGTGAATATTAATATGAACTATCAATATTTTATTTTAGACGGATTTTAATAAATTTTTTATTTTATTATTTATGTGCATTTCCACAATTTACTTATAAGTTTTTTTTGCTGAATGAAGCAGTCATTCATTCATCTTCATTTGTATTAAAGTTGAGAAATTTTTATCTTGATTTATATTTTATGACTATAAAGTTTTTTCTCCATTTTTTCAATAAATTTGTTTTATTCATGACTTGATAAAACAAAATCGAAATTGCTTTTGGCACTGTTGAGGTTTCTTGCAAATATGCAATTGTGCTTATTATGGGCTCTGATGGCCTACAAATTTATACGATTTTTTCTCCTATAAAATGTGTTATAAAGTTTTAACAATATCTTTTGTTTTTCCTATTTAAGATTGCTGACTGAATCTTTCAAGAAAAATGTTCCCGACAACAAGTTGTCAATTGTATTCGGCAATGATCAACAACTGGGTGAGGATCAAGGTAAAATATCATTTTCATCACATTTTTTTTTTCAAGTTGCAATCAATTATGTCTGAGCAGCAATTTTCAATACAATCTATCTTTTGAGAGGTGACTATTAATCTTGCGAATTTCAAAGTTAATTTGAGCAAAAATTACCCAAAACTGACCTAATTTTGTTCTTTGTGGTCAGCATATCAAGAAATGGAGAAATTTGAAAAAAAAGGCATGATAAGCTCTGATTTAAAAAATTCTACCCAAAATACAGTACAGAAAATGCAGCAATGTCTGAAACAAAAGCTGTACTACAAAGTATGGAGTCTATAACCAAGAAACTGTACAGTCTATCTTTTGTTCTTTGGAATTGAATGTTACTCATTGTTCAAATATTGCTACATAGCATCAATCCGCTACTTCTGAAACTTTAACATGTGACTTATTGTGCACTATTTATAGGTCTTATATAAATTGTTGAACTATGTGGTAATGCAACTTCAAGCAAATAAGAATACTATTATATTGACAAACACACAGATATAACTTTTGTATTTACTTTGTGCTTCTATTATGCTCCCATTTGTAAAAGTTTTCTTGTTTAGCCAAATTTACAAATGCTGTCAAATTGAAGATGGATTAATTTAACAATATATTTGAAAGTGAATTGTTAAAAATCAGAGTTGTAGTCATTTGTTTATTTTGTTGCCCTGTTTAATTGCTGCGCAGTGCTGTTATTTTTTTTCACAAACGTCCATGAATTATAAGAAGGCATTTTTTGATCAAATACGTGAAGTATGTATAAAATTCTTTGTTTGTGTAAATGAATTTTTGACTTTCCGTCAGCTGACAGCAAAATAAGTCTCTAAACGGCATAAAGAATTTAGATTCTTTCCATTTTGTAGACTTTTTTACAATGTTATTTATTTAATATCAGGATAACTAATAATTATCACTGAAGACTTTGATCATAAATTTCTTTTTATAACAATATCACATCGCGATTCGCGCATGACCTAATACTGTCGTCTTCTCTTGTTTCGCAGGATAATTATATCTACTTCCTTATTGTTTGGTTAATGCTGATCATGAATTATTATCGACTTCCTTGTTTCTTGGTTATCGACTCCATGCTTTGTAGTACAGCTTTTGTTTCAGACATTGCTGTATTTTCTGTACTATATTTTTGGCAGAAATTTTTTAATCAGAGTTTTTCATGCTTTTTTTCGAATTTCTCCATTTCTTGATATGCTAACCACACAGAATGAAATGAACAAAATTAGGTCAGTTTTGGGTAATTTTTGCTCAAATTAACTTTGAAATTCGCAAAATTAATAGTCACCTCTGAGCTCTGACATATTTTGTCAAAGATTTTTGAAAATTGGCATATTCAAATACGGCCCAATCAAGGTATATTACATTATAAAGGGATTGTATTACAGGCTTATGGGGTCAAACATTTAACATATTGATAAAATTGCAATTTTTCAAATTGTACACAACAATACATGCTTCACAGAAAAATTCTAAATGTGCTCTTATATTCGTTCAAGGCTAATTAAGGTTATAGAGTATCAATTTGCAGATATTTCAACGGGTTTATTTTTCAACCAGAATTGTTTTTAGTTCATCGTTGTTTTGATTCCGTCCGCCTCTTTTCCGCTTTATAATATCAACTCCTCCGCATTTCCATATGATAACCACCTCGTTTCCTAATTTAATAATCTTACTGCCGATTGGTTATTGTTTATGAAACTGTCAATCAAAGTTTCCCTTATTCTTTTCTTTCATTGATCGACATTATTAACGAAATATATTATCGGTTTGAAAATTTGCAAAGGGGAAAAAATGCATTTGCTTCGATTATATTTTACTGAATGTGCCTCACTATTATTTATTCAATGAAAACTGCACTATAAGGTATAAGTTAATCATAGTTATTAATAATATGTTCACAACAAATAGTGAATTCAACTACTACTGCATCAGGTCCAAATTGTTGCAGTGTATAATACATCAACTCGTAGCTACTTTTTTATTTTATTTAATTTCATTACTGTTTTAGATGGAAATCGAGAAGAATATGTTCCCACCCTTCTCCATTTTTCTGCCATGTACGGACTTCGCGACTTGACAACTAACTTGCTACGATGCCCTGGTGCAGTGCAAGCTTACGGTACAGCGAACTGTGATGGTGATTATCCCACAAATCTGGCAGAAAAATCGGGACACTGGGATCTTCGAGATTTCATGCAAACATATATGGTAATTTTTTTCTGTTAATATTGTTAAATGATGGCTGATTAAGTTAACAATTTCAAATTATTATTGTGCAGTGGTTCCCAAGCTGTACTTGACAAGGTGTTTGTGTTTGTGTGTTACAAAATGATTTTGAGTACGCCTATTAAAAAATCAGTCCATTCCCCAAAAATTAGTTATCTTTAATTCTATCTTTATTTACAACTTTACATAAAGCGATAAAAATTGTTATAAATAATGAGATTAGATTTTTTCGGCTGATTATATCAAACATTTAGCCACATCGTAATTATTTATGGGCACGAAAGTTAACTCACGTATGGCATTGATTAAATGTACATGTAAAATAAAACTTTTCTTTGCTGTAATTTCATGTCAATAGAGTCAAATTTTTTTTCAATGCGCTGTGATTTTTTGATTCAGAATGTAAACTGACAACTCATGAAGTTTCGAAAACGTCTAGGTTATATGATCTCAAATATGCAAAAACTGTAAGCTTGCAGTGTAATGTTTTATGAAAATTTTATTGTTTGATTCTATGCTATCAAAAATTTTACTTGAAATAACTATTGATCAAAATTTTTTGTACTAAAAATTTCCATATTACGACACAAAGATAGCATCATTGTATTATTACGTGAGAATGAAAGTACTATTTCACTCCGTGGTACTGGCAGGGGATTTCTGCTTTCTTAAAGCAAGACTGAAATTTTGTACCACGGTTTAGATGGTACAATACATTCTCATGAGCTGTCAACTCTGCTGACTACGAACTTCTCAAATTATATAGAATAGAATCAGGAAGAATGGAAATACCCCCATATGATCTTATAAAGGATAGGATATTGCACGATGACTCAGGGCTGACTCTCTATTTCAGTACGGTTTCCCTCTATTTGTAGTACCGTAAAACGGGGTGACTTTGACCTCACGGGTTGACTTTGGCCCCATTTTGAGAATTTGTTTAAAACCCACCCAAATCTACTTTTATTTGATATTTCCCATTTTATTTTGTTTTGATACTGTAGTTAATAACAGCAGCAATAATTATACAACAAAAAATCTTGTCACTTTATGAAAAATATTTGGGAAAAAAAACTTTTTCATTTGGAGGGTCAGAAATAAAAAAATTGAAAAAAAAATCGCAACTCAGTACTTTTATTGAGAAGTCCAAAAAAGAAACATTCAATTGTCCTTATTCTTTACAGGTTGGAAGAGATATTCTCTGTGAAGGTTTTTATGGTGTTTGGAACAAGTTTAAACTAGTTGGGGGCGTATGAGGGAGGTTTTTTGCCCACAATGCAAAATTCCATGTAATATGGTACTGACTTTGGCCCACCTTATTACCCTATACAAACCTACTTTTTTGTTTTATTTTTCAGAAATAAAACGAATTTATTTTCTCATTCTAGTCATCCAGTTAATCTATAAATGTAAACAGTTTATTTCAAATCATGGTGAGAAAATTCAGTCGTGTTTTGGGCAGTAGAAGATACCATGATTATAGTGAGAAAAAACTTCAGCGAGCTCTGGAAGCAATTAAAAGGGGAGAATCGCAAAGAAACGTTGCAGCACAGTTCAATATACCTAGGAGTACTTTGAAGAATAAGTTGAAACTGAGGCACATGAAAAAATTTGGTGGGCAAACAGTTTTATCTGCAGAAACTGAGAAAATTCTAGTGGAGCACTGCATAGCCGTAAGCAGTTTTGGTTTTCCGATAGCACAGGAAGATTTGAGAAGCATAGTTAAAGCTTATCTTGATGCAAAAGGAGTGACTGTCAGTAAATTTCACAGCAATTATCCTGGAGTTGAATGGGTGAAAGCATTCTTAAAAAGGCACTCAGAACTAACGGTGCGATTCGCAACGAATATAAAAAAGAAAAGGGCAGGGGTATCGAGTGAGACTATTGAAAAATATTTTGAAAACATCGAAGAAGAGTTGGATGATGTGCCCCCGGAAAATATTTGGAATTATGATGAAACAAACTTAACTGATGACCCAGGTATGAGTGACTTTGCTTTTAAGTATATACAGTACTACGGTATTCAATTTTTCAAGCGTTCTTTGTTAATCCCCTTTTTTAAAATATTTACTGCGTCAAATCAAATTTTAAACTATTTATGGTGTTATGTAAAATTTCACTTTGGCTTGCAGTCTAGTATGGATAATAAATATTACTGTATTGTGATCAAAGCATTTATTTTTAGGGCAAAAGAAGATAATATGCAAGCGCGGCTGCAAATACCCAGAAAGAATCCTGAATTCGACAAAATCTGCAATAAGTTTGATGTTCTGTGGGAATGCAGCAGGAGCAGTGATGCCACCGTATGTAGTGTACAAAGCCGAGAATCTGTGGAGCACTTGGGTTGAAGGAGGACCACCAGGGACACTATACAACAGATCAAGATCAGGCTGGTTTGATGGATTTAGTTTTCAAGATTGGTTTAATCGAATGGTGCTGCCTAGGCTGAAGCGTCAAAATGGGAAAAAAGTTCTCATTGGGGATAATTTATCCTCCCATATCAGTCCAGATGTTCTGAAATCATGTCTTGATCACAATATAGCTTTCATATGTCTACCGCCTAATTCGACGCACCTCACCCAACCCCTGGATATTGCCTATTTCAGGCCAATGAAAGTCGCTTGGAGATCGATATTGAATTCTGTGAAAAGTAAAGAAAGAAGGCAGACATCCGCAACGCTAAGAAAAGATGAGTTTCCAGCACTTTTGAACAAACTCTGCTTTGCTCTTGATGTCAGGGGAGCAAACAACCTAGTTGCAGGATTTAAAAAAGCAGGACTTGTTCCGCTCAATAAAGAAGAAGTTCTCAGTAGATTACCAAGAACTACGAGTCATGATGATTCTGATGTTATCAGTGAAAAATTTCTTGAGAAAATTTCAGATTTAAGATCTTCTGTGGCAAAGGAAACTAAAACAAGAAAGAAGGTTCAGGTAGAACCTGGGAAAAGCGCATGTGAGGAAGATGTGGCAAGACTTGAAAAAACGGTTTCAAAAAAAGCTCAAGCAAATCAAAATATTGAAGATTCAGATTCAACGGTTGAAATTGTTTCCTCAGACGATGAATGCGATGAAGCCTCTACTCCTGAATCATCCAACTCTCACTCTGTAGTTTCAACTGCTCATCACTTGCCATTTGAAGAATGCAACATTGGTGATTATGTTATAATTTCGTATGAGGGTGAATTATACCCTGGAATTGTCAAAACCCGCACAACTGACGGGTGCGAGGTGAGTGTCATGGAGAAGTCTGGATGTAACTGGAGATGGCCATTTCGGAAAGATCAGATTTTTTACGACTGGAGCAGCATAAAACGTTGTATCAGTCCCCCAGATCTCATAAATGCGCGAGGCATCTATAAAGTGTCTGAATTGAACTGAACTGACCTTTTTGCCATGATATCAACTGCTATGAATGAATACAGACATGTTTAATTTTGATTTTTGCAGTGCCATTATAAAATGGCCGATTTCGTTGAGTGTTCTAATTTTTTTGGGGTTTCTGTTTTTTTAAAAAGTCTCTGTGGGCCAAAGCCCACTGTAATAAATGTTTTCTTTGTCTCAGTATGGGTACAGCTTAATTTATGGGGAGAAATAGGCACTGGGCCAAAGTGGTACCGAAATTGCTGGTGACTTTGGCCCACCGTAAATTAAAAAAAATAATATAGAAAAAACAAATATTTTGGTTCAATGATTATGCACGACGTATACCCCCTCTAAAATGCATAGTTTGGACCCGGAATAGCAATTCATAGATTTTTAATATTCGAGATATTTTGACTGAAAGACCAAAAATGGGTCATAGTCACCCCGCTTTACGGTATCTGTATATAAAGCACGCGTCTAGTTTTAGTATTGACAGAACAGATTTGCAACACGGTTAATAACATGTGTAGAGTTGTACATAAAATAATTTTCAGTTTACTAACAATGTGACAATTAGTATCATTATTAAATTTTCCTATAAGACACGATATTGTTTAGTGTTTTCAAAATTGGATTAAATTGCTATTCTGGTCTAGTACCATCACGCGCCATGCCCGTACTGTTTGATTTTCATGGCATCGCACCTGATTGTACGAAAACCATTATGTGCACTTTCAACGATGAAAGCCATCTAACCAGTGTCTGCTTCCTGTAACTTATCACCAGTAAGCATTCATTTTAGACCATATGTTACGATAGTTATAATAGTTTGAATATCAATGATGGCATTGTGTTGCCGCCAGAATAAAATGCCAGGAACTATTTTGTTTCAACTAAATGCAAATTCTTGGTATTCCTATTATATTAGATTTCTTCTGCCTCAATGACATCTAATAGATTTTCCTTTTAGGATAATAGTTTCAACAATATCATCAAAAACGATACAATTTATCTACACTTGGTATTCACAGAAATTTCCATATAATTGCGGGTTTTAATAATGTCAAAATGCTCAATGCTCAAGAGAATATGACATTTTACAATATTATCATCAGAAATTGCTGAAACCAAACCATTCTTCATTCCAATACAATCTAAAATAATATTTTCAAACATGGATTATTCAATATTTTTTAATTCGAGTCTATTCAACAAAAAGCATGTAGAAATCGACGTATATTCAATAAATTTATTTCTGAAAATTGGGAAAATTGAAAATCAACAGTCATTAAATTGGTTTCAAGCTTATTGGTTTTCAGAAATTAAATGAAAGTCTTTTTTAATCATAATGTGAGATAAATATGAATAGTTTTGAATCCACTCCTTTCGAACATCCATGATTATCATAGCAAATACTTTTGAAACTTAGTTTCATTTTATCATTTTTAGGAAGGTTAACATAAGTTTTACATTATTATATAATATCGTAACCTGACGGCCAATATTTTACAACTATTCAATTCTTATTTTTTAAGGAAGTGGCAGCGATGGTTCACGATAATTATGGCAACAAAGGCAATATGCAAACGTCTGAAATCATGTCAAGTATGGTGTACGGGCAATATTTAAGCTTCGCAGGAGACGTCGGCATTCCTGAAGAGTAAGATTGATATCATATATAAAAAAATTCTATTCAGCAAGATTGTTCTATTCTGTATTCATGAAAAAAACAGGACGTGACCTCTGAACTATCCATGACTATTTGAACTATTTTAACTTCCTGAATTTTATTCGTTTTGTCCCAATAAGAGTTCAAATAGTATTGTATTACATTTTCTATGTTACATTCTTCAGGGTTGCTGTCCTTGTATTTAACAGTTTGACTGTGTCATAACATCTCCCCCAGTGAATACTTGATCTTTTGAACCAAACCGTCATTAGCATTACTATTAATTTTATTTCTGACATGAAGGGCTATTGCAAGCAATTAAATGAATGTCGCTTTTTTAAGCTTTGCTTATAGAACATCACTGCTTACTATACATCTATTTAATAAGCTTTGTAGTAATCGTTGTGAAAATTTACAATGGCCTTCCTGGCTTGCATTTTGAAACAATATGCTCAGGAAGGACAGGATAGGAAGTATGAATTTATACATCACACACAATCAAGATCACACGCGATCAATTCAGAGTTCATTATGTTTCGCCTGATCTGAATTCATTATTAACAAAGAAGTGCTGTATTCTGTGATTTTATAATGAAAGGTCACTCAATTTCAAACCATGTCATTTTTTGTTTTTGGTAAAATCTCCTCCATTCAGGCTGGTAACATAAAAGTGATTAACCTGCACGCTTTTAATAATCACTCTAGTATTAGGGAATAACCAATGATAACCTGTTGAAAACCAAAAAGATACATCCCATACTTATAACAGGAGTCATATGCCAATGCTATTTTTCATGCCCTGTACTTTGCTTCATCAGATTTTGTATGCATCTTCATCTTATATCACTGGCGAAATTTAAAAAATACTAAATTTATTATTTGTAGGTCATAAAAATAAGGTATATTTTTTTCATACTGATACCACAAATTAAATGTCCAAGTAATATAGACTTTCAATTTACTTTCAGTATCTATGTGGCCATTGGGGATGGTTTTATGTCAAATGTGAACACACCTCCAGGTTATGTACCTATGCAACCAGCAGCCGTATCACATGATCTGCCACAGAGTGTTGATTATGATTACACCTTGAGAAGAATTTTGGAAGGTGAGAACATAATATATCATGAGTTTAGATTATATAAATATATTTAATATTATATATATATAGAATATATTATATAATGAGATTGGATCAAATAAAACATAGTGATTTGAAGAGTGCCATCTTGAACATTTGGTAATTTTTTATTGTAATAAATGGCATTATACCAGGAACTGTATAGCACACTTACAAGCAGACGTGACTATTGGTATCGAATGTTAAAATTTTGAGTTGAACTTCTATGTCCACCACCTCACCTAAGGTATAATAAATTGGTTGAGCAAACACGAACAAGAAAGATTTTGGGCTTTTTTAAAAACTAGCTTTTTATCATTAGGGGCTAGTGCTACATAACTTTGTCCAGAATAAAAGGCATGTAGGAATATCATTTTAAAATATATAACTTGGATGTGATTCAAAAGACTATTTGTTGTTAATTTTACCTCTGAATCATGTATTTTTAACAATGATCATCGATTCCATTAGTTTTACTCAGATATTTTGAACAAAATCAATACCAAACTTAACAAGCAACAAAATCTTTATTGAGTTAACTAACTCTCATTTAATAAGTATTTTTGATATTCCACATTCGTTTCTAATATATTTTCAAAATTTTATTTATAATCAATTCAGTTTAAATTTACCTGACAATTCTTGTTATATTTTGAAATTCTATCGACTGATGATGTTTTTGTTCATACAAGCACTAATACTATGTCCGATAATACAATCTCCGCAATATGTCTAATTATTCTATATCGTTTGTCATTTGGTATTTTGTTCTACATTTTCTGTTCATTTTTGTTTCCATTTTTTTGTTACAAGGCGATGAGCCAGAAAAAGAATATGAGATGCTTGATAGCCCGTTACAAATACCTCCTATTCCTGGTGAAAGACGTAAAAGTACTTTTATGTGTGGTAAGTTCATTACGCCAATGATAACTACATTTAAGATATGTACAATTGAACTCACTCTACCGTAATGGGCATTATTCGCATAACATGTAAGTCATGTATGTATCTGTCATCGTCATCAATGGTATTGAATCTTTTAATTTCTGCTTCCGATAACTTTGTCATATACCAGAAATTAAATTAACTAACGATCATGTTTTAAATTGTATGTTTTTTTTTCAGAAAAATATACTTTTTAATGGAATTTTTGCCTGATCATTTGAAAAGTTAAATTACATTCTATATCTATACGGCTAATACGGCTAATGAGTTTGAGTCGTGGTAATGCAACGGATATCAAAATAACACTCCTATTAATTAAGCTTATACATTGTAATTTGTAATATTGTAATCATTATTTTTTTCACGCTGCTTTAACATTGTTCATAATTATTTATGTTAATGTTGAGCCATGTTCGAATAAATGGGTTTTGTTTTTTGCACACCTAATTTTAAATCTGAATTTTATCAAATTCAAAGTATGAGAAGATATCCTGATTTTCTGCAACTTTTTTTTAAAATCAAATCGACAATTAATCATTAACAGATAAATTTATAAAGTTTAAAATTGTTATTTTGCTTAAAGCAAGGTTATGCACACTCACTCAGAAATTGATATCTGAGCGAAGTTACGAATGATGCGAAGAGCTACTAAGACTAATTGCATGTTAGTAAATATCGATTGGTGAGAGTCTCAAAGTAGTTCCGCTCAATACAATTAGGAAAACATTCATGAGGTAGAGAATTCCGTATAAATGCAGTTCTTGAAAAAAATTATATCAATCTGGCATTAGATTACTAAAAATTGTTTATTTCTATAAAATGAAATATCACACAGAAATTATTTTGTTTAATAATGATTGATAACAAATTATCCATTAAATCTTAGTTGAGAAATTTTTATACCTGATTGTTAAAATGTTTTCAGCACCTGTGAATGAAGAACCTCCTCTTCCACCACCAAGAGAACCAAAGCTACCACCCAGAGAATCAATTGACCCACAAACTGCAATGTGTATGTTTAAAATCTTAATTACTCAGTTTTGGAAGCTTTTATTTGTCAAAATACAAAGTACTACGGGTCTGTGGTTGAAATATCCCAAATTGTCATGACACATGGCACTATAGCTAAAATACTATCTTTCTTGATAGTTTGTCGTAGTTTTATCATCATGTTTTGATTGATTCACTATAACGATAGGTTAATGGATATGTAGGTTAAAAGTCTTCAATGCAAGCCTTCCTTCAAACCACCTGCATCACACATTAGATTTAAAAAATTTGGCAGGCTAAACTGAATAGAAAAGCGTTGAGTACCACAAATCGCAGTAATCCCAAGTGCGTTGTTAATTGAGTTAGAGGTGTAAACATCTTGTATAGGTAGGCTACCTCATTTACGCTATGGGTTAGGTACCTAGCAAACTTCTGAGTATACATAGTTATTTATATATGCTGCAGCAGTTAAATTGCTCGTATTTTCATTCAGTGACTCTCCCAAAGTTTTCATCCAATATGTCTCCAGCACAAGAAGAGTTAATCTCATTGCAAAAGAAAGTCAAATTGGGAGAACTTACAATCAATCAGGTAAAATAGTGCTTTTTATTGACTGACTAATCTTAATTTGAAAGTTTCAAATTTAATTTGTATAAATAAAAACTTGATTTTGAAATTTGATGTGGAACCATATTTGGGCTGTTGTTTCATGGTAGTAGTCATACCAAAATACACCAATGGCACTCAAGTTGAGCTCGGCTCAGAAATAAAAAAAATTGAGCACCGGAGATGTAACCATTGTGATTTCAAACCAGCTCCGCAGCACTGGTTATAACTCAAAGAACTTTACGAAGTAAGTTACTAAAATCAATAATCAAAACAAAATTCATGTCATGCGACAAATTTTAAATGAATCATGTTTTAGCATAAACTATTCACAGTAATTAAAAACAATAAATAATGTCTTAACTGCATACATCTTTAATTGACTTTGAATTCTCTGAATTTTGCAATATAAATCTGTACTGCTATTTTCTATATCTTTCATTATGTATATTACATTGGCTATTTTAGGCCGTTTTTCGCTTCAAAGAATGGGAGAGAAAACACAAAGAGACTGCAGCTTCATTCCAGTATCAACAAGAAAATCTACATAGACTAAGAATTAGTTTGATGAAAAGTAGAGACGAAAGAAAGCAACGAGGAGACAGTGGTTCCATCAAAATATCAGAACCTCTCGTCGCAGGATCGTCAACGTATGACAAAGTATTGCTGAAGACTAGACGAGAGGTCATGGTGGATGCTTATGGAGGAATCGGAGAAAAAACTGTAAATAGTGATAGGATATAAAAATAAACATATTTAGTTTATCAAATTTGTGTTTATTCGTTTTAAAATTTGAGAATTTAATTTAAAAAAATATTGAATAATTACTGTTGTCGGTTTGTGAATTTTTTTACAATCATTGATGATGTACTGTCAGCACGGATGTAGCCCATATGTAGCTGTTTGCTTCACTGTTCAAATGTTCAAGCCAAGTATGTTTGCCACATATTCATATGCCTCATTGTCCTGTTGATAAATATGAAAATATTCAAATTTTGGAAAACACCACAATTTATCACTATTTATTGTTCGAAAAGTAACAATTCCCAGAATCGAGTGGACTACTTTCTAGGTCAAAAATTTAATTTATGTTTTCACAGCCAAACAGATCTAGTATTGAGCGACGAGGTGACATAACAAGACAAAATGAATGTAAGTATAAACTACTTTTTGTATCCAATTTTTTTGATTATTTGTGTGTGTTGAGTTAATAGTTCAAAACGTAATTGACTATAATAATTGAAGAGATTTATAAAAATTTCATTTCATTATATATGAAAATATGCTCAATATTAAATTTGTTTTCAAGAAGAATAGTTATTTTTGGTTAAAATTTAAAATTTAATTCCATTCTGTAAAATTAAATTTGTCAAAAGTAAGCTTAGAATGTAGAATATTGAATCATGATCATTAAAATTTGCTCGTCAATTCTCAAATTGAAAATTCAAATGATTTCAGATTCACACGGACCAAGCAGAAATTCTTTTGGAAACAGCTTCAAGGTATGTCATTAAGAAAATTTCACAAAGTCCAAATTACGTGAATTTTTTCGAGGGCAAAACTGAAAATAACTTCGGTGTTTGGATTTAACAGATAAATTGTATCTTTTACCACTGTTGTTGACAATTTTGTATAAATAGTTGTTGATGCAAAAATATTATTGATAAAATATACATATTTTTATAACATCACTGTTTATTATTTACTAAATGAAGTGTCAGGCTGGCTGTATGGTCCAGCAATTTTTTTTTTTTGTGCTTTAGGAGACTCATAAATGAACTAAAAATGTTTCACTAATTACCAATGTTACATCCTCTCTTACTCTGTCCAAATTTTAAACCTTAAAAATATTTTGTTCTCTCCACCAGAAACATCCATCATTTGTTCGTGGTAGGCCACCTCCCTCTACACCAGATAATGTGTCAGATAGATTATCAAGATTGTCTCTCAGCTCAACGGTTTGTTTGATTTTTGTTATAAAAGTATTATTAAAACATGACAGTCAGATACTTAGCTCAAAAAAATAAACTCGAAATGGATTAGTTACATGATCACATTCTGAATTATTCATTGATATTTCATTAAACAAACGATTTACTTATGTTTAAAAAATCCAGATTGAACTGAAAAGATAAATATCAAGCGATTGTATTGTCATTCACGAAAACACCAAATAGCAGTAACAGCTTTCAAATTTATATTACTTTCATATTTTTATTTTAAACTCCAAGTTCATCATTTTGTCTTCTATTTGCACCGCCACAATAGTTGTAAGCTCTAAAGTGGTCAATATTGGGATTTAAGGCCCCTGGTTTTGATAGAGCTGGCATCTTTCCTGACCACATAGCTTTACTATTTTATGAGTTCCTGATAGCGGTATTGCTTATGTCCCTATAACAAGACTGTAAATAGACTTATAGGAAGCTGATAATTCTTATCAGCGTAACTCGAAGTATAATAATATTGCTTATTCAAAGCATTGACTTTGGAACTTTTAATTATTGTTCTGCTTCTATTTTAAGGGTTCTTCGATCAAATCTACAGGATCAGAGGGCAGTAACCCACCGCTTGGTTCTATATTAGCATCCATTCATGCAAGAGCAAACAGTCCATTGCCCCCACGCCCCACTAAAAACAACAGCATGTCAGAATTTGGTCGACCTTTGACTACCAGGTATGCATACATTTTGGTGCTTAGTGAATGTTGCACATGCTAAGGCGTTTTGTACAGTTCTCATCCACTTGAAAGCAAAATTGCTTGTGGTAAGTCGAAGAATATATGTGAAAATGCTACCAAGAAAAGTGCAAGTACTCACATTTCTACATTATGTAGAACAAGGGATATTAAAATCCTTTCAAAACAATCTGAATTTCTAAGCATTTCTATCTATTACATGTTTGGACTTTATGAACATATCATAGGAAAATATAATATAACAATAACAGAACTAATTAGCCAAAATCTAAACTATTGTCTCATGTTAGATATTAATTTCCTTTCCAGTCAAGTGATGCCAAGTCACCCTGAACCTTGGAATCCATACAGTCATGGCAGCAGTGGCGCCGCATACAGTCATGGCAGCAGTGGTGCCGCATACAGCCATGGCAGCAGTGGCCCTATGTACAGTCATGGCGCTGAAGCTCCACCACCTGTGCCACCACGAGATGATCAAGAGTTTCATCGACCGAATGTACCACCAAGAAATCCAAGATACAAATAAGTCCATTCAAATATGCAATAAAGCTAAGATCCCAGTGCAATATAATGGAAAATTTTCTAGTAAAACATTAAATGTAACTCATTATTAGTATTGAAAATTTATTCTCTGAATTGTGAAATCAGCAATGAAATTATTTTTGATGTTATCTGATTCTCCCGTTATGAGTGCTGCAGTGTCAGGGTAAACAGTTTCCAATCAAGTGAAACTTGACTATTTATTTAATCATTAGTCATAACTCATAAAAAAGATTGGAAAATATAAACTGTAACTTACATACCATAGGGCCTACTGGATTATGAGACACAACAGTTTTGAGCAGTTTAAGATGTCTGGTTATTTATAAAAAAATAGTACTGGTTTTGAGTGAAGGCGATAAAGTACTACCTGATCCATATACTGGGTACACTGGCTTATTAGGCGCGATTGATTTTTGAGGAAAAAATCGGATTCAGAGTGAGCCTTGTGGTCCTTAAATTACGGTAATCTTACAGAACTATCTAATCAAAAGTTTTCTTTTTTTTTTTTTCAATATCCACCTATTTTAAAATTGAAATTGCAGAATTGAAACTGCCAGAACTGCTATTCCCTATTTCTTTCTATATTCTTGAATCATGAATTTGATTCAATGGCTTTTTCGAAACTTTTTGAAATATTGCATACTGGAAATGTGAGCAATAGACGAATATTTCATTATTCAATTGGATCGAAGAAAAATTTAAATACTTTGCCATCAGCTATGCTTTTGCAGAGTTGTAGTTGACAATCATGGCCAAAATAATTTTCGCCTTTTTTCTCATGCATGTTGTTTGTTTATATGTACATATATACTTTTAATAGACTCTTTATTTATTATAAAAGTTTTAAATTAGAGATTCACTATTCTTCCATGACTTTTCACCGCCACTTAACATTGTGTTTCAGTTTTTTTGTTTTCTGAATGTTCTTTATATATTTGAATATGTGTTTGCAAACAGAGATTATAGTGACCTTACATTTTTATTAATTGTTTTGCTATGCAGAGTCCTACTACCCAAGTCTAAATTAACATTCCATAACGACCTGGCCTTGGTTGCGGGCTATGCAATAATGCAGTGGTTTTCAACTGGTGTTCCGCGGAACGGGATCTTCAGATGCCCCGCGAAAAATTGTTAAAATATTTGTTACAAATTAAACAAAATTAAATCATGACAAAGTCAAGTAGAAATCTAATTACGTTTTTGTCAGCCTTTTGCGGTCTGATATTAACAACCCTCATTCCTACCTAAGCTCTTCTTATCCTAAATTTAAATTGGTTACGTATTTTTCCAACTCTAGTCTACAAGCTATTGTTCATTTTGATATTTCTTTTCTATGCCAAAATTACTGAAGGTAATTATTAATTAATCGCCTATTTCCGAAATATCTTTAACAATCATTTGGTGTTTATGATACAATTTAGGATCTAAAAAGTGTTCCCCGGATAGAAAAAGGTTGAAAACCACTGCAATAGAGTATGTTATGCATTTTGCGAAGCCTATTCTTTAGACTGTGCTAAATTTGGGTTTAAATTTCCAAGTGTTCCTAATAGATTCTAGATGAAATCATTTATGATTATACCAAGTGTGGACATTTAGTAGCCGCTGTCTTTATAATGAAAATATATATTTATTTCTCCAAATGATATATCAATTAGTTTTTAGTCTAGTCTTACGGAAAATATCTTCTGACTAGATTATCTTTATTGACATGATATTTATTGACTCAAAAAATTGGACAATTTTAGACTTTTTGGCAAATTTTCTTGTTTAAAAATCGTTAATGCCTCATCGAAAATATTTTACAGATTAACCTTCTTTCAGGTGTTCTAATCCTAGATGACGATACATACTTCACAAGGCTTGATGTCAATTTAAAAAGCTATTCGGTTGTTGCCTTGATCACTGTTCAATTCCAAATATGTAAATATTCGGAAAGGTTTGACTTATTAGTGAAATAATGTTTCTCTAAACCCGCTGTAAGATCACATACTATGCAATCATAACGTGTGACCAGACTAATAATTATTTAATCATATAATATATATATTCAGAATATTTTTATGCAGATAATAATGATTTAATGTTTAGCAGTCATTTAGTAAAAATTTTAAGGAGTTATTGTATCAACCATTGAAATTTCATTTTTCCATTGTCATTCCAAGGATGGCCATGCCTTATTAGCACTTCCCAAATATGTCCCATACTTTGATCAAACTTGCTCGTCACGACTCCGGTAAATGTTATACTTATCCTAAAAGTTGCTTCTTATTGACTTATTGTTTTAAAACAGTATGGAAACAGTTTTTCTTACACATGCTAAATAGCATCCATCCAACAACAGCTCAATTAAATTGGCCCTAGATTATCCAAATTAGAATTCAGTTCGTAAGGTATCAGCTAATTTTGACCCAACAATAATAGCATCGGTCAATTATATTGATCATCAAATAATGACATCTCAAAATGAAATTCTGATGTTTGTTCTTTACTCTTAAGCAGTGATAGGCTAAATTATGTTCATATCTTTTCTTTAGTTATTTTTATTTTGTATTTAAGTAAAGGTTATTCAAGTGAATATGGGCACTCGTGCTGTAAACCCTATGTAAGAAATTGATTGCAACCATCAGCAAATCTTTTGTGAAGGAATGATTTATACATGGCTGCAAGTATTTTTTACTAAACAACTTGATGCTCATTGATTGTTTAGAGAATTATAAGGTTTATTTGTTTTTTTGTAGAATCCATTTTAATAGGATTATCTTATTTTTTACTTGGTATGAATTTTTCCTTGAATCATCAATCACCCTTTAAGTTGTAGAGTTAATCATGTTTTCATTTGTACGGCATAGCCAATGTAATGATATTACTACACTGTACATTTTTTTTGTTTTATCATCTATCTGTTTTTCTCTGCCTTATATCTTCAATTTACGTAAATCTCATCCATCAAATTATACCTGCCTCTGTATTTATTTTGTTTCAGATATTTTTTTACAGATTTGATTTTTTGAAACTTGTTGGCCGCAACTCCTTTTTAGAATTTGCCAATAACTAGCTAACAATAACAAATCGTAAGGCGAAAATTATGTTTTATTCAAAAAACATGTTGAAAATAAAAGAAATGTAAATATCCAAGCCCCCCTCAAAAATTGTCTTTTTCTAAAATTATTTCCAGCTTCACAAGTATTTTAAACTTCTTTCGTGACATCGTTTTTTTTAAAGGCAAATTGTATGTATAGTGAGTGGATATCTATGCTAAAATATTTTGTTGAGGCAATCCTTATTCTAGTTTGCTTTTTTAGCTGTACTATCTATCCAAGAATCTCATTTTTTTGTTATGTGTGGTAACATTTATTTTGCTTTCTGGAGAAAATACAAACTATGAGTTTATGGTCTGTATGATGGCTGGGAAAATCAGGGAAACACTTTAACCGTTTACCGGCTAAAATTAACCGGTTAACCGCAGCGTGACTTTCACATATTAATTTATAATTTTAGCCTGTTACGTCACAATGGTTACAAAGCAATTTCGCGTGACCTTATCCCGGTATCGCTCGAAATTATTTACGAATCGAGATAGTTTCGTGATCGCTCCGCTGCTCGGTAAAACCCGATTCCGTTATTATATGTAATTTATGTGACAAATTTTTAGTGTTTGATGTTACAATTCAACTTTGAAATATATAAAGAAAAACAGCATCAACTACGCACTTGTTGGCTGACATTGAATATACGATTTTGAAATAAAATCGTGAACAATATATTTCGACCAAAAACTGATTCATAAATTTATTATTGTCAAATTTTCATAATCGGCAATCTTGGTACTTCAATTGTTTTTCTCATTTATTAGGTCCTCACCAACATAGTTAGCGATATTCTTTTGAATTAAACGCCACAGGAGATAAATTTGCGATGACGTAATCATTTTTGAAAGAATTGTACATTATAAATATGATTTGTACCTGAGATGTCAGTTAACGGTTAAAGTAAATCGTGACCGTTAACCATTCCCAGCCCTAATGAATGCAGTATGCAAGAAAGGGAATTTTCCACTGCAATACTCCCATAGACCCATAACGCGTCACTTACTCGTTAACCATTTGCCCTTCTATGCTGTCTAGCGTTATTCGATGTTTGAAGCATAAATGTAGGCATTAATTAATTGTAGAACCAGTCCGAAATCTGATTTGCTGTGTAAACAAACATTTTGAGTGATGAAACAAACAAAAATCAGGCAAAAATTTCATATATATATTTTCCATGTTACATTGGGACGACATGAAAAAGCCATTGGCTCTACGCTTTGAGATTTATCCCAGAAAAGAAAGCATTGATGTTGTTTACTTACACAACTTGCTCATGATAGAGAAGGCGGGCTTATAACCCATCATCAATGCAGGAATTTCTTCTAGATACCGTTGAAGAAGTAAGTCTTTTGAAATTTTGCAATTTCAGGTCTTAAGGGTCGGGGTAAGGTCCATATGCACATAACAGCTGTTAGAACGTGAACTGCTTTACTTTTTTATATAATTATTCGCATTTCTTCATTTTGTAAACTGTATTTTCAACCTGTTGCTTGTGAGCATGTCTGGAAGGAATGACTTTTGGCTTTTTTCGAAGCAATAAGGGGGCGCGAAGTTTTCCGAAGGTGGCAAGACTCAAAAAGTTTAATAACCACTGCCCTATTCCATCACAGTCTCTTACGATGTTACCAAACAATACATAGCTCTTAGTCTTAACCATCAACCTAATGCTGATTTAGATAACGGTTCTCCCGCTGTATCTCTGGTTGGCTATCAACAACGCGGAACACAAGTAAAACGACAAAGAGGCAAAAAATAATCAACACAAATAAATAAATAAGATGTACCAAAATGCGGAGCAGTTTCACATGATAAGAGTAAATGCGCGTTCGACACAGGAGTCAAAACACACATAAACTCCATTATAGGCTCAGTTATGTAAAGCATAAATCAGAGAAATTAAAAAAAAAAGTTGAATAATATTATTATTACGGGCACCCATTTATATACAATGAACTTGGATAAATAGCTACACTGAACTTAGTACAAAATGGTTATGTGTTGACTTTGCAACAAAGGTCGTCTAAACCAGACTTTAAGTATAAATTCGATACTGGCAAAAACATTATGCCAAACAAAGTGTTGTTGACATGGGCATAATTAAATCATCAAATATTTCAAAAATACCAAAACTGAGCTTACAACGTCTTTCTCTACGCTGACATTGTCACCGGATCGCCATTCACCGCATGCAGTAACGGTTTAGTCGACCCTGTCAGTAAGATGAATGAGGAAAAGACAAATAATTTTGAAGTGTAACATATAGACTGATCAATTGGCCGCAAATATTAACGGCAAAATTCGTTGGTGTATACTGTATATGATTAAAACGACAAAATGGAAAAATCAGTGTCGTTCACAAATATTAGTAAAAAATCTCATTGCTTGACAAAAACATAAAACTTACATGTAGAAGCCTAGTCGAATATTTGTTCTTTATTGTCGCTTACTTTGTTTTCTTTTTTTGATTTGTCTTTTTTCTAGAAAAATATAATCAGTCCGAGGCTCATTTATATGTTTATTCTGAACATTTGTAAATATAAGAAAATGAGCTGTGTCATTGAAAAAAATGTAATAAACAGTAGGCTACAATATTCTGATAGATTTACATTGTATATTGAAACTACCCACCTGTACAACTGATAACAAGCTTATAGTTAGACTCAGTTGTTTTTAATTGGAAAATGAATACAAAAAATCTATAATAGAAAGGGTAAACTCAATACCACTTGTATATATGGCAACTTTTTAAAGTCTACTATAGTCTCTGTGAGTCAGTCAATTGGGTAAGCAAATCCAGTTTACCATTGCAATGCATTGATAAAAATAAACACGTCAAGAATGTATTCACAAAAAGCCGTATGGGAATCATGTCGGCCCGTTTTTTTGAATTCGGGATGCAAGTAAAAAACCATTGTACATATGCAACAATGCTCCATTGCCAGCTAAAAGAGAAGACTTTTTCCAAATAACTCACGTGACCAAACCTTAGGTCAACGCATAGGAAGTGTAAACGCGTGTTGAAATAGACTATTGTTACTGTTTTCATTACGCAAATCACTTTTTAGTATTTTTGAAAATCTGTTGGCCTAATAGTCGAGTAATGTTGTTGTTGAATATATAGAGGTAAATAAACAATAACATTTGACATTCAAGCAGAATTTAACCAAAAAAAAAAAGAATAAATATGAACTGACAGCGTGAATAGTATTAAATTATCAGCTGCATTCAAGATTCAAGTACTACGGTACAAGCAATTTACTTCAGTAAAGTCGAGTATTTGAATTTGAAGAAGCCAACTCAACAGCCAAAACGAACCAAGCTGACAAATTAACCGTAAGACAAATCTTAAAGCTATAGCTCAGCTCAACTCTGATTAAGTCATCTGGAGTGACACAAATGCAAAACCATGGTATAGATCAAATGTTATGATCTTAGTGATCTCTCTCGCATACGTGATAGCTGTGCTTACGTGCCAAGTTTGACACGCGTGCTAGAGGTTGCCCGCCTTTGATTAATGATAAATGGATGATGAATTTATGTCTACTTTTCAGTCAGGGGGCGTTTGTTAATCACAAAATCGTTAAAGAGAGCGCTGCTATAAAAAAAAGTTTGGGAAACACTGTTTCACATTCTACGCTCGGTAGCTTACAAGGCGGATGGTCAGATTGAAGATATGTTTTTTCCTAGGCGCAAAAGCGACGTATATTAGAGTCTCAATGTCGCGAGAAATAAATTTTACTGAAAAGCGTAAGCGAACTTTGATTTATTGTGTTTATGTGCCGGAAACAGATAGCCTACATCAAATGAAATATATCCTTAGAGTTTAGTAGACTCTACTCTTCATTTTTGAGTAGATAGGGCCACTTAGGAAATAGGGTGGGTTTTGTGTGTGTGTGTGTGTGTGTGTGGAGGGGGGGGGGGTTAATATGGTCTTGTGAGAATATCAATTGACTGTCTTCATCGAGACTTGTGTATAATTATTTCAATGATTCAAAAGCACTCTCACCGCCACATTTATACTAGGGCTCTCGCAGTTGAATTCAACAAATAATGAAATCTCATCCCGTTCAACTTTTTGTTCCACATATGTTTGAAATATAGTCAAGTTTAGGCCAAAAAATTAAAAACGAAATACCTCTAGAGGCAGTTGACATAAAGAAGACAGGAAAAGTGCAGTTGAAGAAGTGCAAAATAAGAAAAAAGTTGAGACAATAGCTCTAGCACACAATGCAGTAAAATAACTCTTTATTGTCGTGTGTCAGGACAGCCTTGTAAACAGACTGGATCAACTTCTCGTTAAACTACCATGAAAATAGGAAAAAATCCTACAGGCTCAAAGTACAGAAAAGAACTTTCAAGTCTTAATAAAATACCCAATTCAGGAAATTATAGTTTAGGAAAAATGGGATTGAAGTGTAATATGAGAGTGGACAATATTCAATCAGAATTATAAGTCAGCAGGTTGCATAAGGCATAAGCGAACGAGGAAGATTGACGAGAAGAAAATTGTTTGTGTGGTAAAAATCATCGCATGGCGATAAGATAACTATTTAAATATTAACAATTGTTTTGTTTCTAAAGCTGTTAACACTTTTTTGAAAATTGCACTGTAATGTTCTTCGTGGGGTACGACGGATATGCTACTTAATATGCAGGAAAGGTATTCTGCTCAAATTAAATTATGAGAGGCCTAATTCTAAGACAGCTAGGCGTTGGCGGAAATCTTATGAGACACGATAAAGTTTATTTTGTGTTATCAACTTACCTCGAAATGTTCGCGGAAAATTGCGTGCAACTTTCGATGTGCAAAAGTGGCAAAATATCAAGGGGTGGGTGCATAAATCACACATGAACGAATTCATCAGCGACATTATGTAAAGAGCTATTAAAAATAATTTGTTAAGATGTCCCGACTTCCCCTGACCTACTATATAAATTAATTTAGAGATGGCAAAAAAATGAATTCTCTGCAGTCCCCGTACCGGTATATTTTTCTCTATTTTATCTAATATTATCTCCGTTTCGAGCGTAACTGTGGGATAGGTGATATATACGCGTTATCGGAGTTCAACAGGCTATGTTTTGGCTTCGCATCTTGTCGCTTCCTGATTCAGCTTTTGGGCGCGATGTCTGGGACGCCATTTTAAAGATGTGATGATGTTGGGTTAAAATGTTCATTTTTGGTTGCATACCTAGTACTGATATAAAACAGGGTTTTCTAAGGTTGCAAAGTTGAAGGGCCGGAAAAATTTGAGGTGGCCTGGCGGTTTGCAAGTCGGGAAAATCCAAAAGTGATCAAGATACTACGAGTTTACTTACTTTAAATATATTAAATATTGAGAGTTTACCGTTTTATTCAGCCTATTGTTGTGTTGCATAATATGTGACGTTTTTGGCTTTAAAAACTACCCTTTAGTTCTTCTATAATTGCTTCCCGAGAGGTCCGCATCTTTTCTCTTGTTTGGTGTTTTATGATCGTTTCAAATTATATTCTTTCGTATCAGATATTACCTGAAGGCATCAGACACTGTGATTGATCTGTCACATGGCATACGCTTGAAAATAGAGTTGTGTTCTTACAAAAATGAAGCCGCAAAACGTCTCTACAGAAGTCGCCACAAGGCAATTCTCCTCCGCCGCCTTGACACCTATCGGTAACGACCTCTCGACATTTTATCGTACCGATCACTGGACGTCATTCCCATATCGGCACCTCCTTGACGTTTATAGATACAACTTTTATATTCCATGATTTTAACAAATATCATTCCCGACAACGGGATTAGGAAACGGGTTCATATCTCGGGACCCCAATCCCAGTGGGAATAGCATAAAAGAAACTCAAAAATATTCTGCCAATAAATTTTAAATATCTGCCAATGGTTTAACTTCAGTGTACACTAAAATTGTTTGCGAGCCACACGGAGTGTACCAGGGTAGCTGATACCAAAAAAATGATGTAAACCATTTGTAATCACGGACAAGAAATTAGGCGTGGCATACAAGTATATATATAAAATTTTACTCAAATTTTGCACAATCTATAAAACACGGCCGCCATATATAAACACAATAGAATTTTGCTAGATTAGATACATTGATCTTTACAGTACTCCTGATGTTGAAATTAATGTTGACACCGTTTCACCGATGCACCCTATAAATTTCCTAAATTTGTAGCAATGATAAGTATATAAAGTACATATTGTATTTGTATTGTATTTCGCTATCCATAAAAGTTGAATAAAAAGATAAACAATGAAGAATAAATCGAAAAGTCGGTAAGTTAGAAGCTGAAGTCACAAATTTATTAGCTTACCACAATTATAGAGATTATTTTAAGCAACTACTTCGAATCATTTACCACAATGAGTAGATAGCATACAGCCATACACGTTTCCAAGTCGGAACGAATACTAGAAGTAATTTACTAACAGTTCTTTAAAGAATCTCAGTTACATTGTGAAATAGATGGTACATGTAACAGAGTACCTCAGTATAACCCTATTCAATACACAGTTAACTAATACAAGTTAATCTAGCCATATAAATCCTATTGTAGTATAATTATTATAAATAATATTACAAATAATAAGCAGAATCAGCGGCAGAATAATCTCTTATCAGTGATAAATACTGAAATACTCCCGAATGAAATGTATATATTCACACTAATTATACAGCTTATAAAAACCAGCAAAATAGTTTGTAAAAATGTTTAATAGTTAGACAAAGCAGAAAAAGAATTGTCAAGTTGAAAACTTGAGAATATTCTTGGAATATCCTCATAGAGACTTGTGTATAATCATTTTACGGCGTTATGTACCCTTTTACTACATGGATCAAGAGCACTCTCAGCGCCACGTTTACACTAGTGCTCTAGCAGTTAGGTCCAGTAAAAAGTGAAAGCTCACCCTTTCAACTTTTTGCTTCACAGACGTTTGGAATATGTCCAAGGTCATGCCCAAAAAATTTCCAAAGAAATACCTCTGGAAGCAGTTGGCGTGAAGATGACATAGAAACTGCAGTTGAAGAAGTGCAAAAGGAGAAATAGTTAAGGCAAGAGATCGAGCATTCAATGTATAAAAATAACTCTCTATTGTCGTGTGTCAGGAGAGCCTTGATTAACGCCTCGGTAAACTAAAAACCGAGAGAAAAGTATACAGGGTCCAGATTTCTCACAAGCTCAAAGTACAGCAAAGATCTTTCAAGTCTCAATGAAACCAGCGATCCAGAAAATTAGATTTCAAGAAGGTTGAGGTTGGAGTGTGGTATGAATGAGGACAACACTTAAGCAGAAGTCCGAGTTAGGAAATTACATAGTAATAAAAGAAAAATTGGAAGGACTATATATAATTGTTTCTGTGGTAAAAATCATCGCAAGGTTTCATATGTTCATTTGGCATTGATAATCTTTGCAGTATCTGTACCGGTATATCTTGCGCTATATTTTTATCTAATATTATGTCCATTCCGAGCGTAACTGTGGGGAGGATGATATAGACGCGATAACTGCAAAGCGTCACCAGGACTACGTTCTACAAATGTTTTGGTGTCGCGTCTTGTCGCTTCCTAATTTAGCTTCTGGGCGCGAGGTCACTAAGGCCGTTTTAAAGATGTGATGATGTTGGGCTTGTTAAAATGTTCATTTTTATTTCCATACCTAGTATTGATACAAAATATACAACGGTAGATGATACAAAAAAGATGTAAACTATTTGTAAGCACGTACAGGAAATTGGGTGTGGCATACAAGTCCTTAAAATTTTAGTCCAGTTTTGGACATTATTTTTAATCTTAAGACATCTAGGCGTTGACGGAAATCCTATGAGACGCCATTAGAGTAATATTATCTCAATTCCGAGCGTTACTATGAGAAAGGTGATGTAGACGCGATAACTGCGTAGCGTGACCAGAATTACGTAATACAACAGGCTTTTCTGTCGCATATTGTCGCTTCCTGATTTAGCTTATGTGCGCCATGACCGGGACGCCGGGATGCGATGATGTTCGGCTTAGTGAAAGTATGAAACACAGCCGACATTTATAATGTTATAATAGGCATAATAGAATCTTGCTAGATTAGATAACTAGATCTATAATTTTTTTGTAGATGAATTTGTAGCATTAATAAATATATATATATATATATATATATATATAAAGTACATATTATATTTGTCGCTATCCATAGAAGTTGACTGAAAAGATAAACAATGGAGAATAAATCGGAAAGCCGGTAAGTTAGAAGCTGCAATAACAAATTTATTAGCTTACCACAATTATAGTGACTATTTTAAGCAACTACTTCGAACCATTTACCACAATCAGTAGATAGCATACACGTTTCGAAGTCGGATCGAATACTAGAAGTAATTTACTAACAGTTCTTTAAAGAATCTCAGTTACATTGTGAAATAGACGGTACATGTAACAGAGTACCTCAGTATAACCATATTCAATACACAGTTAGCTAATACAAGTTAATCTATCCATATAAATCCTATTGTAGTATATTTATAAATTTTAAACAGAATCAGCGGCATAATAATCTCTTATCAGTGATAAATACTCCCGAATGAAGTATATATATTCACACTAAGCATACAGCGTATAAAAATAAGCAAAATAATTTGAAAAAATGGTTTATTAGCCATGCAGACAAAGTAGAAATGTCAAGTTTAAAACTTTATTTACAATATTATATATTAACTTTGTTTAAACGTTTTCATTTTTTCATTTATTTTGAAGAACTTTTATATATAATGTCTTACAGTACGTCGTACCTTTAATTAATCAACCGTAATCTGCAAATATTTCTATTGTTAATTTCCTTGCAGAATTACATGGAGGAACAAGTTCGAATTTTACTTCAATGTCTTCGGGTATACTATTGGATTAGGAAATATCTGGAGATTTACTTATCTTTGTTTTAAAAATGGCGGAGGTTGGTAATCTTACTTAGTGATTTTCAATCAGTGTTCCGCGAAAAAAATTTTCGTTCCGTGAACCACTTTCGGTTGTTCCACTTTAATTTGTTGCTTCTAAATTTATTCATATATTCAATACTTTATAACAATTTGGAAAAAGTAGAAATCAAAATTCGCCGAAGAGTCTGTTGTTTGACAAAAAAAAAAAAAACCACAGCGCAAACTCTTAAATATCTGAATCTCGTTTTGAGGTTTTATAACACCATAACAGACCGTTTTTCGGTGACGTAGCCAGGTGGGGGTTAGAATTGACATAGCCTATGTAAAAATTGTTGAGCCAGGTCAACTAGAAGTGCATGTGGTACTAAACTATACCAGACCCAGCTATTGGTCTTTTCGTAAATTCCTTTCAATGACAGTATTCATCGAGAGTCATGAAAGGAATCGAGATAATTAATCATTAGTTAACAGATATTTCATTTGTTCTCCATTTTTATTTGCTGTTCGAAAACAATTTAGCATTTTAAAAGTGTTCTGCGGAACAACAAAAGTTGAATATCGCTGATCTAACTTATGACTTATCTATTAATCTACACACGAATCGCCATATAGTTAAGCATCTGTACTTTCCCAGGTGCTTTTCTGATTCCGTACACCATAGTTGCACTGTTTTGTGGAATTCCACTCATTTTTATGGAAGTGGCATTGGGGCAGCTGTCAAGACGAGGATGCATAGCTGCTTGGAATTCGGTAGTTCCTATGATGAGGGTAATTTAATACTTTACTTTTAATTACAGGACGTGTATAATAGTAAACAGTATCCATGCATATATAGTAATATTGCAATAGGAAGTTTTTTATTTTGTATTTGTCTTGACCCTTCCAAAATGATCTCTCAACATTCTGGAAATCAGTCTCGTCATGTTTTTGGCAGAGCGTATGTTTTCACGACTCTAAAAAAGTTGGAATATGTATATATATATATATATATATATATCACATGAAACAGTCCTCGCCACATTGTGGTCTCCTTGGAAAATGGCTGGCTGCTGGGCTGCCCTATAAAGGGTTTAGTTTATGAACAACTATACTCAACAATACAAGATGACATCACATTTGCATCTACGTACATTTTCCATCCATAAAACTGCACCCGGGACATTTTAATCTGCATACTTTTTACACCCGCGGGCATTGCAGTTATCTATGAATACCATTGTCCAAGAGTGCAAATGTAAATGGGTGCAAATGGTCAGAGGTGCACAACTGGGAGGCTGCAAAAGTCCCGGGTGCAACTGTACGTTTGCGTAACAATAATGATACCCAAACCACGGGTATTTGTAATTATAGCGATTTTATAGACGCAATGTCTCAGACTTTTTTTTTCTCAATCAATATTTCTTGAGCACTGTATTGATTGCAGGGAATAGGTTACTCATCTGTAGCGATGTCTGGCTACTTCTTGATTTACATAGCTTTGACGATGTCTTGGTGTTTGATTTATTTTGTACGATCTTTCACTCTTTCAACTCTACCCTGGGCGACGTGCGGTAAGCTAATTTTAGTTAAAAGTACTGTCATTCCTGAAAATATATCATATTGCAGTATACTCCATAATAAACTCGACGTAAACTGCTCAAACATTCGACAAAAACCTCATTTTCAGATAACGACTGGAATACAGTTGATTGTGTACTTGTTGGAGAATCTAATATTAATGAAAACATTTCATATGCAAACACGACAGCTAATGAACAAAACGTATCTCGTATAAACAAGGACCATTTGTCGACGTTGGAATTCTGGAAGTAATATTTTAAATAATGCTTTGTCCTTGTATTTCTATAGGAGATTTATTTTTTATTCAAAGGAATACTAATTATGTTTTAAAATTTTTGGATGATTTGTAAAGTGTGAAAAGGATTGTACTTTACATCTAATGAAATAACACCCAAACAAATATTTTTATTATTACAATTTGTTTTCGCCTAAATATTTTCTTATTTGTTTTGTTTTGCGTTAGCGGCTATGTTTTACGACGAAGCACTGGAATTGACGATTTGGGAAATTTTACTAATTGGCCTGTATTTGGATGCTTCATCGCAAGTTGGATCATATGTTATTTATGCATTGTAAGAGGAATACGTACATCGGGAAATGTAAGTCATTTTCACTTGTTTTTATTTCTTCAACTCTTTTCCAGTTTATTTCCGAATATTTAGGTATTTTACGATCGTAATGTACTATTAATTAATCTTACAGGTAGCATATTTCACTGTGCTGGCACCTTATGTTTTGATGATTGCACTTTTAATTAAAGGAGTTACATTAGAGGGTGCAAGTGATGGAATTTTATACTTTATTACGCCTGACGTGAGTCGACTCAAGGATTCCGAGGTATGGATAGATAAAATGTGTTTTAATTAAAAAAAATGTACTAAACGATTCTTTTTCTACCTATCCTGTAACTTTGTATGTGATTCCATATAATCGTACTGCAGTGTTATTCAACTAATGGTAAATGAAATGTTACATAATTAATATAAATCAGTTATTGAAGTCTGATCATGAATCACCAAGTGATATAACTTTTTAATCTCGGCAAGTGACAAAACCGAGATTAACTATCAAAATGGTGCCTTCAATTTCGGAACAAGGTTGTGGTCGTTTGACATAAATTATTGGCAACATAAATCGAATTACGATAAAACATTTAGCTTCTAGGCAAAGCAAAAAGTGCCGTTCTATTTGATGTTGTGGGGTTGGAAACGGTGAAAAAGTTTTCACATTTTCAAAAGCAAACTGAAGGTGTAAAGTAAACTATTATGCCACTGCATTTCCATAATATATTATGACAAACAGATCTTTATCACGTCAATATATTTGTCAGGTGTGGTTAGACGCCGCAAGTCAAGTAATTTTTTCCCTTGCTTTATGCTTTGGACCTCTGATTGGTTTTGGAAGTTACAACAAGCCAAACTTCGACTGTTACAGGTGAGTCAGCGTATTGTACTACATAATATATTAAATCAGACAAACTTAAAATTTCTCCTACCCCAAATCCCACCTTATACTCAACTTCCGTTTTTTTTTCGAATATAGAATACGCAGTATGAGTCCTATTTTTCAATATATAGCGCAAGATTATATCTGATTAATTACGAACAAACAAAAAGTTAGTTTAAACAGCCCATCACGATTTTCTCAGGTAAACGTGAACTCCGTTTTTCAAATTTTATGTTGTTTTACAGATGTGCGTATATATTTGTTGGGGCTTGTTGTGCAAGTTCTTTGGCATTTGGTTTCACAGTATTCAGCTTTCTTGGACATATGGCAACCATCTTAAGCTTGGATATTAAAGATGTGGTTGAAGGAGGTAAGTTGAATAGAACTTTGTAAATCTTCTAGTTGTAAATATTACAAGTCCAAGATTGTGAACTATATGAATTCATCAACTTTCTTCTTACTTTGTTCGGAATATTTGCAAAAATTCCTGGACGACTTTAATTTGCATTTAGGATTTTTGATTGACACGTACAATTTTCAACATCGTATCTATAGTATACTACAAATGCTAAAACCTCAAAATCATTATTGATCACTTTGAATTGTAATCTCTGGTATCAAATAAACAGCACTTACCGTACCTAGTCGACAGTGCCTCAGCGGTATTGAAAAACTGCAAGCACGAGCAATATCAAAACAAAAGACGGCCGTCACGCTTGGCGGAGTGGAAACCGTGTCCCTGTGAATCAAAAAACAGCGGAATTTTAGGTGAAATATCAAATCTCATAGGATTGATAGGAAATATAGGTACAATTACAAATATAAGTAATAGCCTTCTAGCGACTACAATAACCACTGAAAATTGTTAACCAATTGCTCGCAGATGGTCGTGTCGCAGATGATCAGTAGATTTAAATTTACGCGAATGTGGAACCGCCACAAGGAACGTAATCTTTAATTATGATGACGTCAGCGCACACAAAAAGCGCATATCATAGAAGCCACAGATATGTTTGAAATAAATAAAAGTACTAGCCTTCTAGCGAAAAAAAAACTTAACCACAGAAAATTTCTGAGCAATTGATCCAATAGTTCACTACGAGTAGAAGAAAGATATACGAGCATGATTATCAACAACAGCAAAATAACAATACGATCCATATGTCCACCTCGTGGTTACTTTTTTTTGTGAAAAAATATTGCTTTTCTCCTTAACTACAAGACCTAAATGCTTTGAAATTTTCAGTGATTAAATATTGTTGTTGACGATAGAATACTATTACTGCGAAATTTCCCATGATGCCTATGAGATCTGGTATTTCATTTAAAATTTTGCTGTATTAATTTTTATTTATGGAAACAAGGTTTTTAATCCACCAAGTGTGACGGGCTGACGGCTGCCTTCCGTTTTGATTTTGTGAACTCGTGTAACACGAAAGTCCAAAGTTTTACAATACCATTGACGCTCTGTAGACTATAGGTATAGTAAGTTACTGTACAAAGCCACATACTGTAAAGGATTCGATACTACAGTTGGGAATCGAATCATATGGCTTTATAAATCAAGTTGGCACAAGACGTATTAATCATCATTATCACAGGACCTGGTAGAGCTAGGGCAGCTCGGGTACCGCTACTGGTAAGTTACGATGGTCCAAAGTTTGAGCGTCGTTCAGGATATTGGAGAGAATGTTTGGGTAAAATATTTCGTTTTGGTATACGTGTTCATTTATTTGAGCATTGCTCTCTTGTTTGACCACTAGACGTTGCCTAAACACATAATGCTGTATAAAATAGTGGAATGATTACATTTCGATATACAGGTCCTGGATTAGTATTTGAAGTATTGCCTACAGAGTTCGCGTTGTTGCCGTTTGGTCAAATTTGGTCTGCGATATTCTTTCTTGCATTACTTGGACTCGCTATTGATGGATCGGTGAGTAGAACGAAAGAATTTGAGTTACACTCATTTATGAATGAATTGAATTGATTCGCTTTATCGAATTATGTGCTTCAGTGGATAACATTGTTCGAAATTACTCAAAGACAAAGTTGATAAAGTTACAAGTAATTAATATTTTTGATGACGTCATGACACAGAACTTCAAACTGAAAAAATGAATCCAATAAAGCCAACAAAAATTCAAGTAATAGCCTTCTAGCGACAACAACAATCTTCAACAACTCAAAATTCAAAGCAATTGGTCTGATAGTTTGAGAGGAAAACGTTTTTTTTTCACAACAGCTACTGTAAGGAAAAACAACAACAACACAATAACAAAGCGATCCATAGATCCACTGTGTTTCCAATAACTCAATATTTCTATTTTAAATTAGTACGCGACAATAGAAGGATGTACTACAGCACTGGCGGACTACCTTCCGGAATATTTTGAAGGCAAACGTTCTCATTATTGGAGAGCTGTATTTTGTTTTGTGCTCATGCTTGTTGGACTTCTTCAATTATTTGACGTAAGTCTTTTTTTGTTGTACACTATTTATCTGCATGTACTGTATGTTTTTATAAGTTGGTTATTGTAAAACGTTGCATAAAAATTTCTTTGTCCCTATAATTGTATAAAAAAAAAACATAATTTTTTGAAAATTTTAAAAAGAATAAAAAAGTTATAATTTATTTGGCACGCAGGTTTATGTATTCTATACTGGTTTTCTTTACACAGAGGTTATCGCGGACTAAGAATTTGCAGTTACTATTCTGAGTATTTGTAGCTGTATATAATTACAAAAAAAAAACTACTAGCTTGCTGAAACAATGACTTGTAATGCATGTTGGCCCTGACAGAAGAGCTGTGAAGCTCAACATCAACAATTTGTGTTCCATTGACGAACACTTGAATGAAGACTGGAAATTAAATGAGTTGACTTTGCTAAAATCGATCTTTTGGTTGCTGTTCTTGTTGAAATTCTCATTGTTGTTGTTTTTGTGTGGGTTGTGAAAAATCGCCTTTCTTCTCAACTAAAAGACCAATGAATTTCAAATAAATTTGCAGTCCATGAAAAAGAATGAAGTCGTTTGAAGGCTGTGTATTTTTAATTTTTTAGATCTGCCTTGATTCATCAAATGTCCGATATTTCAAATCAATTTTTGCTTTTTCCATGATTCTCGGGAACACATTTGTACTAATACTTGCGCTTTCAATTTCACAGGGTGGGATTTATATTTTTGAACTAATAAATCGTTATGGTGCCAGTGGAATTTGCATCTTATGGGTTGCAATTTTTGAAGCGATCACAATTGGCTGGATTTATGGAATAGATCGTTTTTTTGATGACGTCACTAAGATGATTGGATATCGTCCACCAATATTTATCAGGCATTGCATAAAATACGTTACTCCGACTTTTTGTATGGTAAGTACACATTGCAGTTGGTTGTTGCCAAATTATTTCTACGAAACAATTTTTCATTTACTTCCTGGAAAATGTGTTGACGCAAAAGTTCCCTAACACTCTAAAGCTGAAAAGTATAGCAGGGAGAATCATAAATATCAACACAACACAAAAAATATACAATTACACACTGCTACTCGTTATATAGATTGTGAGACTGATCTGCAAATGCTAAATACGACGGATGAGTTTTAACATCGAAATGCACTTGTTTACAGGCTATTTTCATTGCCAGCTGTGTAAAGTACTCTCCACTGAAAATGGGAAACTACATCTATCCATGGTGGGCTGATATGATAGGTTGGTTACTGTCGGCATCTGTGGTTTCTTGCGTACCGATAATTGCAATCAAAGTCTTGTTCTCTTCTGAAGGAACTTTGAGACAGGTATTGAATAAATAAATATTGTTACATTTTCGTTAAAAATATGGGCGTTATATATTTTTCCGATAGTAAAACAACTTAGAACGCGCTATTTATTATTTTAATAACCATTTTGATTATCAATTGGTCATCATCTGATTTTGTTATATCTTGTATGTTTATTTTCTAGAAATGGAAATCTTGCATCACTCCTATCCGAATGCAAGGCGTGGAAGATGACTGCGATGAAAAGCAGGACACAGCAACAATTGCATGACAGATACAAATTGAAAGCAAACGATGGATATCTGACAGAAAAAAGCATAACACAAAAAAATTAATGTGAAACTAATTCTCATAATTAGTTTCACAAAACCTGCCTTTTTAAAATTTGACCTCTATACATAGCTGCAATAAAAACTATTCAAAAGAGCAATTTTACCCAGGCCACACGTGCAATGTAAATCTACACCTGAATATATGGTCGCTAAAAAGAACAATTGACGTAAGACAGGAGAATATCCACGTTTTGTGTGTACCTTGAAATGTTTTTAAAACTATGATATAGGTCTTCTCTAAACTTTAAATCTAAATGCCTCGCTGGCATAAACCGACAATACATGATAAAGGCGAAATATTCTCTATTGGCAATGTAAAATTTAATTATTGAAAAAATCAGAATATTCAAATAGCATAAATATTGTGACAGTATCTATACTGAGGTATGTTACAGCCGTCGTTCACGCTTCATATATATAATTGGCTTCATTTTTTCTAAAGCAAATGGGTGAAATAGACGTAGAAACCAATGGTCAGACCTTCCGTAGGTGATTTAGTTGAACCCCTATAATTAACAATGATGTAATTCACATCGCGCTGCAACAGAATTTTGGTTTATTTAACAAAACTATTTAAATTGAAGCATTATAGACGAGTTTCTTCGAATTCGAAAGAATCTGTCATTCTTTTCTTCCGTTGTAAATAAGCAGCCACGTCTGTTGTAAGAATGAAAAAAATCACTGAAATAAAAACTATAGGCAACGCGCCTACACCTATAGACTAAGCATGATACATTAAAATAAACTTCACGTTGTGTGGTACAAATTTACAATCTACATTTTCAATTATTTTTACTCATGCTTCTCAATATGTACGAAATGAAACAATGATGATTCACCATTAGATTGTTACTGAGTAACACAGCTCATATAAATTTTTGCTCGTACACGTTTCCTAATTTACTATCAATTTCATGAAACAAAGTCTTCATTTTTATATTTATCAGGCAATGATATTGTACAGATCACTTTTTTTGATGCCATGTTAAACTAATAATAATCGATTGTTATTTGTATTTTCCTGATCTGTGCTATAGTTTTTTCACAAAGTATAGAACAAAAATGAACTCAAAACTTAATCACCAAAAAGCATATTTAATCGCAAAATGCCTTAACGAAAAATAGTGGAAAATAAAATAATTATTTGGCATCACTCCAAAATACTACTTACCGTATCCGAACATGCCCAATATCAGCATTCCAATTTGGACATATATTTTAATGTACACACACAGACTGGTACTCCAACCGAATTGAGTTGCAAATCCGGCTGTAATCCAAAACGCCCAAGTGGTGATTGCAACATCATGACTGCCTTCGAAATATTCAATGTACAGGACTAACATGAACATAAATGAAAAGATGATTCCAATTAAAAAGATACTTTGCAACCTTTCTGAATTTTGTGCAGCTGATAAGGATTGTTATTTGTTATTAATGTATATTACTATACGCTATATAAGATATATGTCAATGTTTCAATGTGAATACCTACTGGACATAAAACCAACGTTCGACTGACACTTTACAATAACAATGACTAAGAATTGCAAAGAATCATAATGCGATTCTGCAAAATTGCACACGAATTGAAACTTTTTTACACTGTCAAAAATCCGAAAACATACCGTTTAACAAAGTTTGCCATATTCCATCTGATACTCCAAACGCAAAATAGATTAAGAATATTGACCATGCCGATTCGAGATTTGGGTCCCACAGCAGACAATATGAATAGCTGCAAAGATCAACAACCATTGAAAGTATAAAAAACGGAGTTCGACCAAGTTTTTGACCATATTTCCCAACAATGTAAGATAAAACTGCATCAGAAAATCCAAAGGTCGCCATATGTATCCCAACCTGAACACAGATACTCAAATATATGAGAACATGTATGCCTATTAATTGGAATGAAAGTAAAGAAATATTTGAAAATATCAATAAAGCGATTATCAATATAACTTGAGCAGAATAAAACCAAACCGTATTGAAATCTATATGCCGCATTTGTGACAAAACCCGTGGCAAAAACATGATTCATAGCTTAAATTCAAAAATTGAGACCACATAGTGAGGGCAAAAAGAACCCAAAACAGTCGCTGGAGTATAATAGATTTTTAACGTAATGTCAACATATTTGCTAGATTTCTAGAACGAGTTTTGTACTAACCATCTCAACTCCTACAACGCAAGAAGAAAAGGCTCTAGTTAACTCAGAAAAGATAAATCCTTGCGTTAATCCAAGGTAAAAAGTAATTGGAATCAGAAGAAGTTGTGAAGTTTTCAGCATTTGTTTTCCTAGGTCTTTCAAAGCTTCAATATATGCACCATCGGATCGTGAATCAGTTTCGTAAACCTGAAACAAAAAAAATAGAGAGGTATTATCATAACAGGTCCATTGACTTAATAGAATAACGTATGTCTCACAGCAGATGAGGAATCTTGGTTCATTGAAATTTTCACCGTACTGCTCTTTTTGATTGTTTCTTTGATTGTGATTTCTGAATCATTTTCAAGTTGAACGGTCATGTCGCAAACGTTTTGTTGAATTTCAGTATTTCTCGAGTCAGATTGATTGACATCTTCATGATTATTATGGTTTTCAATTTCAAATCCTTGGTTCACTTGAGGATTTATCGTCTTTGATAATTCTGCATCGTAAGTCTCGCTCACGAAAGAAATTGTAACATCATTCGGTACAAAGTAATAATGACTAAATATAGACATAAGACACATGAAAGTTAGAATGCTTATAAGAATGATTAAAGTTTTATCATTTGTTGGAACATATTGGTTCAAAGATCCGTCGACAAGTGTAATATCTTGACAATCATGAGATCCACAATACTCGAGGTTGTTGAAATCAGATATCGTCGTTTCCATAAGCACAGTTGTGAAATTGTGTCCGTTTTCATATGTATCGCTTGGAAGAGGGTCATTGAAAGCGTACAAAACGGCGTAAGCAACTAAGTTCCCAAATATCTGAAAATATATTGTAACATTAGAACTTAGAACCTATTTGCAAAACATCGTAAAAAATGATAACATACTTGACAACATTGTAGGCAAGTGAAAAAATATCCCGAATACAGATTGACGTAAAAATCGTTTCCTTTCGATTCGTGATTTCTTTCAGTAGCAAATTTAGTGGCGAAATAGAAATTGATAATAGTCATACATGGCCAAATTGTACCTTCCCCAGCTCCAACTAATATAGCTGCTGGAATTAATGTATAGAATTCTGAATTGAAAAAACAAAATATTTCATTAATGAACAATTTGAATTGAAATAAAAAAAGAACTTTTCATATGAAATGGTAGGATGGTAGAGAACCAATATACTTGAAATATGATAAAAGTAAATAAAGATGACCGATATATGTACCAAGTCATAATCATACTATTTAGTTGTATGCAGGAAAAAAACTACTCCATTTGATTCATGGATGAGAAACCGGTGATGCGACAACCTTAAAAGATGGCATAAAGCCATATTTGACATGTGCTACAAAATTTACACTTATTTCAACGTACCTGGATATAAATTAGTAACGATGTATATCATATATGTGATTTCACTAGCTATTAGACATTTCTTTACTCCATATTTTCTTATGAGGATAGTCGTGAAGAAAACCAGAAAGAGATCGCATGCAATATATGATGCAGATATGGAAATGGTGCCTTTAACAAAAAAAGATCATGATTTAATTCTGCAATATCCCTTATAACGTGCAATATCGAGACCTCATAATTTTTAAATTTCATTGCGCAAAAATATGCAGTTTTATAAATAATAGCTTCTCTTTTCCCAACTGAAATATGATTGGTGAAGCCTTCACTAGAATGTTTGTTCTCTACCTAGTCATTCACTTTGTTGATTTCTAGTTGTCACGGTTAAAATTACGAATGACAGGTACAAGACATATTCAGTCCGTGCGTTACTCAGTTAATTTTAGCAACGGAAAAATCTTGACTCACCTAGACCGTCTTCTATGTTGATACTTGATTGCAAATTTAATATTGCACCATACGATGAAAATGTCAGAAACATTCCCAATAAATACCCGAAAAATTGATTCCGTATAGATCGCAATTTCGCCGTAGAGCTCTCATCTTTCATATTTTATTTTTCAATACTTATATTGATGAGCACATGCCTAATTCTGTCCCGATTGAACCATGAAATCAATCGCGAATCGCTACTGTTATAGACGCCAAAATACGACCCATCGCATCAGTGTTTACCGAAACACCATAATCGTAACGACGCTTATGTGCATGTCACTCTTGGCTGTTCAAATTGTAGTAAAATAGTTGGGATTCGTGGGTATCTAAAAATCGCTATAAGTTTAAGGCAATCTCAATTGGACGCTTTGACTGTCATAAAAAACTGCAGGCCTAATTAGCATTATTTGATATTTATTATCCTTAAGATTTGTATGAATTTGTATTTCCCCGAGAATCGGTTACCTAATTTATCTCCGTAAAGTTCAATCAACAGCTAATCAACAATATTTCAAAGGTGTTACTGCCTGGTTGATATTTTTCAGCATTTAGTTGTTTTTTAAAATTTAGGTATAATCCAAAAAACTACACTACACTATAGGGTCATATTATTAATATAACAATCATTTTTGAATGACAGTTGATTTATTATCATTTTGAATCAAATTATAGGTTTTAACCTTCTAGAGACAACATTAATCTTTAACCATTGAAAATGTCAAAGCAATAGGTTCATTTATTTAAGAGAAAAGCAAATTTTTTTCATAACAAAAAGAACATGATTTTAATCAAAAAACAACAACAACAACATAATGCCAAAACCATCCGTATGTTCATTTCGTGTCCAATAACGCCTTTAAATAGTCTAAACCCAAAGTATTTTCGCTAATGTAATAAACTTTAAACCTAAAGTAATCTCAATTCCACCAAATCAAATAAACGTAGACATAATTCGGTCATACAAATAGAACTTTAGTTAATGATTACCTATGCTTTGTCACTGGTGAATGGCAACGTATGGTGCAGCAATAATTTTGCAGATTCCAAAAATCATAATTGCGCGCGTGACGCTCGCAATTACATAAAAAAAATCGGGCGAAGCTTACTAAGTTAAACAATATAAATAATATGTCTTTGAGAAACTAATGTTAAAATTTTATATCTGTAAAATGCACCGGGATTGAAACAAGAACTCTATTGAAGCTTTGCGTCAGAAAGTTCAAATATTTTTGAATGTATTAGGGTAAGAATATCGATATTGCCCAATTGTTTGATCGATAAGGAACGTACAGTTATGATTTCTACAAAGTTTTGAGCTTGATCAGAGCGCATAGTTTAGAAATAAGTTTACGTGAAACTTAATTTTCAAAACTCTCATAACAAATAAAGAGTATCTGTCGCTTTATGTATCTTTACAATTTTTAAGTTAGAATTCTGAAGTGTCTGATTATTAGGCTACAGAAACCCATCCTAAAATTTTCATTGTGGATGTTTAGTTTTTTGCGGTATGTTCGAGTCCTAATCTCTGCATTGTACTATTTACTATAAAAAAAATTATGATTTAATTCATTGAATTCAAGCCGTCGCATTTAGAGTTCAAGAAAGGGAACTTTTCTGTATTTCGATGACGTTCAGAAAAAACGATTAGCTTTAAACGATCTCAAAATTTTACTCAGAAAATGTAAAAATCTTTAGCAAGAGTGTTCGAAATAGTGTTATGATGAAAACTGTGTCGTCTATGACAAATCAATAAAACATAAACGAAATGTAAATATAATTGAATATTTTTCATGAAACAATACTGTTAATTTAAGAAAGAGCTCGGTAGTGTCAAATGGAACGGCGTGCTTTAAAATTTAACATTTAGGTTCGCTCTTTGTGAAGAGACGTCATCTTTCAATTCATTTCAACCCCAAGTAACAATCTAGCGACCCTGTCGTCGTATATTGACAGGATGTGTAAAAAACTAATAGTTAGAAAATCTAAACCGTGGATTGTGACTGTTATTCACCAATAGCTTGATAACAGAACTCCTACAATGCGATACATCCTGATATTGGTACTCGTTGGACATGAAGTGGAGACATGTCTTGTTTTGTTAAATTGTTGAGGTTTGTCTTGTAGGTTGTAAATTCGCGCAATTTTGAATTTTTGTTACTTAAAGATGGATTAAACAATTCAAAGTCTATTACTTATTATTTTTTTACATTACATTTTTCCTAAGAGACCCGATAATTTGTCGTTTCTCGATTTCAATGTTTTATTTCTAATCTTGGGAGCGCTTTTCTAATATAAGAACACTTTGTTCTGTCACGATTGTCTTTTGGTCAAACTCATTGCTCAGCTATAGGCCTTACCGTACCGCTACCGACGCGCAACATTTGGTGGTCATGTATTTCAGCATTGTTCTCTTGTTCTCCTTATGTCGAAAAAATACAATTTACTCCTTTTGTCGAAATTTTATCGAGCGTGTGATACAGCAGAAGCCACGGACATATATATATAGAGAGAGAGAAATTTTGTTAATCGAGAAATAGAAAGTTTCAAGAAAAAACGAAATATCATAGTACATAAAATGTTGAATGCATTAAAAATATCACAATTAATTATAAATATATATGTAGTAATTATACATTTGCGATACATTATTACAATCGAGTTTCCTCTTCAGCAACCTCAGTCAATTTCTCATTTCGATGTAAATATTCAGCTACACCTGAAAAACACGTAATTCGACTAGCAAAATCTAATTCTTGGGTCATCGTTATATTTAGTGATATCTCTAGCGCAGGGATAAAATATATAGCTCTACCCCAGGGGTCGGGAACCTTTTTGGTCAAGAGAGCCATAAAGGTACATATTTTCACTTGCATTTCCGTGCGAGCCATACAGCTTTTTTTTCTTTAATCATGGCTCAAATTTTTACCTAAAACTCAACACATACAATGTCTCAATATACATTCAATGTGACTTCTGATGCTGCATATTGTCGCTGAGGGCTTTGAACGAATGCTCACATGCAACCAGGGTTGTCAGATCCCAGTAATAAAAAAAGCCAAATAGGAACGAAAAATAGCCAACAATTCTACTAAGTACAAAAGCTCCATGATTTGATGACCTTGGCACAAGAATTGGTTTGCAATATGCTGACGTAGAGCCATCAGTTCATTTAGTGAGCCACACAAATGTCTTTTTCCATTGAAATATATATTTCGGTTGCTATCATGGCGATTTCCACTCTAGTGGGAGGGTTTAGAAGTAAAAAGGATTAATTGAATGGCAGCATCAGAATCTACATTCGACATAGAACAGTTAAGCTAACAACATCTATATAAAAAAGTTGAAAAAAAATATATATAACTAAAAAGAAATATCAAGCGGACAGCATTATTCAACAATTCAATATATACATACGCTTCACTGCTTCAGTACTATATGATATACCTTAGCTTAAAATATTCTCCCTAAAATTTTCAAAACCATCATTTTTATTAAAAAAAAAATTATCTGACCATGTGCCGCTTACAGGGGGACTACTGATAGCTAATTTTAGCGTATAGTTAATCCCATCGTTCGTGAGACTAAATTTTGATTACTGCAACTAAACTAAAGCTCCTGGGAGGGCATAATGACAATTAAGTAATACAACTATTTTTTGGAAACAGAACTAAGAACTGACAAATAATACGCAAAACTAAAAATGAGGCAATGCTTACAATTCTGCTTGAACATCTGTGCCCACTAAAACTTGATATTGCTGCGACATTGGCGCACATTATGCTCATTTAAACCTTAAAGCAGTATTGTGGCTAATGAAAATAAATGAATAAAAACACTTTAACGCAAATATAACACTCAATTTTGACGTGGTGTGTGTGTTTCTTGCGTGGTCGTCAAAAAACCGCAAGTATGTTGTATAATGATTGATTCATTGATTCGGTCGCCCGCGAGTGTTATGTCCACGTCCCGTTTACCAGATATTCGAATGGTAAACTGCTATTCTAATATTCGACTTGATATTCGAATAATTTGCCAGTCCTACCCAGTAACCAGAAATAATAATTTGATTGATTTTATGTTAATAAACTCGCCTTTTATGTATTATGTAATTACCTACACCGAAATTAGGACTTATCTGGTATTAATGTTTGGTACAAACGTTTGCGGCCCGCGACCGATTTCGTGACGTGAAAATGGCCCGCGAGACGAAAAAGGTTGGGCAGGCCTGCACTAGTGAGATTAGCCTTAGATTTTTCTGGGAGCCATATGCCGTCACTAAAAGAGCCATATATGGCTCGCGATCTATGGGTTCCCGACCCTTGCTCTACCCGCTACGATGGTCGCTGGCAGCTCTTATATCAGTTTTAGTTTAGTTTGATGAAGTTTAAAAAAGTGTAAATTTTGAGTCAACAGTGTCATGGAGAAAATCTGAAAACTGATATATCACGTTTTCGTGCTAAAATATGCTATTGAGAAGTTTTTAATGTCGTATATTAGAAATTTGAATATATTTATTTAAGAAATCATTCAAAAATGTTTAACGCTTAACAAGTTGAATTTACAACTCAGGTGAAATATGATGACAAACAAAACGTAAAAACATTTCAACAAAAAAGCATCATGTTATCAAAACACAGATTTCTCCTATCTTTGTTGAAACTTACCGTAGCAAATCATTCCTACGATGAGCGTTCCAACCTGGATATAAATCTTTACGTTTACACAGAGCTTCGTACTCCACCCAAATTGTAAAGCATAGCCCAAGGTTGACCATAAAACCCAGCTTGTGACTGCAACATCGTGACTTCCTTCGAAATATTCAAGGTACAGTACTGAAACACAACAAAAAAAATTCAAAAGTAAAGTATCATATATTTTCACTACTCTCAGAAAAACAACCGACATCAAATCATGTATTATTTCTCTTGTATACATTTAAGAAATATTCAAATTCACTTGAATTCGAATTATTCGTCCTACCCTTATATTATTGTTACGTCGTAAAGACCATAAAATAAACTAAAAATGATTTCTCATTTTCCTTAACAATCAGAGCTTATTGAATTACAAATGGTTGTGATATGAAGGCATTTAATGGTATATAAATATCTATAACACAATCCAGCTGTAACTGGATAGAAAAAATTGAATATTTTTTCTCAAATAAGTAAGTAAAACGTTATTGATTCAGAAGCGTATGCCTTTTATTTTGCTCATTGAAATACGAGCAACATCCTTAAGCACTCTTCGAAAGTGAGTTTCGGAAAATGGCGAGGCGATATACAAATTAATTTGATAAATGAAGTTAACTGTATCCTCAATTAAATAATTTTACACATATATAAGGTTATCTCGTACTATATACCATTTGTCAATGTTTGCCATATTCCATCCGTTACTCCGAAAGCAAAATATATTATGAAGATTGACCATGCTGATTCGAGATTTGGGTCCCACCAAAGACAATATGCATAACTTCCAAAGTCAACAACCATTGAAAAAACAAAAAATGGAATTCGTCCAATTTTTTTCCCGACTTTCCCAACAACGTAAGATAAAACGGCATCAGAAAACCCATAAGTTGCCATATGTATTCCTACCTGTGAAAAATAGTGTCAAGTTATGAAAGGAAAATGATGTACTTGCTTATCGTAAAGAACTATATACAAACGTACCATTTCTACACCAACAACGCACGAAGAAAATGCCCTCGTTAGCTCTGAGAAAACGAATGCCTCCAACAGACCCAAGTACAATGTTATGGGTATCAATAACAACTGCGTGGTTTTTACCGTGTGTTTTCCCAACTCCTTCAAAGACTTCAAATAACCTCCTCCAAATGTTTCGTCTGCTTCCTAAATGAAGAGACAATATTTTGTCTATTAAAATTGCTTGAAACGAGCGAGTACATAATGCTGAAGTAAAAAACTTGACTATATATATACTTCAACAAGAAATACAACAGCAATATTTTGACCAGGCCGCCATACATAGGAGAAGTTGGTGACTGGAAAATAGGAACACGTAAATTTCGTACAGATTTGTATTCTATGTAGGAAATCTCGATAAAATTAATAAAAACCTCTAGAAAAAGCTTTTCAGCAACTGAAAATTGATAAAAATGGAATTTAGAAAAAATTCTCTTTTTTGATCAATTTTATTCTTTTTAGTCGCTAAAAAATTAATAAAAATGGGGTTGTATTCATTTCTTCAAGTTCTTACATGAATACAAAAAGCACAACTTTGGAATATCAAAAATACTAAGAGTAACGCCAGACTACGTTATAATGTGAGTTCCACGCTTTTTTATGACAAAAAAAACACGATTAACAAAACCAAAAATTGAAAAAAATTAAGGTGGTTTTCACAATTTACATGTCAGAAACTAACAGGAAATTTAGATTATATAACAGTGGCATGAGCTTGAATAATTTCTTGAATTATGGGTCAATCAAAACTCACATAGCGTGCCGGATTTAGATTTTCCGATGAATGAATCTTATCATAGAAGACCTCTGAGAATATTTCTTCCTTGTTTATACTTTTAAAACTAGAATTCGAGTTTGATTTGGTGACACTGGTACATTTTTTATTATCACCAATATCCACATCATCTTTCTTTCGTTGACTTGAGTCGTTGAGTATTTCGTCCGCCTGTACTTCGAAGGCCAAATTTACATAATTTTCACTAGTTTCGGATTTAGCTTTATCTATAACTTCGCTTATAACTACAACAGTAACATCTTCAGATATAAAATACCAGTGGCAAATCATAGATGTGAAGCACATAAATGTTAAAATGGATATGAGTATAATCAAAGAAACGTTATTCGTTGGAATGTATTGATTCAAAGACTCATCGACCGCCGTGCTATCCTGGCAATCATTAGATCCACAGAACATCATTTTGTCAGAATCCGAGTACGATTGAGTAGTTGTGAAATTTTCAGTGTTTTGTGTGTCGTTTGACTCAGAATCAACGAATGCGTAGAGCACTGCATACACGATGAGGTTGCCAAATATCTAAAAATTGGAAAAAAGTACTTTTTGTCGTAATGTGATAATTGTATTTCCATCTCACTTGAAACTAGTTACCTGGCAAAACTGAATACAGGTGAAAAAATATCCCGAGTAAAGATTGACAAAGTAATCGTTTTCTTTATTTTTGTGTTTTTTCAGAGTCGCATATTTTGTGGCAAAATAGAAATTGATCAAAGTCATTGATGACCATATCGTTGCTTCGCCAGCTCCAACTAGAATCGCTGCTGGTATCAGGGTGTAAAATTCTTGAAATATGAATAAAAAAAATTTCAAAATACCATAAAGTTTATCCGGTCTATCAAAAAAAAATCTTGTTAATATCTATCCATTCTGATTTTTGACATAATTGTATTTGTATGCCCTTCAAACATCAGGTTGCGAAGTACATATCCTATTTTTAGTCAAACGTGAAGGCGCCTAAACAACTCTTTGTTTTCGAATATTGCTGCGTGCAGTGAGAACTAGCGTAATAAAAAAATGAATCACTTTTGCACCGCCTTCCATAATACCACACTAATGGACCCAAAAAGTCGACAGCAAAAGTCGGAGTAAAAATAGAAGCACAATAAAAGGATTAGAATCAAATTGCTCAGAGTCGTCGTGATTAATGCCAACCACAAGAGATTTCAGATAAAGATTTATAAATGCAATTACATAATACGCTTACCGGGATAGAGATTAGCAAGAATGTAAATTATGTAGGTAACTTCACTTGCTATCAAACATTTCTTCGCTCCAAATTTTCTCAAAAGTATTGTGGTGAAAAATACAAGAAATATATTGCAGGATATGTATGACGTAGACAAAGAAATCGTGCCTGAAATACCGTTATTAACTATGTTTAATAAACAGTTGGTTACCTAATTGATCTATTGCAGCGTTAGATCCGTTGTATGCTTGTTAAATACAAAATATTGATTATGAAAATTACTCTAGAACTTTATTTTGTATGAAAATAAACTTTAGAAGTGTTTTCGTTAGGGTATGCTCCGATTACAAAATGTTATTTCTTTACAAATAAAAACGACGCAGGCAAAAAGTGAACGCATGTTCAATTGGTTATGTTGAAAAGTTCAATTACGTTGAATAAAAATTGAGGATTCAGTGCTATTTGACGATGAAATAATGAAATATTACCTAAAAAAATTTGGTTAGTGAATATCGTGTGATAAAGTATTGAACGATTAAAAAGAACGATTGAAAAACGTTAAACTCACAAAGGTGTTTCATTTGCGCGACTATCAATTACTTTTAATGAATCTGACAAATGGAACAGTTTATAGCAGGGGTGGGCAAACCCCGGCCCACTGGTCAAATCAGGCACGTTGGGTAATTCAATCTGGCCCGCCTGATGCTGCCACAACCAAACTAAAACCAAATTTTTCTATGTTTTAGCTAAAAAAGAGATCAAGAAATTTGTTAGGATTGCGATTACATTTAGTTTTGGCACGAATCTTATTGTTTTCCACTTTGCTTTTGAAACACTGTATAAACATTGTTCATAAAATGTAACTTTTACGTCACCCTTACATGGCCCGCCAGTCTAGGTGGGCAAAATTGTTGGCCCTGGTCTAAAAACCTTTCCCACCCTTGGTGTATAGGGTATTGAAACAAAATGTGTCGATTTGTGGAATATACAAAAGGAGGCGGATGCGAATTGTGTGTAAAATATATTTGCGCTGTCAATATGTCGACAAGGATAATTTTCAAACTGATATTAGTTTGTTTTTTTGTATAGTGCACTCTGTTACACCGTGACACCACCCGTGGAAATGAAGCGTCCAATATCAAAATCTAATCAACAAAGTCCGCCTTGAATATCCTCCTTTTTATTATCTGTTTTTTCTTTTGAATTTATGTCATATTATGCAAAATAGTAGAAATGTAACGGTTTGCAGTAATAGTAATGAATCATTTTAGGCAGGGCTCCGCCGTTGGACATATTTGCATTTTCAGGCATACAGGATACAAAACTACTTCAACATTATTGGGAACTGACATGGAATATCGCTTTTTTATAAACGATTTAGCTAATTATTTCCAAATTAGACAATGTTAGTAAATAGGATTATATTGATCTCACCTAATCCATCTTCTATATTAATACTCGACTGTAGATTCAATATTGCACTGTATGATGAATATCTCAAAAACACTCCAAGTAAATATCCTAAGAAATGATTACGTACGACTGATGTTCTAGCTTCAGTTTCCTTTCTTTCCATTCTAATATTTTCTTCACTTCGCGTGATGCAAAATAGCAACTTTGTACAGCCAGCTTTACGAGCACACCTCACTGTTTACTGTGTCGCGACAATTACCTGTCACCGCACGAGATTAAACATTGTCTGACCTGAATGTATTTTGACCGATTATCGCATATAACCTAATAGACTAAATGCAGGGTCAAATTTATTGCTATACATAATGAAACAGTTTGTGGATTGATTGATATAGAATTTATTGAAGCCGACGGTCTAGTCGGCTACTGCAAATTCGATAACATCGTACAAGTCATGGTCTGCATATTTGTAGATTTCTGTAAATTGGACTGTTTTACATCCGTTTTGTGTTTCTGCAATATTTTATTCGTTGTTGCTTTTCCCTCTGTCGCAGTTGCCTCTGTCGCATCAAATGACCAGTCTAGCACAGTGGTTCTCAACTTATTTTTAGTTCGAGGACCGATAAAATTTCAAAACAAATTTTGCGGACCGGCGGAACTTCAAAATTAACCAAAAATGTCATGAACACAAAACATAATCAAAAGAATGCAATTGTGACAAAAGTAGGCGGTGTTAAAAAGGACAATTCAATTTAATGAGAAACTTGCTGCTGTCTTTTTGATATTATACGCGTTAAACGCGGTTCTAATTAAGTTTCTACAAGGCGAAGTAAAGCGTTGACTTCCACAAAAATTTAGGCGCATACTAGGCACATGAGAAGCGCCACTTTTTTGCTGTTGGGAGCAATAGTGAAACCTAGCTCCAAATACTTCTTATCATACTGCCTAATAAAGTCTCCCTTTCGTTTTTTGCTTGTTTCTGCGTGATCCATATCAACATTGCTGCAAGGTCGTTTCGAGGCAATTGTGAAGTTGAAGTAGCAGTCTCTTCATTTGTCCTGTCAATACCACTAACTTGGTTTCGCAGCGTTTCTTTCGAAAGAACTGGATAATCATTTGCTGTTTGTTTTCCTCAATCTTACTATACAACCTCGCTAATTTATAATCCTAGTGTCAAATTACGGAACGTGCGAACTGTTGAAGTTGTCAATCGGGTATCCCACGCGCAAAAAGAAAAGTGATGTAAACAAAACAATTTTAACATTAGCTTTTATGCGGAATGTGATCACCAGACCAGAAATTTGCATTTTTTGTAATTTTCCAGATATCTTTCATTGTAGACGTGGGCAGTTTTGAGGATAGAACAATTTTTACATCTTATATGATATTTTTATCATGATAAACATGGTCAAGATTTTTGATAATCGTTCATTAAAATTTTAATGAGCGCAGTGTTCCCGTTGACGTCATTCTCACTATACCGTGAGATTCTGCCAACGCGCCATGCTCTGTGGGATATGCCGCATATGCGCTGCAAATGCAGCGCTAATGTCGCTTTAGGTACGGTACCGGTACTGGAAGCGTTTAACATTGACAATCTTTAACCCACTCAAGGCTGCAAGAGGTGAAAACTATATATATTATTTAGTAAAAAAGATGAATATCTCCAACTTATAACGGTACACTACCGGCCTCCTAACCTGGTTAAAAAAACATGACTTTATACGGGAGAGAGATTTATTTCGTCAACCAGAATACAAGCATTGAATCAATAAAAATTATATACAAAGCACACAGTTATTCGGTATAGACTGGGAGCGATACGACCATCACAGTCAGCCTTATCTAGAATTAAAAAATAAATCGGTGATTGAACAACCATTTTGATTTATAAGTTTACGGCAGACAATACTCCCCACTATAGTTACACTTGAATTACTCATTGTTTTTGAGATGTGTTTAGCAGCTGATTCATTTCAGCATTTTAACCCATTTTCCCTAAATGTGTGATAATTATGATAAAAATACATTCGGTTATTATCGATTGTTTGAGCAAAAATTCATTTCATCTTAAAAGTGTTTTAAGATATTAGGAGGAAATAAAAATCTACCACGATGAGTTAATTCATACTTTAGAAAGAATACCTAAGTCCATAATATGCACCATTTCTTACGGCGATGAACGAGATCCGTCAAAGATTTTAGGCTAGAGCGAAATGTTAACAGGAAAACATGTTTCTGCCTGGGCCCAAACCCCTTTGCGGGTACCGTTTGCAAACGCGATGACCACTCCACTACACTATGGAAAGACATCAGGGTCGGTTTTAAGCCGATTCGACAAACCACGGGTGTATCCGTTTCCCTATGTAAAAGTCAGCACGTTCGCCTGGCACGCAAACAATTATTGTTAAGTCTCCCAACAGTATTGTTCATTATAAAATGACCCACCGGAGTATACGTTTCTGTAGTGTAAAGGTCATCACGTTCGCTTTACGCGCGAATGGTCCGCATCGTTTTAAAATTAGTATTTATCTAGATTCTAGATAGTGTTAGGAATGATTTGAAAATTCTAGCGAAATCTTCTTTTTTAATTTTGAGTGGTAGCGAGGGTGATTATTTTTTGCCCTAAATTCCAAAATTTTGAAACGAACGATTTCATGGCATTTAAAGTAAGACACAAAGTGGAAAGGACGTCTCTTTCAACACTATTTTGCTCTATTCTAGATCTATTCACTGATAATTGGCCGTTTTGGGGCTCACTATCAATTCATTCTCCAAATTAATCATCCGATTTGGCAAAAATGCGCAATTGTATAGCCTGAGGAACTACGCGGTGAAGTAAGTCTAAAAAAGGGATTTTAACGTAACGTTAGATCTCAGTGGCTGCTTATATCTTGCCTTTTTCGTAGCGAAATCGGGCAAATAAGCATCCGTTATACGTCATATCAAACAAAATTCGGTTGCCAAATTTTGCGCTGGCTACGCTCTTACCGATTCAAATAAAGAAGTCGATTTTTACGGAAAACATCAAATTTTTCGATACTTGGAAGTATAAGATTGGATTTCAAATTTGAGAATATAAAAATGGAAAAAGTTCACACATTCATTTCTTTAGAAACTAAGCATAAAGTACAGTAAGGCTATAATGTTTTGTACAAAGCTTCTACTCACGCTTAAAATGAGAAAGAAAATTAGTAAGTATCCAGTTAGAAATGCATTTTGCGCCGAACATTACAATTACGATTTAAAACATGGCAGGATTGTTTCTATCAAATCTTACATTTTGTGTATTAGTGGCGGAGGTTTTGTACAAAAGATTCAATGAGAGTTCCCATAAGATTTGAAAGCAGGATCATGAATATTTTGCTAGCTTCGTAAAGTGAGATTTCTTTTGAACCACGTTGGTAGAGAAATATATCAGTATTTATATTCGACATATAAATGCGAAATGTATATTTTATTCCAGGCGGAGAAATTGTTTGCAATCCAATCGATGAGGAATTGATTAATCTGACGGGCACAGCCACAGGGCAAACCAGCCTTCTCTTCATTTCACTTATTTTTATATCCTGGTGCTGACACTCTGTCTGGTTTCTGCCACTGACCCCGACTGCTGTTATAATTACCTGGTATCCGACTTACTTCATGTGTGTTGCCGGCGGTCTGATTTGTGCCACTGACTCCGTCCTACCAACAGTAACTGGCTTCTTGACTTCCTTATTGTGTTTTTGCCTACTTTGCTTACTGTCGCTGACCCGCTCCTTCCCACACTGAGTACATGACTGTTGCTTTGGCCACTATGTCTGCTCGCTGCAACTGACCTTGACCTGCTCCGCATTGTTTGCAACTTCTTTCGTGTGTTTCAGTCACTATCTCTGCGTTCTGCCACTGACCTACCTACACTACCTGGATTTTAACTTCCTTCCTGTGTGATGGTCTCATGGCCATTCTGTCTGTTTTCTGCCGCTAACCCTATCCTTTTCACGCTAACACCTATCTGAGTACCACGCCCTCTTGCCAGGTTACCAGTCCTTGTGGGTTATGAGATTAGTAAATCGGTTATGCTGTCCAGTTGGTCTAGTTATCAAACATGGGGATCATTTATTGATGCAACCCAGTGGTTTTGAATTTTTTTCGTGAAACATAATCCCAGTGGAACATTAAAGAAGCCCGAGGAATCCAATAATGCGATAGTTTAGTTGTTTGAATAGTAGGCTACATATAACGAATCTAACACTGGAGGCACAAAATTATTTTTTATGCAAGTGTCGCAAGTTTTATAATAGTGACGAATCCAAAAGGATTACGAGTTGAGTTGCGCGTGACTAACTTACTATACGTCCAACATGTGGTCGACTAGGTTAAGTATATCATGTATTTTTATAGTCTTTCTTGGCAGTTTAGTGTGGTGGCCTGTAACTTTGCTCAGATATTGGTCTCTTTATTTCTGAGCGAGTGCGCGTGGTGTTACCAAATTAGGCTTTTTCAGCTCATTCTCTCATTGGACACTGAATGTAGAAAATGGATCTTTTATAAGTCAGTGTATTAAATATACATTATCCAACTGGAAATCCAGAGTCTGGACCTCAATTGCGCTTATATGAAGATCCTACCCTAAGCTGAACTCATAAAGGCACAAGTAAGCATTTCTTACTGCTTCAAGTTGGAATGGGCCGGAATGGATTCTCTTCCTTAGCTTGGAAAGTTTAGAGAGAGCCTTCAAATGATCAATGAAATTGTGCATGAATTAACAAAATCCGACAGTCGATGATATGGTTGACACGAATCATCCAACTGAGCCAAGTCGGGCCAATAAAATCTAGGCTAGCCCTACTCGCGGCTAAAGTTATGAAGTTGAGTCGTTGAGCCCTAGTTTTAAGCTGATGACTTTATGTAAATGTTTAATCCATGGCTGCAAAAATTATATACCATGAGATTTTTTTCGCCAGCAGTGGGAAAGCCTACAAGCAAGACATCTTTTTCATATGGCGTTCGCTTAGTGATAAATTGGTCGACATGTCAATCACGTCATCGTAAAGTTGTCGCTCAACTAACGACTGTTGAATATCGCGTCACCGTCTGCCTGTCTATGGCATTTTCGTTAACCGTCGGCCTAACTTAGTGATTGTCAGGTTCAATATCAAGTTTACAGCTTTTGGTTTTGCTGTAGGTGTAGGCAAACATGTAGGCCTGAAGGATAATGGCAAGAGGTCAAATTTCTTCCTCCACCTCTGCCTGGTTTTACTTTAAAATGCGGAAAAAAATACTCATGCTTGCTAAACTCAATTCTACAGATAAATAATAATAGATGTAGCAAATAAATAAAATAAAGTATTTCATTGTTACGCAACATTAAAGGCAAACACTACGTAATGAAAAGTAATTGACATAGAAATGTAAAATTAATTTATTGATTCATATACCCAGCATTTAAATTAAAAAAAAAACGAAAAAAATATTCAATTATATTTTAGGTATGTTTAACACAATTCTGGTAGTTTTAGCGGCGCATTTTTGGTGTTCCACGAGGCGACATAAAGTGCTCCGTGGCGAAAAAAGCTTGGTAAATGCTGGCTTGGGGTATGGGTGGTGGGAGGAAGCCGTCAGCAATCCTCTGGTACTAAATTATCCCCTACGGGATTCGAACCTGCAAATCCAAGCGGGGTAATCTTAGGATAGAAATCAAGCGTATTCCCAAGGCTTAGCACGATGCGCCACTCAACGCAAACGTAGTCAGCTGCAGAGCACTGGCCGACATAGATACCAAATACAATAAAATACGTTTCCCCCCTAACCCGGGTGATGAAATCTCAGAATTGTCCTTTACGGCCGTACATACCTGTATCATGATCGTTCTTTACCAAGAGGTCTAATCTATAGACACACTCAAAGTGCTTCACATGGACCTAGGGTCTGCACGATATATTCGTTTACTCAAAATGGAATTGATAAAATTTAAGAAGCAGCAAATACATCCGAGTTATCAAATAGAGTATTTTCAATTCACTCATTAATATTGATCGGTAAGTAACAATTTGATTTTGTTACGTTCTTATTGTGGGGCTACGTCAATAACACCTCTTCACGAGCTCCATAAGTTCATAACACCAAATATTTGAATGGTCTCGAATAGTTGATCTATATATTTTATCAGTTGTTGTCGTCGGTATGCTCTTGTCTTGAGCAGTCAATTATTTACTTCACATGGAATTTGATTATTGCTGTTGCTGATGTTATGTCTCTGCCGGTTGGTTTGGGCGAAGAAATTACTATACATGAGGCATCGAAACAACGTCACGTTATGACCTCCCTTTTAACGACATCGCCGGCACGTTATTGCGCAAGTCAATAAGCTAAGATTTGTACGCCAATGCAGAGAATGCATTGATATAACGCTAAACTTGTACACGCGTTATTCTTTCATTGAGTTGTAGGAAGGTTACATTTTTGATGGCATTCACGTGCGCGTTTACTCGACAAATATAAACAGACAAATATAATGGAATTGCTGGATTCTTTGAACTAATCTCCCGTCACTGATGCAAAAATGTGTGATGTGAGATAAACACCCCTGTCACGTTTTAAAATAAAAAATAGGTAGTTATGCAGTTTGGGTTTTGGGTTAAAACGATTTGAATTTGCGGCTGAATCTGCATCCCTCGCCTTAACTGAATAATTACTATTTCTATTTAATTTGAGCGCGGCGGGTTGTTGTTTTGGGACGGGACTTGGTACAAAAGATCCTGAGAATATTACTTTGAACTAGGTATTATACGATGTATGGAGCAAATCCCAACCGTCATTTGCATTCTGCGTCTTTGAGATCACGCGTTAGAAGCGTGATCAGCTCGTAACGACAACCTGGAGTAATTAAGGTAATCAGGTAAAAACATTTGATTACAAACAATCCGTTAGCTTTTTTCGTCAAATATTTTTGCGCGGGAAGCCACAAGCGACATCGCTTTTAGTCAGTCAGAAATGTTCGTGATAGGATGAGGTTTGATTTTCTGTAGGATGTATGGATAGGCTGACTATTGGGTTATGACAGTGAGTTCAAAACAATATTCAGGTGAGCTAAATGCTCTTTATACCTATTACTTTTATTGGTATTATATTGCTTTTATTTTACTATTGTATAGGTAGTAAATTAGAGGTTTTCGGGCCTATGCGAATTGGAATTATTAACCTAATACAGTAGTACAGATTGATGGATGATTCTCTTTTGTATCGGACTCACTAACAGCGGGTTCCATCGTTTCGTCACAAATAGGCCAAACTTTAAGGCTATATGGCAATAAATAAACTTATCATAATAAGAAATTTAAACGTAACACACTGATCTACGTAACTACATAAGCTGCATTCAACATGGTACGCTTTACATGAATGTAATGCATAACTTTCAAAACTTTCGCAAATGTAGCGCAAAATCCATGGTTTAATAGAGATTCGCCATAGCCTTTTCACTTTAATATATTATTGTGTATAGATTGGATCTTTGTACAAAGACCCTACCAACGTTCAAAATCAGAGAATTATATCATTAAATCATTTCTAACTCCAAATGGATAATTACAAATATGTCATTTTAAAACGTGGCGGGAGCTTTGCGCAAAAGATTCGATAGATTCAGTCCCACTGTCCATTGAATATGCTAGCTACAGTTCTGCGACAGTTTATACTTTTTTTCAGATTCAGAAATATTAAAAGTTAAAGATTCAATGATACAGAACGAAGAATATTACAAGTTAATATTGTTTGAACATTTTATTTGACTTTCGACGGCTATTGATTCCTGTATACCACTGTTTTCGTTTAAAATGCTATACAGTTCGATGCGAGCGCACCGCGTCTCAGTTCTTGCGATCAGAGTCACCATTGTTATGCCACTTTTTTGATCGTGTTTTTTTTTTCGAAACTGTAAGATTTATATTTTCACAAGTTTTAATAATTGTCTTTCGATTCAAAAGTCCAAAAAAGTAAGATCCACGTTCCCGTTCAAGATGCTAAATAGTTCGATGCGAGCCAACATTGTTATGCCGCTTATTTGAACCTGTGCATTCTATCGAAATTGTAAGATTTAGAAGTTTCAATAATTGTGTTTCGAAGCAGAAGTCCAAAAAAGTACTATAAATATAGTATCTTGTATCAAATTGGTGTACTCTTTGTGACCCCTAAAATTCGTTGCGCGGTTCCCTACTGGATAGCGATCCCCAGTTTGCAATCCCTACCGTGATTAATGTGATAATGCTACAAGTTACTGATCAGAGATAATCAGTCATATACTCCATGAAACAGTTATAAAACTTTTTTGGGTATTTTATCGTTATTGTAATATTTGCAATTTGTGCAGTTTGAAAACTACATCTTATATGTATATATAAAGTATATATTTGAAATTTAATGGCAATCGCTGAATAAATTTTATTCGTCTAAATTTTTCAAGTTTTGGATTTTATGAAATTTAATGTCAAAATTTACCCGTTAAGTATTTAATTAAAACGTACGTATATTTTGAGGAGAAAATATTCAGAAAAGAGTCTTACTTTAAGAATACAAAATGAGATACAATATGATAAACTAACATATCATCTTACCTAAAGGATGTAATTTTGGTAAATTCGGGAAACACAGTTGAAAATGACCTAAATTGACTTACATAGTTGGTTTTTTGTATCTTCAGCATAAGCATAGCTTTGTAGTGTCTCTGTCAAATAACATTTGAGTGAATTAACTAACTGAAAATGGCATAGTTGGCTCAACGAAATTTAGTTTAATCCAAATTTAGAATTGGCTTACACAAAATCACGATCTATATATTGATTTTCAGCGTTTTGAAACGATTTATAATTGCACCGAAAGAAATTCGTCAAGAGCCAGATTTTCATCACTGAGTGAGATGGAGGCCTATCAAGTCTGAAGAGCAAGTATGTAACCAAATCCTTTGAAATCTTTCAATTCACATTTCTATTAATAAATGATATATTGTATTGTAAATGTAAAATGTAAAATGATATATTGTAAATGATATATATATTGTATTGTATTTTTTTTCGGGTAATCTACTAACAAAATATCACTTTTAATTTATTGAGTATAAGCTTAGTTTTGTTTCGTCTGTCAAATAAAATTTTCTTTTATTTACAATCTCAAAATTTCATAATAACATGATTTGCGCAACTACCGTTTCATTCTGGCTATTGAGTCGGCCCAGTGATTTAAGGCGGGGGTCATTTAAAAAAAAATTTAGGCTTTTTTTGTTCCCGCCCCATACCAAAAACCATACCAGGTTCAATTCTTATAATCGCGGAATTAACTGTTTGTACTACAAATTAACTGTAGCAATATCCGGTGAATAATGGCGTAGTCAGTACAGCGCTTCACGTTCAGGGGCTAGCTGCTGTGTTGTCCCATCTGCTGTCGTTTCGTTTAATCGTCCAAACCAAAAGGCTAATTACTATCTTGCAATGTCAGTTTATTTAAAGGTCATTAGGCCAGCATAAATGAGAGGCGTTTCATCGCAATAGGGCGTCACGTTGTGATTACGACAAACAGTGAAATTAATCCAGCAGTGTATATCTGCAGAGATACTGAGAGGATTTGAACTATGCCTAATTAAGTGCAATTCGGGTAAAACACAACCCCAACTTGATAACCATGCGAATATTAAAACTTATTGTGTAACTCGTTGTTTATCATAGGGTGCCTATATATACTGATATGCCTGATTTTTTGAAATCGTAGTCCCAGCCTTTTTCATTATTCTGATGAGCGTTTTTACCACAAATGGTAGTTCACACTAACTATACCATACTATATAAAATATTCAGGCTAATTTCCTAAATGTAACTGTGGCTCATCGTGACCTGCACTCTCTGGTAGTGAACAGTTGATAACCATGTCATTAATGTTCCCAACTAGTTCAAACTGGAATTGCCCCAAATTTCCAGTAATGGTATTATCAGAGTGCGTCATACTAACTGTATTAAAATAGCCGTTAATCTTACATCTCTTATAGACCTCGTGTCCCAACTAAAATTTCCCAAAACGATACCGTATAAATTAGGAGACATGATTTAGATGTAGAGACATGAAAATATGTGTCATATTTCCCTATTGTTAGTGCGGGTCACGTAATGTTATGCCTAATCATGTGTATTAAGAAAAACTTATTCTTCAGTTGACCGTCAATATAAAATATAGTAGTTTCAAAACTCTAGAATTCTTACTTTTCCAATTAATATCTAATTGAAAATCTGCAAACCATATCGAATGAACGTAAATTAATAATTAATATCAGTTGGTTACAAGTTGTCGTCCTTGTATCTTTAGAATAAGCATAGCTTATCACAAGGGCGTGGACAATTTTTTGAAGGGCGTTTAGGTAATTAAGAATAGAAATATTTGTTGGATTTTATCTTTCCCGCCTTATTTTGAATATTTTCATTTCTTGAATATGTAGCCGTATTTTCAACGTGTTTTTTAATGAATGAAAATTAATATTTTTTGTTTTTATGTATATCTAAATTCTAAAGTATAAGCATAGCTTCTCTGTGCTTCTGCCAAATTATATTTTCTGTAACTTATAAACCTAAAACTTAATAATGACATAGTTCGAACAACTATATATAATTCAAATCGATATTATACAAAATTTACCTACATTCCATTATCTCATATAAATTTCAGCTTTCTGAAACACTTCTTGAAAGCGAGAAAGACAATTTATCATTATATCTGAAGACATGCGGAATTATTTGTCCGATTATGCATCACTGAGAGAGGTGGCTGCCTCGAGTCTATAAAGCAAGTATGTTATTCCAATCTTTTGAATCTTCCTACTACATTCATCACCATTATTCACGGATCCCCACAATAAATTTTAAAATTATTATCTATTACTATTCTTATGTAAGTTAACATTACTTTACTTAATTTAAATGCTAAACATTTAAAAATGAAATATATTAAGGCTGTAAACTCAACAAACATATTATCAAATTTGGGGTCGAACAACCTTTTGGTGTTTTTGGAATACTGAAAAAATCCTAATAACGTACGCGATGGCATTTTGATAGAATCACCGATAGTTTTCGTCAGCGCGACGTGTTTTTTTTAAACAACTTATGTGCTTATTCTCCCTGAATCACAAATTTCCTTGACATATGAATGTATTGTTCCACGAGGCCGACGATAACTTTTTTGTTCTTGTGCGGAATTATGAGTTTAGTGTGCTAAACAAGTTAGAGTGCTATATTATAAAAATCGCTGAAGTAGAATAAATGATAAAGAGGTGAATCCGCAACCCAATTTCTTGATTGAAAACGGGCATTATAAAATATTAAAACTAAAATCTAAAACTGAAGATATCACCATAAGTTTTGTTCTAGCAGTCTCGCAGCAGATTGAAAACGCTTTTTAGACATTGTAAATTTGTGTTATGTTAGAATTTCTTCAAACTGTATACCATATAGTAACTGAAATCGAAACACAATGAGTTGTTCGCGCGATGTACCTTTTGTCTATTTTAAAACTACCGATAGGAGCCCAATACGAATTTTTCTCGGTATGTGACGATATATAAGATAATGAATGCAAAATATATCGAACAATTTTTTTTTTGCAATATTTTAATATTACAAGCTTCGTTTTGTCCATATCTTTAAAATAATTTTGAGTGCCGAAAAAACAAATCAAATTTGACTAACCTCAAAATACGTTTCCGGTCTACTTATAGTTGGTAGTTTGGGACGTATTTTATGCAATTTTTAAATAGTAATTTTTCATTTTAATAATCGTAAAAGTTTTCTCGACTAAAATTCGAGTAACGAAGAACACAGATAAATTACTATAAAATTACTATGACAAGATATTTTAAATGCTCGCACCGAGAGACAACTTTTTACCCACTGCGATCCTACTTATAGATAATGTCACATTTGAATTTACGCTCGTTGTCGTATTTTGACGCTACTGATGTCAAATTTTATCAATGATGTTATTACTTCTTTGGACAGTCACAAAAGTAGCCAAGTCAGTATTTTAATAAGTAATCTAACCGTAAATCCCCTACACACGACTTATACTTCCCTTGGTAGTCCTAGTAACCAATAACCATACGTTTCATGTTGATATGTGTTCGAAGCTGGCAATCCTCGGTAGTCCCAGTAATCATACAATTCATGTTATAAGTGTTCGAAGCTGGCAATACTTGGTAGTCCAAGTAACCATACGATTCTTATTGATAAGTGTTTAAAGCTGGCAACCCTTGATAGTCCTAGTAACAACGCGTTTCATATTGATAAGTGTTCGAACCTGACAATCCGTGGTAGTCCAAGTAACCATACGATTATTATTAATTAGTGTTCGAGGCTGGCAATCCTTGGTAGTCCAGATAACCATTCGTTTCGTATTGATGAGTGTTCGAAGCTGGCAATCATTGGTAGACCAAGTAACCATACGGTTCATATTCTAAGTGTTCGAAGCTGGTAATCCTTGGTAGTCCAAGTAACCTTACGGTTCATATTGATAAAGTGTTTGAAGCTGGCAATTCTAGTTAGTCCAAGTAAACATACGATTCATATTGATAAGTGTTCGAAGCAGGCAATCCTTGGTAGTCATTGTAACCATATGTTGCATGTTGATAGGTGTTCGAAGCTAGCAATAATCATAATGCGCTGTTATTAAGTGCGAGTATTACTACCATAAAATAATTTATCATGAGGTACCTGAGCTAACATGTCTAACTTCGTTAAAAGCATAGTCCTTATCATTTTATCATTTTACATGGCTTATACCATTTTTACTTAATTTTGAAACCCGTTTTCACCACAAATGGTAGATCACGCAAAGTACCATACTATGTAAGTGAATCTGACAGAGGGTGTTAAGTTTTCAAATCTAAAAATATATTCCCTATTTCTTTATAGTTTATTGCGAGTATTAATATGTCATGTTCTTATAATGAATGTATAATGTATGCAATCCCTGTGGCTAATTTAACTTATTGAAAATTATTTGATGAAATATATATTTTTAGTTGTTGGGAAGAAAAACAAAAGAGGACCTGGATATCAAGGTAAATATAACGCACAATGCCTGTGGTACACAAACATTTTAAGTTTGGAATTTCTCAAGTCTCGCGCCCACCTCAAAATAACTAGTTAACAATGTGCTACAAAAACACAAATAGTTAGGGCGGAAGTTTTCGTCAAGAAGCACGTTGAAAATACTTTTACTACTACTTACTCTTTCAAATAAGCAAGTTTCCTCAATCAGCTTCACGTCCCCTTAAAATGTTTACGCCACCTGAGGCGCTCCACCGTTTGAAAACCACTGCACTAGTAAATTATTGACTAGTCGATATTTATATGATGAGATACGATATAATGCACTGACAGATCATTCAAATTAGGTAAATATTGTAATTTTTGTGGAAATCAGCAAATAATTTTATAATAAACGAAACATAAATATTTTTATTTTTTTCTAAACTTCTAGTATAAGCTTAGGTTCTCATGTCCCTGTTAATCAAAACTCCAAAGATTGATAATGACATAGTTCGAATAACTATATCTCTTCTCTGTATTCCTGTTAAATAGCGTTTTGTGTGATTTAAATAACTTGAAGGTGTCTCAGGTGAACGAAATTTAGTTTCACCTAAAGTTAGATAGACTCTGTATACACATGATCATGATATTAAATAGATTTTTTTTTATGTATTTTTAATATAAGCTTACCTTTGCTTTACCTCTGTCAAACAGCATTTTTTGTGATTTATAATTTCAAAACTTGATAATAAAACTATATATTTATTTTCAGTATATTTTCATTGCATCAAACGACATTGTTAATAGTCTGGTGCATCACGGAGTGAGATTGAAGCCTATACAGTCTAAAAAGTAAAGAGCAAGTATGTAATCTTATAAATCTTCCAATTCACATTTTGTCAGGTATAAACTGATATATCATGTTAAATCCCGCTAGTCAGGAAGAGCTGCAAATATTTGAATTATCCTCACTAAATGTCCAAAATATTTTGCCCAATTTTATTAATATAATTTCGTAAAGTCATGTAATGCAATGGTTCCCACACGCTAGTTCACGGGCAGGTGTTCAGTTTTTAGCCGATATACAATAAATTTTGCTGCTTCGTTAATTTCGTATACATAATTTCCAAAAAGCCGCGGGTTATGTTCCTTTTTGGGCGTTCTCCCATTGATGGCAAGTCTCGAAGTATGCGCCAGTCCGCTAGCAATGGGGTTATAATACTGACAATGGGGCATTTGCAGTTGCATTCATACAATTGGTCGGCCTCTATTTATAGTATTTATTGTATTCGTGCTTTATGGGTTTGTTTCGTCGCCATAGCGTTTTGTTAGTTTTTCAATAGTCTAGAACAGTAGTTTTTACCCAGGGTTCAATTGAATTTTTGGTGTTCGATGGAGCTGTTTCAGGGGTTCGACCGAGGGTCCTTTGAATCAAAACAGTTTTATATTATGGAACTTCTCTATCACATCGTCTACAAATTATGCAAATTTAAAAACAGTTCATCTCAGATATTTAAACTTACACGTTCAACAGCTAAAAAATTAGCGTTGCTGTTTGTATAGCATTGAAAAGTTGTAAGTTTTAGTGAACCCGTCATCTCCACGGATGTCGTGCGTTTTGGTGTTTGTGCTTATATGATAGTGCCCTTAGATGCTTTCTGCTTATGACTTTGAAACATCTCAGGTTGTTATGGAAAACCTATGATTTTCAAGATGAATCACACAGCGTTACGTTGTATTATTTTGTTGATGTTGCCATTTCGCGAGAGCAGAAACAGACAGATACAAATAGATTTGATGAAATATATATCCAATTCATATTGAATTACATTTTGCTGTCATTCGTAAACCCAAAACTTGACATAGTTCATATAGTTCACATAATGACAAAGTTCGAAAAGTCATTGGTACATTCAAATTTTAACCATAAAGCCGAAATTTGATCGAAATAATTAAATATTCTTCTGAAATTAATCAATTTTTGTAAAAATTACCATCTTCGAATACCATATTGTGCCGCCACAACTTTTTGTTGAACTAAATTTTTTATATTAGTGCTCGGTTTAATGGATTATTTAAATTTTCCCCGCTATGTCGAAAATGTTCGAAATAATTCAATATTTTGGAAAAAACCTATTGTGTGTTTTTATCAATTTCATTTACACTGTATATTAATTATTTAGGAATATTACGACAGTTGAGAATGCTTCTTTGGAAAAATGAGAGATTTGGGAAAACATCCCCGCCAGCTTTAAAATACCAAATTAGTAGTTGTTCAGCTTGGGTTAGGGTTCAGGTTAAGAATGATTTACAAATTTGAAATCTGCATTCGGGGGTGTTTTTTGAAATTAATGCTTCCATTGAATTGAATTTAAATCTGTCGGCAACTTAAATGCCCGACCCAGATTTGTGTTTGGTAAATTTTAATTTTCATTTGAATACAAAAAAAATCTGATTAATAATAATTTGATTTTAAGTCATTGTCGCATGAATGTCTTAGTCGTACAAAAATACATTGGAAAGTGCTAAATGATGTTTATTGTTTTTACTTAAGTAAAACAGTAAAGATGGAAAATAAGAATGTTAAGCTAAATATTAGGGAAATGAAAGCAAACGTATCAACAAAAAAGCGCTGAACGTTTCCACGAATTTGAGAAAGAATTGAAATGGTCACTTCTAATCCTCTGATGAAGCGTATTGAATTTGTAGATTTAAAAGCCCGCAACATGAGGACTTTTTATTGAATTTTTAGAATTTTCTGATTTTGTCGTAACGATACTGATCAGTTTGATCTTCATTAGAGCTTGCGAGTACTTTTGCAGAGCAATGCTGTATTACATAATGGTATTTTACAAAAATCTTAAGCTATGTGGTGAAGAGAGGTAAATGAACTGCAAAATTCTTGTTCCTAATACCATGTTTTATTTATACAAGATTCCCCACACTATATCTCCGCCATCACAAAAACGCTTGATCAGATGTTTGAAAGCGATGCACAACAACATTTTCATGAAAAATCCCAATTTACTGGTGCAAATACTTAACCGAAAATATATTAATTGAAAGCGAAAGTTTTTCGGATTTTGTCTCCCTCAGCAAATTCATTCGAACCGTTAGGTTTTAATAAACCCAATATGCTAGACTAGAAAATGCCTCTGCTAGAAATGCGGAGCACTGGTCAAACTTGTGCGTGCACTGAAAAATACACACAAAAAAAAACTAAGTCCTAACATGAGGCCGAGATAAAATAATGATTATGAGACAGAATGTGTTTGTGCGTTAAGCTATGTGGCGTCGGTTATCTTAAGTTTAGCCGACAGATTACTAAAATGCTTTTATACATTTCGTATCACATTAATGTAATTTGAAGCGCCAAAAAATAAATAAAAATACGCTCGTTGCGTTAATGAGTCTTGTTAGCTGTAATTGTGACAAAATTATACCACTTTGAGCTTTTGAAAAAATAAAAATGCGGATTCTACTTGCTTCTCATGCAGGTACATCGTAAAACTCTCATTTGCAGTGCGATTGTTTTGAAATCATAATTTGAAAATATGTTAACGTAACTATAAATATCAAAGAAAACGAATCTCCCAAATCAAATAAACTCTCTTTGGGTTTAGTACAAAGATAGAACGCCGTTAACATTATAAAGAGGGAAATGTGGAATACCTGTAAAAAAGAAAAATGTCTGTCCATTTTGAACTTCAACGGACATTTTTTCTGTAGTTCTTTGCGTTTCATACTTTTTTATTTGTTTTTTGTTGTCAAGACTTCATGATAATATTGATTTTACAGTTTTTTTTTCTTAGTTTAAAAAAGACTATATAGTGTGAATGTTTACACGCATTTTCTACTTGAGTCTCTCGCTTAACGTTTGTGCTCCTTTTTTCCCCTAAAAAGAGATCATCTATAAACTTGTTCTGGTATCACGATGCCATGAAAATGTATTTTCTTCTGGTAGTCGCGTTTTTATTACTTCAACTTGGTTCCAATTTTAATGCTCGAATCAAATTAGGATAATTTTAAGTTGAAACAGGTCCAAATGGTTCCATTACATTTGAACCCACGTACATTTGAACCCATGACAATTGCACCTGTATGCTATTGCACCTATGGAATTTTTTTTGTTTCACGGATAGTTAAACCCATACTAACTCTAACCCATGGGTTTTAGCACCCGCATATAGATTGAACCCGTGGATATACGCATGGGTTCAAATGTACATGAGTTCAAATGTACGGTCACCGGTCCAAATATTAACTGAGGACAGCTAAACTAACGCAATATGTGTTCATTTTGCAATGATATCGTCTGCCATGAATATTAATTTTTTAACGAATGTTTATATTCCTATCGTGTATTATTTACTTGTTTCATTTTATCATTAATTGCGGTATATTGGCTTTTCATTTATTTCAATTTCGTATGAAATGGTTAAAATGGGTGTACTACCTTCTGCTTAAAACAAACACCAATGTCGTTATACAGTCAGTGCTGGTCAAAACTAAATTGAAAGATTAAAATATATCGGGTATCGGTAATATCGGCAAATTGTTTGTTATCGGTATTCGTATCGATATCGGCTAAATGTAGACTGATATTTCCAAGATAATTACCTTATCAATCTATTTCAGAATGTTTTAAAAAGTAGGTTGAAATACTGATATGAAAATTATGTTTTGCTCTGAATGATGGGGTTTGCGGTATTGGTCTCGTTAAATATGTTATTGAATGCGAGAATTCATATGTTATATCCATGCGTGTATGTATCTATGTATGACGCTGTATTAATGCGAATATTTGGACTCTAAAATCGTTTATCATGAGGTACTTGAGCTAACATGTCTAACGTCGTTAAAAGCATAGTCCTTATCATTCTGCATACCATATACCTTTTTTTCATTAACCTTGAAACCCGTTTTCACCGTATGTCTCATTTGCGGGGAGTTTATAGCGACGACAAAGCGAAGAGACACTATTCATTGGTCAGCGCAGTACGGGCAGAAAAAGCTCGCCTTTTAATTCAAACAGCAATTCTATGTTACGAGATCAGTGTTTGGTTTGAGCCATCTTTATGAATCAACATTTTTAGGCATGAACTTCACAAGGAACTAAGCACGGAATATGACATACTGATGAAGACCCGCTCAGAGTTGCATTGTCAAGTTACACTCTGGAGTACAACACACTGGTGGAGTGCATTAGACCAGATTTGTTCGATTTGGGTTTTCTCCTTGTTGAAAACAAGATATTCATAATTAGTTAAATGTGTTTGTAAATGTAACATTCGGCAGTCCAACTGTTAAGATCATTTCATCTTAGGGTTATGCAGGGTGTTTGTAAAAAAAGTAGGTATACATTGTGGACCTGTGGTTCCCGAGGATATTATTGTAGAGATAACTTTAAAATCAATTTGAAAAACACTCGGTTTGAAAATGGAAGTGTCATTGCTAGTAATTTATTTGCTACGTTGTGATATTTGTTTGATTTCCTGAAAAATCCTAAAGTTTATCAGTGTTTTTACTTGACTAAATACCAGTAATTATCAATAATTGAAGGTTAATCGAGCAAATTGACTCTTAAAATTGTGCATTGAACGGGTAGCCTTCGGCTTAATCCTTACACAGAAAGTAGCCTTCGGCTTCGAAAAGGTTGGTGACCCCTGGTGTAAACCATGAGGTCTGGAATGTTTGTTATGGTCTTGCGTGCGAGAAAAGCTAATTTCCTAGACAGCAATATAAGAAAGAACGTAATATGATATTTGGAAGTGATAAAACATCGCTTACTTTTCGAGCATGTACACCCCGCTGCGATAGAAAAACGTCGCGCAACAAAAAAATAATTCAATAAACCTTAGCGTTGTGCGCTAACCAATAACACAAGCAAGTCTGATAAGGTCTTATTTCAAATTTCATTTCGTATGCTACCAAACATAAAATAGTTAGCCTTTCACAACATATGGGAAAGTATGAAAATAACGAGTCGTTTGATCGCAGCTGCCCCCCCCCCCCCCCCAAAAGAAAGAGAGTTTACACAAGCGTTTTATCGCTAATATTCTCAATGTTCCACGATCAAATGCTTTTATGATTTATATTAATTGTTTTAATATGACTTATAAGAGCTTTCAACCCGATAACAAACGAATAAACAACAGAACGATCGATCAATCATAGCCTAGCCTGATTCGATGCGGTGACTTTTCAAAAAAAGTTTATATTACGCGAGATCGACTCACGCTATCTGCACAATTCTGGTAGCATATAAAACAGAAAACCAATACGCAGTCAACTGTATAATCACATTTGAGCTTTATAAGAAAATAGCTCATGAAACAGCTGACAGAAGATAGTTGAATTTTTGTTGTTGTTAATTTTTGCAGTTTCGAGTCACCTCATCAACACGTGTTTGAGTTGACGGTCCTCCAGTAACATCTGGCGTATAGTAGTCAAAAAGACCTCCCATTGATATATAATTAATGATATATTGGGTAAATCTTGGTGTCGCATAACATGAGTAAAAATGGGTATACAAAATTGGGTCGGATTGCTCGTCTAGACCAGCAATTTCACCATCTGTTAAATATTTAACCCGCTGCCAGGCATTCAAAGCTCGCACACGGTTTTAAAATTAAATGCCAGCTCAAGCCCCATTAATGACTCTCCAGAAGTGTGTGTACAAATATGGAGGCAACTAATTTTGTTCGTCCACTTTACATCAAGAACTGAAACCTATGATAAGGGGTATATTTACTTGGCCAACACAGGCAGTCCCCGATTTCAATATATACCTAAAATAAGGAAAATCTGAATAAAGTTATGGCTTGACCCTAACCCAGTTCACATACTACGGGAATATATACCCTTCAAACTTATGGGAATATGTAAAAAAATATGAACCAGCTGGCAATTTTATTTACAATTAACAGCATAATAATGAACGTGATAGACTTCTAAACATTTTTCCACCCATGTTTGTTTTTTGCCTATATATACAGTGACCTCAAATCTGTGCAATCTGTCGAATCTCCAACTGAATCACAACGAAAAGTTTTACCAAGAGGCAATGGTTTTAGTCCTACTCCTGACAGATTTGATACCTTTCAACTGCAAATAGACACCGATAAAACAAATCGCAACTACCGCTTGGGATAATACTGTTTTGATCCATTCCCGGTTCCAACCATTAGCAAAATGGACGCCACATATCCTGACGCGTTTTAAGTAGATGGACACCACCTACGGGAAGAAATTCCGACTTAGATTATTTCGCCAACACTTTAACACGGAAAATCACAAAACTACATCACAGAGACGTACATTTTCCAATCTTAAAAAAAGATGAAGTCAAGGTCTCAAAAGAACTAGACAAATAGCAGAAAGGGATACATCATCATAGTACCTGCGGACATTAGCACTTGCACTCTCCACGAACTGACTACATCACAGAAGGTATGCGGCATCTTGCACATAGCTCGGTGTACAAGTGCATTCCAAGAAACATATAATCTAAACAAATTGGCAACAATGTAACTAAATTATTTACAATATGGAAGAAACAGGCATTATTGATGACACACTATTCGGAGGAATAACTCCAAACAAAACTGAACTGGTGAACATTAGTAAATTCAAAATATTGGAACCTCATGGGACTTAATTCACCGGATAAATAGACTATTGGCTTATCTAATTATTATTAATATTTAATATTAATTTTCATTTTAACGTTATGTAAGATTTTAATTTAGTCACTTCTAACTCTAATTTTCAGAATATTTCTCACTCCTTGATTTGCGTTTTATTTGACTTTTGTTTATTTCTTATATATATATATATATATTTTTGGTATTCTTAAGTGTCCCAAAGTTGAATTTATTTACAATTCGAAAACCATGATTTTATGTGCATGCGACAGTTTTTCATGTCACACTCGGAATATGCTGGATGGTTCATTCATTAATTTTATTATCAATTATTATTATATTATCTAATGTTGATTTGACTTCCTTATTGTTCTTTAAGTGCCAATAATTTTAATTAAATTTTTTTACCCGTTATTTTTGAGACTGCGATAATTTTTCTCATCACATATTAAATGAGCTCGACTGATATCCGCGATTCCAATTTTCACATCATTATTTCTACGACTAAATATGAATTAAATGTACATTCATTGTTTCGTCATAAATGATTTGAGATTGATCGGAAAAACGTTACGGAAATACATTTGTGTTAGTGTGCAGCAGGACTCTTCAATTCGATAAAATAGTCATGTTTATTCCTGCTACGGCATCCTTGCAGTATGCGCATACGGATTCACTGGCATAAAAGCATAGAGGAGGGATAGGGAGTCAGTCTCGCGCAACCCAACTCTAAATTAATTATAAATATGTTGTAATTATACAGCTACGATACATTATCACAATCGAGTTTCTTCTTCAGCAACCTCAGTCAATTTCTCATTTTGATGTAAATATTCAGCTACACCTGAAAAAAAAGTAGTTGGACTGGAAAAATATATTATTTATTGAAGTCTATATTTTAACGACAATACGACTTGTTAAAATGTTCAATAACGCATAAACAAACCCCAAAAATATTTTTGTTCTCCTACTGTATTTGCTAGTAAGCATGCAAAAGAACTTTCCAATTCGTAGAGTTTTTTAGAAATTCCGTTTGAATACTTATTTCCATATTGCTGTTTTCTTTGAAATAGTCCGAATTCTTTGGTCAACGTTATATCTAGTGCTATCTCCAGCGCAGAAATAAAATATATAATTCTAACCGCTACGATGGTCGCTGGCAGCTTTTATATCAGTATTTAGTTTAGTTTGAAAAAGTTCAAGAAAGTGTAAATAGTGAGTCAACGACGTCTTTGTTGAAACTTACCGTAGCAAATCATTCCTAAAATTAGCATTCCGACCTGGATATAAATTTTAACGTATACACAGAGCTTCGTACTCCACCCAAATTGTAGAGAATAGCCTAAAAATGACCATAAAACCCAGCTTGTGATTGCAACATCGTGACCTTCTTCAAAATATTCCAGGTACAGTACTGAAACAAAACAAAAATTCCAAAGTAAAATTTCATATGTTTTCACTGCTGCCAAAAAGTCATCCGACATCGAATTAGGTATTACTCACATTGCTATTGTTTCTTTTGTATATATTAGAAAATATTCAAATTCGGATGATTCGTCTTACTCTTATAATATTGTGATGTCTTAAACACCATAAAACAACATCTCAGAGTGATTTTCTTTACTAACTTAAGCTTTGGCTTATTGGATTACCATTGGTTGTAATATGAGGGCATTTAATAGTATATAAATATTAATAACACTATTCAGCTGTAATTGGATGAAAAAAAATTGAATCTTTTGCTCAAATGAGTAAGTAGAAAGTCCTTGATTCACAAGCTTATGTATTTTACGCATTGAATACGAACGAAATCGTAAGCACTCCTCAAAAATCAAGTTTCTAGAAATGACCAGGCGATATACAAATCAATTTGATAAATGCAGTTAACTGTACCAAAAATTAGTTAATTTTACACATATATAACTTTACCGCGTACCATTTGTCAATGTTTGCCATATTCCATCCGTTGCTCCGAGAGCAAAATATATTATGAAGATTGACCATGCTGATTCGAGATTTGGGTCCCACCATAGACAGTATGCATAACTCCCAAAGTCAACAACCATTGAAAATACAAAAAGTGAAATTCGACCAATTTTTCTTCCGACTTTCCCAACAACGTAAGATAAAACGGCATCAGAAAACCCATAAGTTGCCATATGTATTCCTACCTGTGAAAAATAGTGTCAAATTATGAAAGAAAAATGATGTACTTGCGTATCGTATAAAAACGTACCATTTCTACTCCAACAACGCACGAAGAAAATGCCCTCGTTAGCTCTGAAAAAACGAATGCCTCCAACAGACCAAAGTACAATGTTATGGGTATCAATAACAACTGCGTGGTTTTTACCGTGTGTTTTCCCAAATCCTTTAAAGACCTCAAATAGGCACCTCCAAATGTTTCTTCAGTTTCCTAAATAAAAATACAATATCTTGTTTATTAGTAATGCTCGAAACGTGTCAGCACATAACACTGGAGTAGAAAACTTGACTATATATATTAACAAGAAGAACAACAACAATATTCTGAACACTGGAATAGGAAATTAATACAAACCACTTTCAAAAAACTTCCCAGTGACTGAAAAATTGATAAAAAATGGAATAAAGAAAAATATCTTAATAAAAATGGGTTTAAATTAATTTCGTCAAGAACTCCATACATAGAATACAAGAAACACATCTTTGAATTATCAAAAATAATTAAAAATATCACCAGACTACGGTATAATGTGAGTTTCAAGATTTTTCATATTACAAAAAACCCGACCGGGGGAAATCCCCTCCCCCCGTTTTAACGAAACCGAAGTTTGAAACAAATTAAGGTGATTTTCACGATCTACATGTCAAAAACCAACAGCACCTTATGGAATTGAAAAGAATGAAAAATTGATACTCCAGAAGTATGTGCACCAAGATGACGGACACCGGAACGTAGTATGTGTACCAAGTTATGGTTAGGCTATAATCTCAGGTACCAATACTACGGGAGTCACTTGGCTAGTAATAGAACTAAAATTGGAATAAAATTATGGCCTAACCTTAACCTGGTACATAAACTACGTTCCGGTGTTCGCCATCTTGCTGAACATACTTCTTGAGCGCCAAAAATGAACAATTCTATTGAAACCATTTTACAAACGTGGATGCTATGCTACTGCATTTTGCCTAAATATTAAGTCAATAGGTACGATATAGTTAGAACTTATGGGTCGATGAAAAACTCACATAGCGTGCCGGATTAGGATTTTCCAATGATTGGATCTTATCACAGAAGACCTCTGGGAATATTTCTTCCTTGTTTATATCTTTGAAACAAGAGTTTGAGTTCGATTTTGTGACACTGGGACATGTTTTATTATCACCAATATTCACATCATCTTTCTTTCGTTCACTTGTGTCTTGGTGTATTTCGTCCGGATGTACTTCGAAGGCCAAATTTACATGTTTTTCACTAGTTTTGGATATATCTTTATCTGTAACTTTGCTTATAACTACAACAGTAACATCTTCAGATATGAAATACCAGTGGCAAATTAAAGATGTGAAGCACATAAATGTTAAAATGGTTATGAGTATAGTTAAAGAAACGTTTTTTGTTGGAACGTATTGATTCAAAGACTCATCGACTGCCGTGCTATCTTGGCAATCATTAGATCCACAAAACATCAAATTGTCAGATTCCGAATATGACTGAGTAGTTGTGAAATTGTTTCCAGTGTTTTGTGTGTTGTTTGATTCAGAATCAACAAATGCATACAGTACCGCATAGACGACGAGGTTGCCAAATATCTGGAAATATAAAAAATAACGTCATAATATTTTTTGTAGTAAAGTAATGGTTGTATACATATCTCAATAGGTGGGATTGATTCGATATAATTTGATTCTATATACTCTTTCTGGATTTTTGACACCTACCATTTGCATTAGTTTTCTACTTAGGAATTTTCGGAAACCACTTCAACGAAAATTGACAGCAGTTCGGATTCCTGAAACGGCCTTTGATGACGTAGAACTGGGAACTCCGTACAGACCTTGTAATCATGGCACGTTCGCGAGTAGGGTGTTAAACCCTGTTATTGCATTTAATTCTATTTCCCCATCGCGTAGTTCCCAAACGAGTAGGACAAAATGTACAATGGAGATGTTATTAATATAACGTGAATCTGTTGTAGCGCTGGAAATCAATGACACATGGTAGAAGCTGCAACTTGAGCGGCTATGCTGTACAAATTGGGATATTTACCAAGAGAGTGATTTATTGACATTTCTAATATTGCAACAATATAATTTGAAGATATTAATGTGTATTCAAACCACTACTGTGTTTGTCAAAGCATCGCCCAATAGAACTACCATGCTGTTCAAAATGAGAACACGAAGCGCCATAATTTACTCTAATCTAATCAGCACTACGTCATCAGCGGGCCCTGCAAGGTATCGGTCGATTTCTGCAAGGTTGACTTTTCAAAAATTCGTGCCTCGCATGAAAGTCCACTTTATTTAAGCGTCAAACGCCATAAATCTTAAAAAATTATATAGAATCAAAATATTTTCAAAAATATTCCCATGATAACCCATCTCTAAAACTAGGTACCTGGCAAAACTGAATACATGTGAAAAAATATCCCGAGTAAAGATTGACGAAATATTCGTTTTCTTTATATTTGTGTTTTTTCAGAGTCGCATATTTTGTGGCAAAATAAAAATTGATCAACGTCATTGATGACCATATCGTTGCTTCGCCAGCTCCAACCAGAATTGCTGCTGGTATCAGTGTGTAAAATTCTTGAAATTTAAATAAAAAAAACATTTAAAAATAACATAAAATTTACCCAAGCACGGTCTATCCAAAAAAAATTGTTGAAATTTATTCATCCTGATTTTTAAAAATATTTTTATTTTTATGCTATTTTACCTTCAGGTTGCGACGAACATATTTTATTTCTGGTCAAACCTGAAGACGCCTAAACAACTATTTGTTTTCAAATATTGCTGCGTGCAGCGAGAACTAGCAGTGATAAAAATAAAAATCACCTTTGCACCGTCTTCTATAATACCACACTAATGAATCCAAAAAGTCGACAGCAAACGTCGGAGTAAAAATTGATTTGAATCGGCGTGATTAATGCCAACTACAAAAGACTTATGTACTTAAAAATGCAATACCATAATACGCTTACCGGGATAGAGATTAGCAAGAATGTAAATTATGTAGGTGACTTCACTTGCTATCAAACATTTCTTTGCTCCAAATTTTCTCAAAAGTATTGTGGTAAAAAATACAAGAAATATATTGCAGGTTATGTATGATGTAGACAGAGAAATTGTGCCTGAAATACCGTTATTAACTGTATTTAATAAACAGTTGGTTACCTAATTGATCTATTGCAGCGTTAGATCCGTTGTATGCTTATTAACTACAAAACATTTATCATGAAAATTACTCTAGAACTTTATTTTGTATGACAATAAACTTTAGAATTGTTTTCGTTAGGGTATGCTTCAGGGTATGCTTCGATTAAAAAAAGTGATTTCTTTGCAAATAAAAACGACGCGGGCAAAAAAGTAAACGCATGTTCAATTGGTTATGTTGAATAATTCAATTACCTTGATTACAAATCGAATATTCAGTGCTATTTGACGATGAAATAATGGAAAATTACCTAAATAAATTTGGTTTGTGAATATCGGTATTATTTGTAATTTTTTAGAGTGTGATAAAGTATTGAACGATTAAAAACGTTAAACCTACAAAGGTGTTTCATTTGCGAGACTATCAATTACTTTCAATGAATCTGACTAAATGGAACAGTTTATAGCAGCGGCAGGTAAACCACGACCCGCTGGCCAAATCCGGCCCGTTGGGTAATTCAATCTGGCTCGCCTGATGCTGCCACAACCAAACTAAAACCAAATTTTGATGTTTTAGCTAAAATAGATCAAGGAATTTGTTAAGATTGCAATTACATTTAGTTTTGGCACGAAGCTTATTGTTTTCCACTTTGCTTTTGTAACACTGTATTAACGTTGTTCATAAAATGTAATTTTTACGTCACACTTGCATGGCCCGCCTGTCTAGGTGGGCAAAATTCTTGGCCCTTGGTCGAAAATATGTCAAATATCTCTGCGCTGTCAATATATCGACAAGGATAATTTTTAAGCTGATATTAGTTTGTTTTATTGTACAGTGCACACTGTTACACCGTGACACCATCCGTGGATATGAAGCGTCCAATATCAAAATCTAATCAACAAAGTCTGCCTTGAATATCCTCCTTTCTATTTTCTGTTTTTTCTTTTCATTTTATGTTATATTATGCAAAATAGTAGAGCCGTAACGGTTTGCAGTTATAGTAATAAATCATTTTAGGCAGGGCTCCGCCGTTGGGCGCATTTGTATTTTCAGACATACAGGGTACAAACTACTTCAACATTATTGGAAACTGACATCGAATATCGCCGTGAAACAGACTTTATTTTATAAACGATTTAGCTGATTATTGCCAAATTAGATAATGTTAGTAAAAAAGATTATATTAAGATCTCACCTAATCCATCTTCTATATTAATACTCGACTGTAGATTCAATATTGCACAGTATGATGAATATCTCAAAAACACTCCAAGTAAATATCCTAAGAAATGATTACGTACGACTGATGTTCTAGCTTCAGTTTCCTTTCTTTCCATTCTAATATTTTATTCACTTCGTGGGATGCAAAATAGCAACTTTGTACAGCCAGCTTTACGAGTACAACGAGTACACCTCACTGTTTATTGTGTCGCGACATTTACCCGTCACCGCACGAGATTAAACATTGTCTGACCTGAATGTATTTTGGCCGATTATCGCATATAACCTAATAGACTAAATGCAGTGTCAAATTTATTGCTTTATATAATGAAACAATTTGTGCCATTGATTGATATAGACTTTCTTAAAGCCGACGGTTTAGTCGGCTACTGCAAATTTGATAACAATGTGCAAGTCATGGTCTGCATTTTTGTGGATTTCTGTAAATTGGACTGTTTTACATCCGTTTTGTTTTTCTGTAATATTTTATTCGTTGTTGTTTTTCCCTCTATCAGTCGTACCAAATGACCAGACTAGCACAGTGGTTCTCAACCTTTTTTTAGTTCGAGGACCGATTAAATTTCAAAACAAATTTTGCGGACCGGCGGACCTTCAAAATTAGCAAAAAATGTCACGAACACAAAACATAACAAAAGAATGCAATTGTGACAAAAGTAAAGCGGTGTTAAAGAAGACAATCCAATTTAATGAGAAATTTGCTGCTGTCTTTTTGATATTACACGTGTTAAACGCGGTTCTAATTAAGTTTCTACAAGGCGAAGTAGAGCGTTGACTTCCACACAATTCCGTCAGCTTTGTGGATTTCATTGCGTCGTTTGAAAAAATTTGGGCGCAGTCTAGGCACATGAGAAGCGCCACTTTTTTGCTGTTGGGAGCAATAGTGAAACCTAGCTCCGAATACTTCTTATCATACTGCCTAATAAAGTCTCCCTTTTGTTTCATGCTTGTTTCTTCGTGATCCATATCAACATTGCTGCAAGGACGTTTCGGGGCAATTGTAAAGTTGAAGTAGCAGTCTCTTCCTTTGTCCTGTCAACACCACTAACTTAGTTTTCACCGCTGTGTTTCTTTCGAAAGAACTGGATAATACTTTGCTGTTTGTTTGCCTAAATTTTACTATCAAACCTCGCTAAATTATAAGCCTACTGTCAGATTACGGAACGTGCGAACTGTTGAAGTTCTCAATCGGGTACCGTACTATGTATGTCATGTGACATCAAACTCCTCCGTTATAACGTTATGAAGCCATAGACTTGACTCCAGCCGTTCAGGGCTCAAATGGGCAGAAGACCTTTCACCAAGTTTGGTTGGTAGACGAATACCGGTACTACGAGTTGAAAAATCACGAAATTAACGAACATGACATCAATAAATTGTATTTTGCAATTTGCTTATAATATATTAATATTGGAATTGGAATATATTTATTTGGCGGACCGGCGGTTGAGAACCACTGGTCTAGCAGATATAATTTTAATGGAAAATCATAAGGGCAATACCGTAAATCAGTTCGTTTTTTAACAAAAAATTTACAAATAATAAATCAGTTGCCATCCATATATCTCATCGCTAAGTCTTACCACATTACAGTAGCCTGAAGTACTTCATAGATTGTAATCATTTTTTGTTATTGATATATACACAATGTGATTATTGATATCTCTCAATGTGAATTCTTTCAATTGCTTAACATCTTCCATTATGAAAACATGATTTTACATGTGCATTTAAAATTATCCCACATATGACAAGACTGTTCCAAGGGAGCGAAATTCTGCATTTGGTATGTTTTCCAATCAAAATAATCTTTATCAAAATATAGATTTGGCTGGTAACATTCACTTCAACAATAGGGCCTGAATTCAGAAAAGGATATATTTTAAAAATTAAATTTGGCATCTTGGTTCGAAAAAAGAGACTTTCATGTATTTTGATGTCGTTCCGAAGACGCCTATGTAAGTAAAAGTTATATTTGGTCAAATAGAACGGCACACTAGCAAATTTTAAAATTTGTTCTGCTCTTTTTGAATTGACGTCATCTTTCAATCCATTTCAAAACTAAGTAACGATGTAGCGACACTGTCGTCGTATATTGTCAAAAAACCAAGAGTTAGATAGTCTGAACCGCGGATGTTGGATTGTTATCCGCCAATAGCTTGATAACAAAACGCCTACAACTCGTTGGACATAAATGAAGTGAATCCATGGCTTGTTTTGTTAAATTGTTGAGGTTTGCCTTGTAGGTTGTGAACTATTGCAATTTGAAATTTTCGTTACTTATAGATGGGTATTACTTTTTTACATTACATTTTTTACAAGTCCCAAAAAACCCGATAATTTGTCATTTTACGATTTCGATGTTTTATTTCTATTTTTGGGAACGCTTCTCTAGTATAAGGACACTTTAATATGTCACGATTGTCTTGCGGGCAAACTCTTAGCTCAGCTAGACGGACAACTGAGGCCTTACCGTATCGCTACCGACGCACAATATTTGTGGTCATGTATTTGGGCATTGCTCCCTTGTTATTCTCTATGTCAAAAAATACAACTTGTTTCTTTTGTTAAAATTTTATCGAGCGTATGATACAGCAGAAACCACGGTTATATATATATATATATAGGAATTGTTAATAAAAATAGGAAGTTTCAAGAAAAATCGACGAGTACATAAAGTGTTAAATGCATTATTACAATCGAGTTTCCTCTTCAGCAACCTCAGTCAATTTCTTATTTCGATGTAAATATTCAGCAACACCTGAAAAACACGTAATTGGACTGACAAAATATTATTTGTTAAATTCAATAAAATACGACTTCTTAAAATTTTTCATAATGCATAAACTAGAATATCGGTCGGAGACCGAAACTTATCAATTGAAACTGCGGTTTCGATTCATGACTCTATAGTGACACCGCGTGTCCCATCACTAATTAATTAATAACTCGCTAATTATACAAATTAATTCATCCAAAATCAATAGGCTTCTTTTCCGAGATATGATGAATGCACATGCAAAATTTGGAGCAGATTCAAACTCGCCTTCATGAGATATCGCGTTCATCTAACAGACAAACAAACAAACAGACAGACAGACAAATACCTATCAACATACTTACCGATCTTAAGATCGATAAATAACAACCCCCAAATAATTTTGTCTTCCTATTATATTTGCTAGTATGTATGCGGAAGATATTGATATGTATTATACTTGTGAGGGAACTTTCCAGTCAGTGAAGTTTTTTTACACATCACGTTCAAAGTCTTTCCTTCCATTTACCTGTTCTCCTGTCACTTCTGACTCAAATAGTTCGAAACCTTTGGTCAACGTTATATTTAGTGAAAACTCTAGCGCAGAGATAAAATAGCGCCACAATGTTCGCTTGCAGCTCTTATGTCAGTATTTAGTTTCGTTTGATAAAGTTCACAAAAATAAATAGTGAGTCAACAATGTCATTGTAAAAATTTGAAAACTGATATATGACGTTTTAGTGCTTAAATATCGATATGCTTGAAAAGTTTTTATCGTATATTACAAATTTCAATGTATTTATTTAATTAAGAAATCCGTTATTAAAAAGTGTTAAACGGTTAACAATTTGATCTCACTCAACTCAGTTGAAACTATGATGACGAACAAAACGTAAAAACATTTCAACAAAAAAGTGCTTAATACCATGATTCCATTTTTTTTATCAAAACTCAGGGTTCTATCTTTGTTGAAACTTACCGTAGCAAATCATTCCTAAAATAAGCGTTCCGACCTGGATATAAATTTTGACGTATACACAGAGCTTCGTACTCCATCCATATTGTAAAGCATAGCCCAAGGTTGACCATAAAACCCAGCTTGTAACTGCAACATCGTGACTTCCTTCGAAATATTCCAGGTACAGTACTGAAATCAAAAATAAAATTCCATATATTTTCACTGCTGTCAAAAATAGATTCGGCATCGAATCAGGTATTACTCACATTGCTATAGTTTCTCTTGTATATATTAGGAAATATTCAAATTCGGATGATTCGTCTTACCTTTATTATACTGTTACGTCGTAAACACCATAAAACAAAATCTCAAAGTGATAACCTGAGCTTTGGCTGATTGAATTAACATTGGTTGTAATATGAAGGTATTTGATAATATATGAACATCAATAAACACTCCTCAAAAGTCAAGTTTCGAGAAATAACCAGGCTATATCCAAATAAATTTGATAAATGCAGTTAACTGTATCCCCAATTAGATAATTTTTCACATATAAAACGTTATCGCGTACGACTTACCATTTGTCAATGTTTGCCATATTCCATCCGTTACTCCGAAGGCAAAATATATTATGAAGATTGACCATGCTGATTCGAGATTTGGGTCCCACCAAAGACAGTATGCATAACTCCCAAAGTCAACAACCATTGAAAATACAATAAATGGAATTCGACCAATTTTCATCCTGACTTTCCCAACGACGTAAGATAAAACGGCATCAGAAAACCCGTAAGTTGCCATATGTATTCCTACCTGTGAAAGAGAGTGTCAAATTGTTAACGTAAAATGATGTAATTGCTTATCGTGAAGAACTATATATAAACGTACCATTTCTACACCAACAACGCACGAAGAAAATGCCCTCGTTAACTCTGAAAAAACGTATGCCTCCAACAGACCCAAGTACAATGTTATCGGTATCAATAACAACTGCGTGGCCTTTACCGTGTGTTTTCCCAAATCCTTCAATGACTTCAAATAGGCACCTCCAAATGTTTCCTCTGTATCCTAAATAAAGAAACAATACTTTGTTTATTAATAATGCACAAATGAGGAAAGCTGATGACTGGAAATAGGAAACACGTAAATGTTGCAAAGATGCAAATATGACTGTTACTTTGGTGATTATCCAGTTCCAATCATCTCTCATTACGGTATTTATACCCATTAAAATCACTAAACTTGTTAAAACTTATTAAAAAGTTCAAATTGTGCCAGTCAGTAAACTGTGTAACACAATTCTTGTTACGCGCTCTTAATTATTATTTTCTAATTGGTTAAACCCCAAAATTGACAAAAATGGCATGAATAAGTTCATTCTTTCTGGAAAGTAAAGTTCATTTTGACGCCTTTTTCGTTACTTGGTGATTGAACCTTTCAGCGGTACGGGCGTCATTAAATGGGACTCATCAACTCCTCCCCGCAAAATATTGATGTCCATGTTACATTTGAAATTTTCCTTTTTTACATAAAATCGAGGCATAATTGAATTGTAAACGTCCTTTACCAATGACATTACAATGACTCAACAATGGGTGGCTACATATGCGGGCCTATTCGTGGAATCAACTTGGACTATAGTTAAAAACTTAGGAAATTTTTTTATTATTAATTTAAATATTTTTCTTCGCTAAAAAGTTAATAAAAATGGGTTTGTATTAATATCTTCAAAGTTTCATATAAATAGAATGCAAGAAGCACATCTCTGGAATATCAAAAGTACTAAAGAGTAGCACCAGACTGCGTTATAATTTTATGTTTTTATCATAAGAAAAACGATTTTGGGGAATTCCTCTACCTACCCCGTTTACCCAAAACCAAAATTTAAAAATAATTAAGGTAATTTTCACAATGTACAAGCCAAAAGCTAACAGGAAATTTAGGTTGAAGTTTTTTAACAGTGATTACGAACTACCATAATTTCCGGATAAATTTAAACTGGTTTAAGCTAAGATAGATGAATGGACGACTAAGTTATTTTTCAGGCTTGGAGTGGCATCAGTCTGCATTTCATTACATGCAAAGTCAGCATCTTATAAAATTGGAAATAATAAAATACAATCTCATTGAGACCATTTTAAAGATGTTGATGCTATGCTACTGCATTTTGCCTAAATATTAAGTTAGAAAGTACGATATAAACCTCTAAGAATATTTCTTCCTTGTTTGTGTCTTTGGCACAAGAGTTTGAGTTAGATTCGGGGACATTGGACCGTTTTTTATTATCATCAATGTCCACATCACTATCCTTGGGTTCACTTGAATCTTCGTGTATTTCGTCCGCCTGCACTTCGAAGGCCAAATTTACATAATTTTCAGTAGTTTCGGATATTTCATTACCTGTAACTTTGCTTATAATTACAACAGTAACATCTTCAGATATAAAATACCAGTGGCAAATCATAGATGTGGAGCACATAAATAATAAAATGGTTATGAGTATGATTGAAGAAACATTTTTTGTGGGAACGTATTGTCTCAAAGACTCGTCGATCGCCGTGCTATCTTGGCAATCATTGGATCCACAAAACATCATTTTGTCGGCATCCGAATACGATTGAGTAGTTGTGAAATTGTTTTCAGTGTTTTGTGTGGTGTTTGCCTTAGAATCACTGAATGCGTAGAGCACCGCATAGACAACGAGGTTGCCAAATATCTGAAAATTTGAAATAGCGTTGAAGGCATAATGCTTTTTGTCGTGATGTAATGATTTTATTCACATCTCACTTATATCTAGTTACCTGGCAAAACTGAATACAGGTGAAAAAATATCCCGAGTAAAGATTGACGAAAAAAACGTTTTCTTTATATTCGTGTTTTTTCAGAGTCGCATATTTTGTGGCAAAATAGAAATTGATTAATGTCATCGATGACCATATTGTTGCTTCGCCAGCTCCAACTAGAATTGCTGCTGGTATCAGTGTGTAAAATTCTTAAAGTTCAAATGAAAACACTATATCATAAAATTTATCCGAGCATGTTCCAAAAAGCTTTAATTTATCCATCCGGATTTTTAAAAATAATTGTATTTATATGCTATACAAACATCAGGTTACGGCGTACTTATTTTATGTCTAGTCAAATGTGAAGGCATCAAAACAACTCTTTGCTTTCAAATATTGCTGCATGCAGCGGGAACTAGCAGTGATAAGAATAATAAAAAAGAAAACAATCACCTCTGCACCACCTTCCATAATACCACACCAATGGATCCAAAAAGTCGACAGCAAAAGTCGGAGTAAAATTAGGAGCACAATAAAAGGATTAGAATCAAATTGCTTCGAATCGTTATGATTAATGCCAACTAAAAAAGACTTCAGAACTTATAAATGCAATTACATAATACGCTTACCGGGATAGAGATTGGCAAGAATGTAAATTATGTAGGTGACTTCACTTGCTATTAAACATTTCTTCGCTCCAAATTTTCTCAAAAGTATTGTGGTAAAAAATACAAGAAATATATTGCAGGATATGTATGAGGCAGACAAAGAAACCGTACCTGAAAAACCGTTATTAACTATGTTTAATAAACAGTTGGTCACCCAATTGGTCTATTGCAGCGTTATACTGATTGTGCACTTTTTAAATGCAAAACATTGTTTATAAAAAATTCTCTAGGACTTTATTTTGTATGAAAATAAATCTAATATTTAATTTCGATAGGGTATACTCCGATTTGAAATGGTCATTTCTTTATAAATAAAAACGTATCGGGTAAAAAAGTAAACGCATGTTCAATTGGCTATGTTGAATAATTCAATTATATTGATTACAAATTTAAGTTTCATTTCATTTGACGAGGAAATAATGAAATACTATTATTGATTGTAAACATTTGGAGAGTGATTAAGTATTTTTTGTCAGACCAAGCAGATATGTATTAGGTGAATAGCTATGACGCAGTAAGGTTAAAGAAAAACAGTCCAGAAACGTTATACCCGTAATGAGGTATATCCGGAAGGGGGCGGTTGCGAATTGTGTGTCAAATTTATTTGCCTTCCCAATATGTCGATAACAATAATTCTAGAACTGATATTAGTTTGTTTTATTGCAAACTGTTTCGCAGTGACCCACCCGGGGTTGGGGGGCATTTAATTGGAAAATCTAATAAACAAGTCCGTCTTGTATTTCCTACTTACTGTTCTCTCTTTTTCATTTTGCATCAATAAGGGTTGCAAAAACATTAATAAATCTTTTTACTTGCAGGGTTCCCACGTTGGGGGTACGTTAAATGATACATGATATGCAATACGCTTGAAACTGACATTGAATCTCGCCATGAAACAGATTTTTTTTTCATTTATAAACTATCAAGATAATTATAGCACTAATACTAAATTACACAATTACAATCTCAAACTGACAAACTGACATTGAATCTCGCCTTGAAACAGATTTTTTTTTTCATTTATAAACTATCAAGATAATTATAGCACTAATACTAAATTACACAATTACAATCTCACCTAATCCATCTTCTATATTAATACTCGACTGTAGATTCAATATTGCACTGTATGATGAATATCTCAAAAACACTCCAAGTAAATATCCGAAGAAATGATTACGTACGACGGATGCTTCAGTTTCATTTCTGTTCCTTTCCATTCTAATATTTTGTCTATTTCGTGGGATGTAAAAATAGCTACTTTATACAGACATCGACGCGAGTACCTGATTTAATGAAAAATTTGTGCAATTGATTGATATAGAATTTATCAGAGTGGACGGTTGAGTTTGGCTACCGCAAATTCGATAACATCGTGCTAGTCACGGCCTCCATAATTGTGTATTTACGCATAAAAATCAGTTGTCACCTGTGTATCACAGCGCTAAGATCTAGCACGCTAGCCCGAGGTACATTTTCTATCTTGTTCATCCACAAGAACATGAAAGACTGGAACATTAAAAACGCCGTCGCCGAAAGTAAATTATATTAAAATATTCATAAAAAATGAGGTATATGTAAAATGCTAAGTATATTAAATATGTATAGGAAGAAAAAAATCAATATCAAATATAATGTGTCATAAGTTCTCAATGACTATTTTTGCATAAAACTTTTTATATAGGAATTTATTTTCGAGAAAACCCTGTGAAATTTGACATATCTTCACGTTAATTACCAAATTACGTAAGTCATATTTAGCAATTCTGAGATAAACGTAGAAAAACTTCTTAATGTTATGCCATTGAAAGAAAATAATTTCCCATAGTTTAATTTTTTAGTTGTATCCGAATGTTAAATTAATTTGCATGATGTATGTATGTGAGGTAATTATGGCGCTGCTACTAACGAAGAAATGTGCTTATGACTTAGGGACATACGCAATTTTGCAACTTGATTATATCCATCATTCAAAAAACGTATGCAATTTAGATTATTTATACGATGTCCAAACAAACAGTTTAATCTGGTTTAATAACCTTATATTTTTATGTTTAAAATATATATTTAATCATTATAACGCGCTCTGCAGACCCACCAAATATAAGGCTTTCCATACATAGTAAAGACAAAAAAGAATATAAAAAGTCAATGAATTCTTAAATAAAAGCCAACCAAACATGAATTGGACTCAGAAAGTGAATATTACAAGTGCACATTTTTCTATACCGTAATGTAAATTCAAATTCATAAACGTTAAGCTATATAATCTATGATGCAAAAATTAGGAAAATACTTCGCCGATGTTATTTTGCTTTTGTGATGTCGCAATGGTCTCGTGAAAATTATTATGACTGAACAATTGCAATATTGTGCATGTCACATAAATCTCCATTTTTTTACGTTTCGAAATCCTTGAGATAAAATCTGAATTAACGGCCGGGTGCGCAGCATTTCATAAATAACTATTGTACAAAAAAACTTGCGCAATTCGGTTATTAGCCTGACGATATTTGATTTGATTCCACGAGAAATTCTCTGCATATAATAAAATAAAATTATTGCTCTGCGTCAACAATTATCGATGTTATCGTTGTTATTATTAATATTATAATTGTTGAGTAATTCAATAAATAGTTTTGCTGCAGACTAACACAAATATATTCAAGTTCAAACTTCCTCAGACAAACATATTTCAACTAAAGCAAGAATAGAAATTGCAAGCACATTTATACAATGGGTGCCATGACAACAAAACAATATCATAACAATGTGAGTTAACGAATTCATGCAAGTGATTGTAAAATTAATAAACAGCATTAAGTTAAAAAATTAAAAACATGAAAATTTCATGCACATTTATACAATGGGTGCCATGGCAACATAACAAAATCACAACAATGGGATTTGAAAAATCAATGAAATTGGTGATTGTATAATTAATTTACTGCACTAAATTTAAAAATGAAATACATAAAAAAAACAGTGTATAAAATATTCCAAAATGCCCTAAACTTCTTTAATGTTTATTCCCAATGGTTTATGCGTTCCAAGTAGGTGAATGAAATACGATTATTTAGTTTTTCGGTAAATGTGGTCTTGAAATAGTTTTTCAATTCCATTTGCATTGAAGTCTCTAAGTCAATGTCCAGGTTGGTTAAAACGAGCACCGACGACCACGTTCTGTTTTTTTCGATTTTATACTTCTAATATGTTCTGAGATCCGATATTTCAGATGCCTCCCTGTTTTGCCAATGTACTGCATTCGCCAATGTACTGCCACATTTGTTCCAGCTTATCAAGTAGACGACGTTTTTCGTATCCAGTTATTTTTTGATTAATTTTTAGTTGAATAGTTTTGTGTTTGTTTGTCGCTACCTTTGTTTCTTCAGAATGTTCGCAGGTACTGCATGACTGTCTTCCACATTTAAAAAAAAAAAAACTGGATTGTTGCTGACAGGTGAATTTGGCTCTGACTAACCTATCTCTGAGTGTAGGGCATTTTCGGTGAGCTAATTTGGGTGGATTTGGAAAAATTTCTTTCAATCTCTCGTTATTGTTTAATTAAAATGTACTGATAATCGGAACAGATTTTCCGAACATTTGGTAAGGTTGGGTGATAGGTTGTAATAAAAGGGAGCAATGTTTCATTTTTACTTTCCGTGTTGGGAGTTAAAAGTAGTTGTCTGTCTAATTTTTTTACAAACTGGACAGCATTGTCAATTAAATTTTCTTTATAATTTCTCTTCATAAGATATCGCTGCATTCTTTTAGCATGCTTGTCGAAAAATTCGTTAGTTGAACAAGCTCTTCTTCTTCTGATGAAATGGCTTTTGGGAATATTTTTTGTATTATGATTAGGATGACACGAAGTTGGGAAAAGGTTTTGATGTGAATCTGTGTCTTTGCTAAAAATTTCAGTCTCTAATTTGTCTTTATTGATGTGACCTTTGACATTCAAAAACGTGATACTATTTGGTGAGTATTCGAAAGTAAACTCGATGGTCGGATGTAATGAATCTGCCAGGGTAACAAATTCTAAAAGTTTTTCTTTACCATGCGTCCAAATCATGAAACAGTCGTCAATAAACCGGCAATAATACTTCGGTTTTAAAGAGGTTTTCTCTAATAAATTGAATTCCATATCGGCCATGAAAATATTGTTTGAGTTCATGAACGGACGATGTTTCACATAAATTGTAATCATTTTTATTGTTGATATATGATAGAATTGCTACGTTAAAACATGAGAGCAATGCTCAAATATATTGAAACGAATCAGTACGGGTAATTGATTTTTCATAGTACCGGTACCGTACTGTACGATACGCTACCGCAGTCTTTCAGACTTCGACTGATCCCCATGATCGCACGGATCGTGAACGCGGAGCCACAATAAGATGCGTAGTTATTAATTTTTATGACGTTATCACACACAAAACACGAATCCTATAGAGCCCACAAAAATTTTGGAAATAAATACATGACAGAAATCGATCAAGGTGATATCTGATAAGGATATCCAAATAGCACTACATGTGAATTTAAAATTATTCAGCATATAACACGACGGTTCCGAGAGAGAAATGATTTGTAAAAATGAGATTATCTACAGACATAGGCTACATATATAAAAATATACTCTATATTATGTGCGAATCTTCTATTTGGTATGTTCTCTAATCAAAATGATTTTTATCAAAATATGAATTCTGGTGGCAACATTCACTTTAACGACAAAGCCTAAATTCAGAAAGGATGCATTTTAAAATTGAATTTTGCATTTTTCCGATATTTAAAATATCATCGGGAAATGGACACGGAAGAAGAGGAACAAATTAAAAGCCAATTCTCAAATTGGTTGTTTTATTCATTCTATAACATAGATTGGAGAAAATCGTAATTTGCAACCCTACTATGACAGATACCTCTGGCGTTAGGGATAAAATATATGTTGACTGCTTGTATTATATGTCCGGAATCAGTCGAATACAAGACTAACCACACTCCGACTATGCAAATATTGTCTTCGTGTTTGAAAGTTCATGCGGCTACACTGATCAGGGAGTAATGATTTGTGTACTTATACAGTGATGAGACGAGGCCAAAAGTTTTAAGTTATGTCAATCACCCTTTTGCTTCCATAGTCGCCAATGGAATACAGCACGGTTTTGATGTTGATTATATCAGGTATCAAACAATTTGTATTTGACTGAGCCTGCCTAAAATTTCACTCCTCGAATGTTTCTATCTCACGTAACATTGGATAAATATGTGGTTAAAAACTATCGTCATGCGTGGCAAGTCATCTCAAATTCATTTGCAATCTATGTTAAAGTTATCACTTGATTACATACACGAACATCATAAGAGACCAATTTACATTTAAATGCATAATCATGTTTCTCTGACCATGGTGCCTGTATCTGTCGCCAACGCATCGGCCCACTATCAATGAGACATTATTTGCGACAGTACGAGCGTAAGTAACAAAATAGCAGTAATATTACCGTGGTAATTGGACAAGAAGTGAACCGATGCATAATCGTATTGTTGTTTTCTCGTCAACTGCTGGACCAATCGCGTTGAAATGTTCAGCGGTTAAATATTGTTGTTGTCGCTAGGAGGCTATCACTTTGATATTTATATTTTCCAAATTTCTGTGAGCTTCGTGGGATTTGTTTTTCCCTTTGACGTTTTGTGTGGTGACGTCAACAAAATAAAAAATAAGAATTACTTGTAACGGTTTCGCGACGGCATGTCAGCGTGCAGGCGAAAGTTTTTGAAGCGGTACTAATTATATATTTATTATTATTATATTTAATTTCCCATTCTTCGAATGGCATGTGATTTACTGGTGGCATTGTTTTTGAAGTGTGGCACTTAAAGATGGCTGAGGACAATTAGTAAAATTTTCGGAATTTCATATAAAATAGTTTATTAATTTGTTCGCTGATTAATCAACGCGCGAAATGATGATGCTGACAATAATTCGTAAGATCTATGATTCCTTGTTTCAATTTCTTGCACCACTACCGTTTTAATGGGATTTGATAACGCTTTTGAGGTTTTGTCAATCTGATTAGTAGAAGATTTGGGAGTCGAAACGGTCGATATTGAGGATGAAGTAACTGGATGCCAAAATAAACCTAAATATTCATGATTCCGCTTAAAATTGCCAAGTCGTTGTCACCAAAATCTCATGAATATTTCAGATTGC